CCCCCCCCCCCCCCCGAAACGAAGTAACGCCGGTAATTATTACGTAACCCCCGACTTCAACCCAGATGGCGATTCCTACAATTTGCATTACTGTTTTCCCTCGATTGAAATCCATCATAAATATCGATTTCAGAATCGATTGTTATGCATGAACCTCGGTTCGGATTTTCGGATCGAGTTTTCAACCATCGAGTGCCATAATCCGATCTCGATCGCTCGTTTCTGGAAATTTCTGGGGACCAGTCGGGAGGTGACCGAACCTAAGGTCTACGTGCACGTTTGCACGTAGCCACCTGCGGGTTGATTATTATAATTTTATAGCCTCTCCGTCAGATGGGCTCCATCGACAAAGGGCTGTCTTGAAATGATTTAGGTAATTGTTGATAGGGTGACAAGTTCTTGAAAAGTCGGAGGAATCGCCTTTCCGTAGAATGGCTTCAATCTCAATCGATGAAGATTCCCCCGCAGTGTTAGGTAACTGTCGATAGGGTGACAAGTTCTTGAAAATTCAGAGTTATAACCTGGAAAATGTAGGTTGTACCTACTCGTCCGTGTGAAAGACTTGAAATTCCGCTATCAACCAAATAAGTTTCATGTCTCTTCTATTCAAAGTATTTAAATTCCGGGGGAAGATTCTCAGAAGGGTGTCACTGAAAAAAAATTTCTTGACGTATTATTTTCACTTAAAGCGTCGTTTCTTGTCGACAGAATTCGGTTTTAGTCAAATCTGCGCGGATTTAACCTATAGTTGGTCTTTTTTTAGTTAAAGAAACATTGTTTTGCCATCGTTAAGTTTAATTTAAAAAAGCGATTACAAATAACGTATCTACAACTCAAAACAACTGACTTTAAGTCTAATCCGCACGGATTTAACTTTTAAAAAAAAACCAAATTTCGTCGAGAAGGAACGAAGCTTTAGGTCAAAATACTATCTGAAGGAAATTTTTCTTCAGTTTTGCTTCAATCGAAACTTTGGGAAGTTCCTCTTGACACCTTATTTTTTCATTCATACACGGATGCGTCTTTTATAAAGGGGCATTTCAGGGAATTTTCGTCACGTCACAGAAAAGAAAGATAGAAAGTTCTAAAATAAATAAATAAATAGGTAAATAAAAGAATTAAAAGAAAATTGCAACTGTTTTAAGTGACTCGACTAATTTTTAAACGAAACATTGCGATTCAATGAAGTTTCTACCAATCAAAAAACTGCCCACCATCGCTGTCATCAGAGCCAGATTTTGGAACTAGAACAAAGTTCTCGAATATGATTATCATTCCTAACATCTTTGAAAATTCAGGAAGATTTTGGGTCTAAAATCTAAACTAGTCAAGGAAAAGTCAGATTTTGAAATTCCAAAAAACATGTTAGCTCGGTCGATCATCTTATATTACGGTTGCATCATGAACTCTCGGCTTCAATCTCACGTTAGAGCATGGAGGGGGGGCGGCGGCTCGGTAAAAACATGTTACGCAACATAGTTCTACACATTATCAGTCAAACTATATTGCATGCACTTAGTTATTGTATTGATTCCTCCGTCATTTTAGCGGTGAAGTAAAAAAAAATGGACAAAAAATTCTATCACGTCTGAATTTTGAGTTTGCAAAAAATCCCAACGTAAATGCAATCTGACGGGCGTACGTTTTTCCCAACTTTAATGTCGGTTATACTCACGTAGAAATTTAGGGAATTGCACAAAATGATGACCAAAAATTTGTAGGATAGTAGAATGTATGTCCGCTGTGGTGCCTTTCTCCTTACCGCAGAGTCGAAGCTCCTTCAATTAGCCAAGTATGCAATTTTAGCTTCACGTAAGGACGATTAGTTGTATGCATGCCAACGATAGCAGTTTCGTCCGTTTTTGTCTTTTGAGTGAGATTGTCGGTTCTCTTTGGATCTGATATTATATAATACAACCGTTATATAATCTTTTATTGGAATCTTGGCTCGAAAATCTGAAATATGATCATTGTAATTCAAATTAGATGCTTGATTCAAATTGAGCTATCCTCAAAACTCGACCAGTGTCAACATACTCACTGTCTCGTCGCCGACAAGGCAGCCAGCCTAATTAGCACATTACCTTTAGATAAAGCGGCACTGGTACTTACGTACTGCTTGTGCAAAATGGCCCTCTCTCAGACGACTTATGACCATCAGATTTGTTTGCTATCGTTCGGATGATACGTAACAGCACAAGCAAGCGAAAGTTGCCATATTTTGCAGCGTTGCATGAGATTAAGTAAATAAAATTTATGTGTCCATCTCTGTTGGTGAACATCGAGGATTCTCATCTTCTCGATGATTTCCAAGAGTTTCGCTGATGATCAATAATAATTTATGAAAAACGGAGGATTTGTCCGAAGTCATTCTCGAAGTACTTAATCGTCTATTTTCTCATTATAATTTTTCTACATCAACGGCTGATGTCGAAAAAAAACGTATCTCCATTGCAACGTTTAAAAATCTCCAATTATGTCGTTATCCTTAGGGGAACAATTGCATGGGATCTTTACGAAACCAAAGTTCCTTCAATCAGTAAAGTATGCAATTTCACTTGCACGCAAGTACGTTTAGTTGCGCGAACTCCGTTTATCTCTGTTTCGTCCGTTTTTGTCCCTCGAGTGAGAATTGATTCTCGGTTCCCATTCGGCCTAGAATTGAATATTAAATTATCGATTCACTCTGAAATGTAAAAATATATGTCACAAATCTTAACACGATGATTCTAAAAAATAAATAAGAGAAAAAAAATTCACCAAAAAAACCTGAACGGAGATGTACATTTAATCACAATTATGTGAATCGGCGCAGATGCCCTTTTTTCGACTTGAGCCATCGATATACTGCTCTCTTTGGAACTTAGGTCTTTATAAGACAGAACTGCCACCGTATCAAATGGGTACCACCACTCACCCATGTGTTAATCCTAATACGTCTCACTTTAGCCGTTGAAAGAAAATGGTTAACCTTAATCTCAAACTTTACACACATCCTTACCTTGTTTGTGTTTATTTTTCCAGTGGGACACTGTCATCCAGAAACTGTTCGAGCAGCCTGCAACCAGTTCATGAAATTAACCGTCTGCAATGAACACCCATCAAATAAAATTGAGAACCGCCTAGACTATGAATACTGCCAAGAACTCCTAAGTACCTTGCCTGACAATTTCCAAGTCTGTCTTTTCACAAACTCTGGGTAAGCGCAAGTAGATATTAGATACATTTTACTGTTTCTCGACAATTTTTGATCTATGATTCTTCGGTATCTCGAAAATTGCAGGAAGTGTCGCTAAAATTTTTTCCCAAAAATCGGGACTAGCAAGCATCTGTTCCAAATTGGATCAAAATCAAATCGATGGACTTACTGCGAAACCTTGTATCTTCGTTTGCAACGTTGCAAACTACTTTTTATGTTTTATTTTCTTAATTTGGGAAGTTTTTCTTTATCGGGCGTTTTTTAATCGTAGTTTGGAACTGACCACTGTTGAGTAGAAACTTAATCAAAACATTTCCAGGAGATTGGGATACAAAGTTACACAAAGTTACTACACTACTCTATTTTTTCTTTGAAAAACTGTTCAACGAAATTTCTTGAAAATGTCCTTGATGTTTCTTCCCTGAATGCAGGATGTTTTATATACATTTCAATCTATAAAGTTGGCTCATTTCTCCTTCAAGAAAAATATAATAAAACGAAAATTTTGAAACATTGCAGTAGAGATACGTGGTTTCGCACCCTTGCCATCAAAATTTACCTAACTTTTTAAGGGCTGATGAAACATATCTTTTTTGAGCCTCCAGGGTATCCAAAATCTACTTGAACATAATCAGCAAATTAAGTGTTAAGCGACCACATACCATGTCCAATAAAACTTCTCTGGCGTACTCCAGATGAAGATATTGAAAATTAGAGCTAATTTTCTTGCCTCACTATTCCAGGGTAGGTAAAATTTATTCGTGTAACAAATTTTCTTGTAATTTTTCAACTTCAAATGCTTTTTGCTCAAAAGCATATGTAGACATGAATGTATTTTCTTCGGGAAATACACTAAAATGTCACTTTACTCCTCCATTCATCATAGCCCTCAATCATCCAACCGCTTCGCCAGATGAAATCAGACGTGAGGCTCCATTGCATTGCTCTTGTTCCCTCTTTGAAATTTCAGGTTTTCCCAATAATTGCGAATTTTGAATCTCAATCCATCAATGAGAAATCTAATTTCTCCGTATTAACCTTTAAAAATCAGAAAATCCTGAATCGTAACCCCTTTATAAAAAAAAGAAAGGAGAGGATGCTTTCATAATTTATAGGGAGGACCTCGGAAAATATAACATCAGTTGTACTTTTATGTTTTTCTCGGCCAAAAAGTGTGACTAATATCTGTTCTGATCAGTTAAATCTAGTCAAAATTTTAGATAATCACATTTGTCTTGATACCAAGTGTGTTTCGCAGGGCCGGATTTACTTACTTGCCGCCATGGGCCACCTGTATTTTGCCGCCCCCCTCTCATTTATTTTGAAACATCAATAAAAACCATCAAGTGAACGTGCCGGAGGGGGAGGGGTGCATTAGACGCGTTTACTCGTGTTGAACACATTTTTTGCGAAAGCCCTGTCAACACTACTGGCAAAAGTTCACGGAACTTGGCGCGAAAGTTAAGTTCCGTAAACCTATCTCTGTGCGGACAAGGCCTTCCATTTGTATGAAATGAACGGAAAAATTATGAAAGAACAAACATAAATGTATAGTTGAATAATTTCAACTTCCGCCGCCGCGCCGCGCTCACTGCGCTGTGTTTGGCGCAATGCCTGAAGTATTCTTACAGTCTTGTATGCGCTGTGCGTTTCACGCCGACGACCGCTGCTGCACGGCGTGCACGCACTGTGTAAGACGCAATACGTGAAGTATCCATGTAGTCTTGTAGGCGCTATGAGTTTCACGCCGCGCCGACCACTGCTGACCACGCTGTCTTTGACGCAATGCGTGAAGTATTCATGCAGTCTTGTTGGCGCTAATATGTATTACATGCCGACCGCCGCGCCGCGCCGAGGGTTTCTCCTTTTCAACTCAAGTTCTCGTCATCATTGCTCTCTGCGCCGCGCCGTTCTAGGCCAAATTCCGTGTTCGGTTTCTCTCTTAGTCTTAACTCGACAAATTAAAGGTGCTGTCTTATCACAGAAAGACGACAAAATTAGAAACATACTCTCAGGAAATGGAGAGATTTGGTCACCTTTTCTCGTTTGTAATTTTTTTTCTGAATCCGATTTTTCTTTATAGCTACATTTTTAAAATTGCAAAATTTGCCGCCACGGGCCGCGGCCCATGTGGCCACCCTAAATCCGGCCCTGGTGTTTCGACAGCAATCAAGTGATACTCTTCAGCGAAGTATGACTTTTTTAATATACTCGTCTTTTTACTTTTTACCCACATTCTCATATAAGAATACTAATAATAAAGCAATTGTGTGTGAATGTCACCCTCTCTCACAAAACTTTAATCTGTCATTTCTCTGTCATTTTTTCAGAGCAGAGGCCAATGATTTAGCTTTAAAACTAGCACGCAATTATACGGGTAAAAATGATGTTGTAGTTGTCGATGGGTCCTTTCACGGAGCCGTCAACTTATTGTGGGATATCAGTCCCAAAACTTTTAAACAATTTCACCCAGGTGAGTTATTTTCGTAGAAATATAGCAAGTCTGTCTTCTAATTCTGTTCCCTCTCTCAGATGCCTTCCTCTTACTTTTTGCTTATTTTACAGTTTCTTAATTCTTCTCTATTTTCTGTCACTTCATCAGTTTAAATCAATCAGCTCTAGTCATTTAACACCACCCTCATTTTTTTTTATTCAGTAATGAATGAGGGGGAAGGGGAATAACGAATGTCATGTAGAGATGCTTGAGGCAGCCCTGGAAAAATTAGCTGAAACGAGACTTTCACAAGCCAATCGGAATTTCCCTAAGAATTATTCCCACTTCAAAACAAATAGCAGGCAAATATAGGCGAATCCTCTCAAGAACTTGAACTCCCTGAGACAAAAACTGAACTGAACAAGAGCTCCCCGACAACTTTTCTTAAGCAAAAAAGCATTCAGTTTGAAATATAATGAGTATAGCATATTGCTTATTTTGAAATAGTAGCCATTCAGTTTAATGGTTTTTATTATCAATTTTTTTTCAATTTTATCATTAAATATATAGATTTTGAGAACCGAGTTTCAGTTTAACTCGTCCATTATTTGTTTCCATGCTTCAGCACGTCAGTGACTAGAAATTATCAGGGTAAAAAAAATACATAGTCTAGATTCATGCCCACATATTTATCAAGTGCATTGGAAAATTAAATAAGTCAGATTAGTGCATTATTAAAACAAATCGCTTCCCTGTCAAATACCTTAGATGTCAGTTGTAAATATTTTGTTATGATTTTACTAACAATTGCAATTATCTCCCAAGGTTGTAGTTGCTTATAATAACACTGGGTAGGTTTAAAATGCCTTTATCCGTGTCAGTCTAGTTTGATGAAGAGAATATTTTATTTTGAATGTTTCAACCTACATCCAAGTTTTGTTTGAATTGGTTGATTCTGTAGAGATGGCTAATTGAATGTCTTGATCGGCCATATGTTCGGCCTTGTGTTGTTTGGTTTGCCTCTGCTTCTAGAAATTGAAGTATCCGTTCTCGATTTCACTGAAGATTGTATTGTTTTTGAGAGGTAGTGATATATTCTGAAATGCCATGTTGAAAAGTATCTTTAAACATTTTGAAAAAAAAAAACAGTATCCAGTAAGAAATATTCCTGATTATTTGTATCAATAAACCTTACATTAATAAATTTGAAAGGAGAAAAGGGGAATAAATATTTGTATACAAATCAAGTCGAGTGAGAGATAATATTTCTTTATGATTTTCAGGTACCTGTAGCTCTGAATTTGTTTGAGAAAATGTTTCAGAGCAAAAATGTTTTTATTTTCAATGAATAAAGTCAATAACCTGAAGTCGTCAAGAACCACAATGTGGAAATATCTGAAGGAAAGTAAACCACTTGGTAAAGTATCAGACTATAGCTGCTCTGTTATAAATTCCATTGGTATATATTACGAATCTCTAAGACTCTCGTGAAATAACACTGGAAGCATTCGCAGCAATACTCAACAGAAAAAAGTACACATTGTAAGGTTTTTCCTGAGAAACCATTGTTCCTATCATTGTATGTCACTGTATAGTCGATGGGGCGTGGACAAGAGCTCGGCATATTTTATTTGAAAACAAAATAAAAAATGATGAAGTTGCCTCATCGTAAGCTTTAAACTGTAAATAAGTTCCAAAACCTAAAAAAGAACTACATATAACCCACTGTCATTGATTCAAAACATTTCCCTCTCTAGATGTCGCTGAAACCAACAAAATTTTGGACGCTGCAAGAGGTCTAGGTGAAAAGGGTTTTTCTAGTCTTCTGAGCGAAGCCTTAATAAAGGAGCAGCCAGTTTCCATCCCCTCCTCATACTCAAAAAATTACACTTGTAAGTTTCCTGTACCTTTTATACTGGTGGATTGATTTTTCAAAGGGACTGCTAGCCTGCCTTTACTTACCTCCGGAGTTTCAGGATCGAAGTGTGTCGGAGAAATCAACTCGGGAAACGTATAAATAAACATTCCTCCCCCTTCCCTCTCTTTCATTTAAACCTGCAGGTGCTTAGCCTCAGGTCTTTTATTTAACTTGCATGTCACCAGAATAAATTACATATTATCTGGAGGCAGCAAAATTGTCCTAGCGTATAATATTAGTCAATGCTTTTTTCTGTTTTCTTACCCTACTCCTTGCTGCACTTGTTACGCTAAACCCTCCTACTACTTCCCTTCTTATCGATGAAATGCGGAGTACTTAAGTGCACAACCCCCTCTTCCCTGCCCCCTTCTCAATAATATTGATTTGTTGACAAAATATAGCCCCAAAGTTTTTACTTACCGATTCTTAAGAATCGGTAAGAAAATTTTGTGATGCCAGGCTTTAATCCCTTCTGCCTCCCCACCCCCCCCCTTACTGCAGTGTAACAATTGTAACATAGACATGGAATTAGATGCTCCTCTCCCAGTTTGCTTCAGCTCATTCTTAGAAACTCCTTATCCTTTTTCTATTATCGTATCTTGCAAGCCGATTGCAAGCAGCAGTGAGGGAACAAGAAATGATCCGTATGGAAAATTTCCCTAAAATCACAATGAGTGCATGGCCAAAATTTAAAATTCTCACCTCACCTCTGGCTAATAGAGCCATTTTCACTTTTAAGCTTCCTGCTTTGCAAAGTATATTTTGGCAAAAGTGTTATTTGTCACAGATGAATCATCCTATAATTCAATAATTCTGCGCAAAGCTCAAAATTCCCACTGTCATGTGACACTGATCAACATAATCGAAAATCAATGGCCCAAAAATTTTTGTAATCAAATATAGGTACACAAACTGATTTCGGTAGACGCACTCGTACGATATGTAAAAAAACTCCAACAAATCAAATGTACTTGAAAAATGAAAAAATTCAAGTTTATATTTGATTTGAAAAAGTATATTTTTTGTTATTTTTATCTGAGTTACTAATTTAATCACATAACATCGGTCATTTTGGATTCGATCCAGAGCTATTCAACAGAGAAAGCTCATATGAATAAAATTTTGCAGTGTATGCTCTTCGAAGGGGGGGGGGGCATCAAAATGTAATTTTTCTCATGTTGTCTTGTTGTGAAGTAAAGAGTTCAGTTTATATCTCGCCAACTCAATAATTGTGATTTTTGAGTGCTTTGATACTATTACAAATTTTTCTTGTTTCTTTTACCTGCTGTTTTTAACAAGCCTTCTCTCTACAGAATTCATGGCACAGATGGCACACATTCTTTTTATTAATTTATCTGCAGTAGAAATCCTCTGAGACCCAAGTGCTTTAAACCTTCTCACACTATACCCTCTCTAAAGCTCATGTATAATTTTCTTCTGCAATGGTTGACTGTAGTGATCCTTAAACGACTTTTTTTTATTATTTTTCAGTCTAGTTTGCTCCATCTAGTTCTCTATTTTCTATCAATAAATTACCGTTCCTCACGTTTTTGGAGTGTCCAAACCAAAGCCGTACTTAACTGACATTTCGCTAGTAGATATCGCCCTTCCAGTCTCCAATATTTTGAAATCTTCTATGTGCTATCCTTTTTCAGGTAAACCTCCTTGGGTCCATGTAGTTCCTTGTCCCGATATGTATCGTGGTCCGTATGCCGGGCACCCAGATGCAGCTGAAAAATATTTTCAGCAGGCAAAAGCTGCCATTGATCTGGCCGTCCAACGCAACGCTTCTGTAAGTTTTTTGCTCTTGAATTCCGTGTAAATATTGGAGTTTTTTTTATTATTATTATTTTTAGCAACAGGTTTTGTCAATTGTTTTTTATTTGTCCTAATTTTTTTTTTTAAAAAAAAATCAACACTCAAAAGTCATTGCAAGCTGCTGTTACTGAAAGAAAGGTGATCTCCGAGCCACAATTGCAGTGTAAGGAGAGGAAATAAGCCTGTCCAAAAAAACATTTTCGGTGAAAATGGTCAGAAGACAAGTTAAGATCCAGTCTTCCTCTCATTATCATATGTATTTAATGAGCATCGTTTTTCAGCCGCTTGATTATGGAAATTTAAACATCCTTTTGACTATCATAATTTTAGTAATTGAGACTTTAGCATTGTATTTAGGGTCTATGAACAAATGACAGATCTAGAATATTGAGGGAAAGGTAAAAACCAAAGCAAAGAAAATGGTACTCTTTCAGAAATCTCTGGGTGTATTATTATGACTTATTTTAATTCGTGGGTAAAATTTTGCTTTGATGAAAGCCCTGTTCTCATAAGGTTTTGATAAGGACCGTTCCCTTAATGTAAAAGCTACTTTGGTGAACTATCTCTTTTACCAGTGTAGTCTACTTATGTTAATAGATTATCCACATCTTTTTTAGAAGCTTATAAAACCGCCATTACAGCATTTCAATAAATGGCAGAGCGAATATGATGCTCTAAGACAATTGAGTAAAAATAATTATTTTTACACAATCATGTTTGTTTACAATTTAACAGAAGAAAAGCTAAATGGCGAGACTGTTTGAACCTCTATCAATCAAGAGTGTCAACTTTTGACCAAATCATTTTACCAAGTAATTCAATTAATTAATTTTCTTGTAATAATTTTTTTGGTGTTTCAGATTGGATGTTTTTTAAGTGAACCTGTTTTCATTGTCCATGGTGTTTTAATTCCTCCCCCTGGATGGCTGAAGAGAGTGTATAGGTAATTTTTAGTAATTCAATCTTACCAAATTATCTATCATGTGTACCTAATCGACCACTTTTTTTAGTATATAAATTACAGACATTTTCAAAACTTGCGTTTTGCCTCGGTCCCCATCCTCTGACAAGAGTGGGTGTTCATTATTTTTTTAGGGATGTGTGAGGAAAGTATTCCCTATTTCATAAATATGTGTTCATATTCTTATCTTGCATTCTCCTCCTCAAAAAATTAAAATTTGTTTTACAAGTTTTTTTCATAACAGCCGCTGATTATAGACTGTAGGGTCCCGCAATAATATAAATTAATAGAGGGTATTTATGATTTTTCGACTCTATCTTATACTTATTTTTACAATAAACTTTCGTAAAATCTGGATCACAGAAAATAATTTAACGTTCATATCATTGTTTCTCTGAAAGAATTTTTGAAAATCAGCACTGTAGAAGTTGTTTTATTTTGCAGTTATATCCGTGAACTAGGAGGTGTAGTGATAGCAGATGAAATTCAATGTGGGCTAGGACGGAGTGGAAGTCATTTTTGGGCATTTCAGACGCAGGATGCGATACCAGACATTCTCACCCTTGGGAAGCCCCTAGGTAACGGACACCCTGTAGGCTGTGTTGTCACTTCCAAAAAAATCGCTGCCTCACTGTGGCCAGAGGATAAGAGTACTGTAAGTCAAGTTCTTTTTATTTTTTTGTTCCCAGGTCTTTTCATCAACTTTGAATTTCTTAGAAGAATTGGTGAGATGTCAAACTGTAAGCTGAGGGATTTTTGATGAAAAGTGGAAATCTGAGTCATAAGAGAAATAAGAGGTATGAAAAGAGAGAATGGGTCAGTTGCGCTGGTCACAGAATCGTATTTTAATTCTTGATTCTTGTAGATTCGCTAAAAATAATAAGATCTGTCTAAACCGCAATGTTCTACATTCAATATTAATCGAGATATCGCCCTTTGAAAAGTCGGAGTCTTGACGTTATCCATCGCGGTAGTGACACCCTTGGTTTCTTCCACCTTACTTTCATCTGAGTTTCATGTTGAAAAACCAGTGCCAATGCGTGTCTCCCTTCTGACTGATAAAACTGAGGTGGAAGAAACCAAGGTTGTCACTACCGCAGTGGATGACATCATAAATCGAATTTTCCAAAGGGCGATATCTCGGATAATATTGAACATAGAAAGTTGCGGTTTGGACAGATCTCAATATTTTTAGCAAATCCACAAACATCAAGAATCAAAGCACGATTCTGTGACCAGCGCAACTGACCCATTCTCTTATCAGCAGGGATGGTTTTCACTAAAATTTCATTACTAACTTTACTTTTTAATTTAAATTGCCCTTGAGCCTCTTGTGGAAAAAAGTAGCCATACTTTTGCTCATCTGTCTGATCATATCGAAACTTCTCTGAAGTAGCGGCGTATCTCAATCTCCACATGAGTTGCAGATAGTGTGAATTTATATATAAAACAGGGCTCATGTGGAAATTGAAGTAGCCTCTTACAAGAGAGAGATGAGGATATGTAGAAAAAGAATCAACACATATTTTTGAAATGATTATTCTCAGGATACTCTGTGTATCTTCATTGTCTAATTTTTATAGTTTTGGTCCTTTATTAAAAGTTATCTGAATACTCTCCTCTCTAAGGTACTGAATTTTCTCACCACTAAGTAACAAATCGCTTTGATTTCAGTATGAGTGCAACCCTGTGGCAGCAGAAGTTGGTCTAGCTGTTCTACGACTAATGCAAAGAGAGAATTTCATGGAAAATTCTTTTTTACTAGGTTTAGAATTGACTCATGGATTTAGGAGTATACAGCCTGAACATACCATAATAGGTTTGTCATCTTCAATTTCTAAAATTTATTTTATTTCTATGTATTAATAAGGGGAGGTCAGGTACAGTGTCCCACCTAGATTTTGATCGGATTGTGGTCAAATTAAGATACGTTGCTTGGGAGTTTCCCACAGATATATATGTAGATCCCTTACAAGGTTACTAAGTAAGTCAAGATTGCAAATAACTCGATTTTTCCGTACTTGTTAGCTAAATTTCCTTGACTTCTAAGTACAGATATAAGTAATGCATGTAATCGATCCCAGTGATTAAAAAAAAAAAATAAAAAAAAAATAAAAAAAAATGAAAAAAAATTGAAAAAGAAAAAAAACTATTCTGAACATCTGTTAAATAACTTTTGTTGCCATCTTTCAAATGTATCAGTATTCTGCTGAATATTGTGCACATTCACTCTCCAGTGTAGTGTAGATGCATTATAGTGTGTTAGAATTTCAGATGAATATTTTTGTCGAGTTAACATTCTTTAAAAAACTAGAGAAAAGTCTGGATAGTCCTTTTATTTTCAGCAAGTTCTTGAAAAATTTGACAGAATAATCTTTCAGAAGTCCATGAATTTCTTTTTGTTTTCAATGCATGAACCATGGATTGTCGAATGATCATAATTCCAATAATTTTAATTTAATTAATTTTTTCTTTTGATATTTTTACTTGTCCAGGTGATGTTCGAGGCTTAGGTTTAATGGTAGCGGTAGATATTGTCTGGACTCAGGAAAGTAAAAAACCTGCTCCTGAATTAGCTGAAGTGATCTCTTACAGGTAACTTTAATTGGTTTTAGACTTATGTCATTCAAAATTAGTATTCCGGAATCTTTGTAAGTCTTAGATTCTCAACAAGTTAAATTTCCTCTCCGGTTCCATCCATTCTCCCAAACAAATAATGTGATTAGTTGCAGGATAAGTTAGAATCTCTCCCTTTTTTACGCCAGAAATCCTCTAATCTTGGACATACATATACAAGAGAGCGCAATATACTAACTAATGCCATATTTTTAGATTCACAACTTCCAGTTTTTTTGCTCTTACAAGATTTTTTATCAACAATTTTCCAGGTGAAAACTTCACTTTTTCCACCAGGTCCAGGAGTGATCTCAGTCGGTTCTTCACTATCTTATAACTCATATAACTTTGGGAATTTTATTTTTAAAAAGTTGGTCCCCCCCCCTCCCCCTTAAAAAAGTCGAAGAAGTATGGAACTGGAGCTATTTTATAATAAAATAAAAAAATAAATAAAAAAAATCAACAGCTCCAGCAGCCATGCAAAATGCATTGAACAGCTTACTTTTGTTGCAAGTGTTTCTAATAGATACTCAGCAAACAAAGTGAATGATGTGGGTTTGTTTTAACATTCATTTTGATAACTTTAATAAAAATTAGTAGGCAAGTAATTGACAAAATCAATTTCTTCGCAGAAGAATCCATTTCTCGTTAAACGAATCAACCTGCTTCTGTTTGCAGAATGAAAGACGAATATATTCTGGTCGCCAACGAGGGTGAATATGGAAACGTACTGTTTTTTATAACACCTCTCTGTGTCACCAGCAAAGATATTCAAGTAGTCATCCAAGTTTTCCACAAAATTGTGACTGATGTTGAGACCTCCAATCTAAGTTTATCAATGGGCTTTCCTGGAAGTTCGAGTGGTGTAAGGTTAGTGCTTCAAATACCTTACGATCTAGAATTTAAAAACTAATAATTTTGCTTTGAAACTTTAAATTTGAACCAGTACAGTAGATAATTGCAAGAAAATCAAAAGGAAAGGGAAGTTTGGATTTTATTACTCTTCATGATTTTTCCTTTACAAGTCTGTGTTTGAGGAAAAAGGAAAACACCTCAAGTGCATGTACCTATTTAATTTTTGTTTCTGAGAACTGCTGGTTTACCAAAAGAATTTTTGAGGGCCTTCGGTACTAGATTTAGGTGCATTCTTTGTATTTACAATGCAAAAGGCTCATGTTTCTTTTCCTTTTGTATTACAAATCATAAAAACCTAAGTGCCTTTTTCTCCCTTTCTCAAATCTTGAAGATTAATTGCAGGGGTGAGGGATGACTTCTTTCCAGATAATTTTCTACATGTTCAGCGGTCCCTGACATTTTTCACTCGTTTACCGGTTTTTAACATTTTTTACTTGTTCAGCAGTCTTCGTTATTTTTTACTTGTTTAGCGGTTTTTGACATTTTTCACCTGTTTAGCGGTTTTTAACATTTTTTATATGTTCGGCAATCTTGGGACATTTTTTAGATGCTCAGCAGTCTTTGACGACAATAATTAAATCAATTTATTTGTACTAATTGACATTGATTCCAAGGTCATCTTTGTTTTCAGCTCCAGTTCCAGTAGTCTTTATCCAATGGTTCAATCATGGCCAGAGTCAGATGATAGTGACAGTGCTCTCGATTCCTACAACTACCACTCCATGGACTGATTTTTACTCAATTGCTCTGATTGATTAGGTATCACAAAAATAAATTGATGCAGTGAAAACTGAGCGGAGGGATCCCCACCTCACATGGCTGCCATCAATGAGTTTTTGTCAACTGCAGTGGAACTGCTTCATATTTAGGGTCCACACCAAAACAGTTCATACACCTTAAGAGCGCGACAGCAGATCAGCTGTCTTCGATGTAGCATCGGAATTGAATGCAAAAATCAAGATGGCGGATCCTTTGTCACACTCTAAAGGTGCATGAATTTCTTTTGCGCGGGCTGTATTAATTTGGAAAGTCTAGTTCAAGAAAGAACTGACTATTGTTCATGATTAAAAATTTTCAGTAGTCAGACTTCTGATAATATTTTTAATGGCATTTTCTGCAGATTTTTACCGTTTGGTTTATTGAAGAAAAAACTAATGGCGCCAGGAGTCTTTGCGGGCCGATTATTGAAATTTATAGACAAAGCTATAGACAAAAAAGACATGGGGAGTATGGAGCGTTCCCATTGGTTGAAACTAGTGGTCTTTACAGACTAAGAGGAAAAATGATAGACTAACTGTCGGGTCTCTTGTCGGTTGCCGTTAGTTAGTCTATCACCTACCTCCTTTGTCCATTGCAACCACCCGCTTCCACCAATAGCATCCCTCCATATCCTTTTTGTCTTCTTAGTCTATTGCTTTGTCTATCAATTTCAATAATCGGCCCGCTGCAAGTGATGCAACAGCTTGTCTCCCAAAAAATACCACCACTGAAACGCATTCCTAAAATATCACCACGGAGTCTTTTTTTCACCAATCTGTAAGAGGAACAGATTGACGGGAAATCTTCTCTCAAGTACTGTCAAGTAGAATTTTTTACAGGAAACAAATTTTTATAACCGGTATTCACCATAAAGAACATCATCGTCTTAGACCAATATTTTCACAAAATTTTGCGGAGGTGGTATTTTTCTCAGGTGATAAATTGTTGTACAGCGCTTGCAGCCTTTGAAAGTCCATGATCTCTTTTTCAAGTGGATAAGTTTGCATCTGTCCTGATTTTCCAAGAGAAAAGTCAACCTATTTGAAATACCCTTGAATTTAACTGAAATGTCTCTATTTGTCTCTATAATTTGTTTTTTTATCTGTGTAGTAGTTAACTCAGGAAAAAAGCCTTTTTCTTCTACAGTTGACTACTACTGATCTTCGAAGTTCAATGTAAAGATCAGGTACAGTGAAAGTCAACAGTCATGGAATAAATAGACTACATTATCAAGAGCATAAATTCTTGAGAGCCAACATTAAACTTTTTGACGTTACATATTGATTATCTTTGTGATGACAGTAAGTTGACTCATCTAACTTGCTCAATTCTATTTCATTAGTGAAACCTCTCAAATATTTTGTATTTAATTTATTTAATTAGTCTTTGGTCTATTTATTCTATGACCAGTTAACTTCGGAACAGATTCTCCATCTGTAATTAACCATTGATTCAAAATCCAAATCTGATATGTTTTCAAATTTTTGAGAGACATTGGGTATGCTCTCAATCTTACGATACGGGTATCCTCCAATCTAGTTATTCAAAAGAATCAAATGAAATTTCGAAATTGTGTGATGCATAGTAAAAAAAAAATTGTTTGTATTAATGTAATTTAAATAATTATTAACGATTTTGTTTCAAAGAGAGATTAAACCCCTCTCTGTTTGAGCTCTGGTTCTCAACTATTTTTGAGTGAGTCAATAAGATTTTGCTCAATTTTCATGCTATTTTCATTTTTTTGATGAAAAATTTCTGTCTTTTCTCTTTTGCCTATATTTTTTATAATTTTGAACGTTGTTGAATTTTATGTGATCAAACTCATTAAAACATTTTTTCTAAAAGATCTGCTTCATTCCTTGCCTCTCCTCTCCCCCATACTAGTACTTGGCTCCTCAGACAAGCCAATTTGAAGTGGCACAAAATGCCAAATACTGCTAAAATCTATCTCAGTCATATGCTTTGTGAAGATAACAGGGGAAGAACCCAGTCAGTCACATCAGACACTTTCCTAGCTTACCAAATAAATCTTCAATGGTCAGCAATCTTTTACAAGCTTTTAAAAAATATTTGCAGACTCTAATTTTTGAAAGAAGTTCAAATACCCATGCCAGGTATAGGGAAAACTTGCTTCTCTTTTGATACACTTATCTAGAGGGAGTCAATAATGTGTGAATATTCATTTTCCTCCGAATAAAAGGTGAAATTATGATATGATACACATTTATGTAATTTAAACTAGGCAACTAAATTTACATGTTTGTATCTGCAGCTGAAATTTTTTGTTCTGCCAACTATGAGCTCTTTCATTTTAGGGTTTAATTGGTAAAATCCTACAGTGAGTACAAGTCCTGAAGGGACCCCAAACAAATGAATAAAGTAATTTTTGAAAGATAAGTTTATTACAATAAAAATTCAATTTGAACTGCTTCATGTCCATTTGAATATTACATTGTAACTCCTTGAATTTCTTGAGCTTGAGTAAAAGAATCACAGAATTTTGAATTGTAGGCTTGAATTTTTTACAGAACTTAAACGGCTTGAGCGCAGAGGTTGAACGAGCATGAATGGACAACTGACTCAATTTAAGTTTATAACTACTAGCATTATTAAAGAATAGGCGATGGTTGCTACCATCGATAGAAAAAAAATATCGAGTATTACTATGTTAATTAATCTAATTACCAGTATTTCTAGAATGACTTCTTTCGAATGCAAGTGTTCCGTAATTAAATTGGCACTAGAGTAAGATGAAAGATACCGTTATAAAAAAAGGTGGGTTGAACTACTGTATAAACAACTCCTTTTTTTCTCGAGCTAAATCAGTTGCTCCTTTGGCAAATTAATGCATTCCTGGAACATCAGCATTTGAAGTGGGGAGTACTACATTTATAACAAATATTTAGGTTCATCACTAAAGTGTTTAATATTCTACAATGAGCGATTTGACAAGGTCTGAACTAGAAGAAAACGTCACATGTTTCCTCTTCAAAAATTTACATGGAAAACATTACGCACAATAAAGAGTTCGGTAACCAACTCCTGAACGTGAACCGATTAAGTATTTTAGCACAGATCAAATGGAAGATAGATCATGCAAAACAACGTAATTTTTACTTTTGCCACTTAACCAACATTAATTTTGAACACCTATATTTTGTTTAGAAGTTGATTCCCTCATGAAATTTTGAAGAGGAAAATAATGAAGTGCTCTGACTCATACCTTGTTCAGTGGCCCATTGTCTTCAGCTCTTCTAGCAGTAAGATGCAGATCCCCATGCATATTGCTCTGAAAGCCAGTAAAAAATCTTTATCTGGAATGGTAGCAATAGTTTGTCTTGAAAAATTTTACAGCTACCTTTAACTCATTGAATTAAATTTAAAGGATAGGTATCTTCAGCTGTCACTAGGCAAAAAGATGATGAATAGATTTACTGTGAAGCTAGGAAGAAAATTAAAATACTGATAAGAAAAATGTTACATTTATTCCTCAACAAAAAAGCACATTCTTAAAAATTGTGCACTATTTTGGTTTTCGATCTAATTTATTGAGCTTCGTTTACCTAAAATAACATAATGACAAAATGCTTGCACACTTAAATCTGGGCGTACTTAGATGCACATCCTTGGGAGCACTGAGAGACCAAAAAATGATTAACAAAGGTAAAGAGAGTGGAGTGGTCTTGGTGCCAGGATTTTTCTGCTTATTGCCAGAGCTGACAAAATGCAAGAAAAAAATTGAAAATCACAAAAAAATTTTATCTGCATAATTAAAAGAACAATCCTCTCATCCTGCGACCTATTCCTTGTCGATCGTACATTATATTAAACTTATTGACAAATTGGTTAATGTCATTGCAACTCTTTGTGATGGTTCCAAGGTAAGTCATGAGTCCTACATCTGCTACCTGATTGTAAAATTCGGTTTTGAACTTTGAATTTTGAATCACTGGTAGCCGATTACTCAAGGCTGATGCTTCTCTTAAAATTTCTCTGTTCATCGGGAGCTGTCCACTTTGCAGTGCTTTGAGGTACTCTAATATGAGTTTAGCGCGGCTGTGTAGCATTTTTATCGCACTGTGCTGCGCTGTTAAGTGTTCAGCCATCAAAGAGCTCTCTCCTGAGTCGTTGCTGGACATGCGTGCTACATGATCAACACCGATTCTTTCGGCCTCCTCCGTTGCTAGGGTGTACGTGAGTTTTACAAAAAGCACTGTGGCTTCACCCTCGATAAGATCAACCACTGACTCATACATGGTGACAGGCAAGTCGCTCCTTCGGACAAGTGGGTTCATTTTTAGAAATACTGGACTCTCGTTGATCTCGCAGATCTGCTTGTGAACTTTGATATCAGACTCGTCAGGCTCATCACCTGTTGTGTACCAACCAAGGAAATCCATTTCACTGAAGACCTGGAGGGGAAAAAAAAACCGATGTAAATAAAATTGACTGTCTATTCACATTTCTGTAGAATATTAAGACTGGAAAACTGTAAAAGGCTAATCGTAAGACTTCTGTGACAACCTAAGACCTTTTTAAAGAGCAACAAAAAGTCACTTTGAAAAAATTACAAGTGAGAAAGATATTCGGATTGCATAGATTGCATGACATTTTTGGCTGAATGGCACATTTTGCATCCCTGAAGATAGGTTGGAAAAAACTGCTTTCATTTTTACTGACTGCTTTCGACAAAACTAGTTTTAACAGTTGACGGACGTTGTAATGCTATAATGCTTTTCAAGTTTGGACTCTAGCAGATACATCTATCAAATAAGTTGATTTATCAATCCAACGATTTGATTTTAAGAAATTCAAATTTTTATTCCATTTTTTGAGTAATCAATGGTGGATCTTTTTAATAAATTAAGTATCACCTCATTTCTTTGAAAATGAATAATTCGCTTTTCATTCCTTCAAGTGCTCAAAAGGAGGTGACTCCGTGCTGACAGAGCCCTATCTTTCTTCAGTCTCTAATTAACAACCAGCCCCATGCAACTATCATTTAAGACCATCTTTGAGTCAAATGACCGGACATCAAACCCGGGATCTACTGATCATAGTTAGCACTACAACCCTCACATAACAGAAGGATACACCACCCAACGAATGGTGTGAGATGAATTGATGTGTTCAAACTTCTTGTTTCTTAAAAATCTCCCAACTTCATAGTTAAATAGTATAAAGATGATTTGTCAAGCTCAAGTGACGTGGTCAAACTGGCATGCAATATATCGCATCGATTAGGTCAAAAATCTCGGCAGATTTGGAATTTTTAGCAAAACAAAGGTTGATAGCCCCTGCGCATAAGCCTAAAGAATTATTCTAAACCCAAAAATTGACAAAATTCAGAGAAATGAAAGCAGAATAAAGTTAGGAAAAAAACCTCGCATTCGATTTCGCTATTGATTTCTGTATCGAATGCGAGGCCTTCTTCCTAACACTATTCTGCTTTCATTTCATTTTTCTGAATTTTGCCAATTTTTGAGTTTAGTATGATTCTTACAGCTTATGCGCAAGGGCTTTCGTCCTTTTTCTTTCCAGAAATTCAAAATCTGCCGAGAGTCTAATCAATGTGAAATATCGCTTGCCAGTTCGACCACGTCACTTGAGCTTAACAAATCACCTTTAAGGTTTTGAAAACTATGAAACCTTCGTGTCTAAAGGAGCATAGGCATGCAATGTTTATTACCTGCTTGAACTGCTCTTCCTTAGTCTTGTAGTAGAATTTGTCGATCATTATATCTTCACCTATAACGTTGAAAACTAACTCAAACGAGTTCATTATTTCGACTTTGCGTCCAGTCTGTTTGCCGATCAAAGCGCCAATGACTTGCTGCGCTTGACCCTCTTGAGCGCGTATCCTCGTCCAGTGTTCTGAAATATTCATAATGACCAATGGATGTAGGGAGACGGAGACACTGCCAACTATTCCAGATGAGGCCATAACATTTTTGGAACTTTCATCCACCTCCATGCTACTCGCGGCCGGCGTGCCCATGGCTAACAATGCAAACTTACTTCAACTGCGGTGAGACTAAAGACCGTAACAAAAAATTGGAACGACAAAATTAACGTGAGTTGGAGGTAGACCTGAATGTCTCTATTGAGTGCTGAAGCTGGAACTGTTGAATTCGAAATTATTCACAGAGAATATCGTAACCACTCGAAAGTTGTGACACAATGAACGAGAAAATGCAGAATTCTAAATTTCTAACCTCTTTGAGGAAAATAAACATTGGACAAAGTTTCCGACGTTGCCAGATTAACTAAAAATGTAAACAATAACAACAACAGCATCAACAACAATAGAAACCTAACCTTAGTAAAAGTTTTTATCAGTGGCAGTGCATAATAGTCAGAATTTTAGTTAAAACCAGAGACAAATAGAGACCGAGCACGGTATTTTGTGCTAACTATTGTCACTCTACCAATGTGATGAAACTGTTGCGTGAAAATCTGTGATTTTGAATAATTTGTGCAAATCATCGTCTCTCCACTAATTTGAAAAAAGTGTCAAATGAAAAATCAGTGAACTTCCCCTTTTTCTCTAAGCAATATCATATGTTTGTATCCAACTATAAAAACTGAACAGACACTGATTTCTCTAATCTACAAATTTCACAAATCCACATGCCGATACCGCGAGGCAGTACCCAACCACGCAGATCTACCATGAAAGATGTTGATGATCCCATGACTTACACCGCTAATGTATCCGTTTCATCTGGCTTTTCTGATCGGCAGAAAAATCTTTTCAGCGTATTACAATCAGCTGAAAAGGAAAGGAATGAAAAGTATGGCTCTAAACCTCCTGATCCCAAGTCAGTTGATCACTGTCGCAACTTGAACAGTGAGGCCATCAGGAGCAAACTTCATGTCAGACAGTTTGTTGGTCAAGAAAGTATTTTCAAAAAACCTTCTTTCCGCCCACCTAAAAACCACTTAAGACGTTCTGTCCCAGATTATCAGCTGAATCCACAGAAATGGACCAAGTACAGCCTCGCAGATGTCCCTCAAAGTCAGATGACGGATCAATGTAATACAGCAACTGCATTTTCGTTTTTGAAAGAACTAGAGGATCGGAAAAAGAAGGAAAGCATGCAAGAGACAATCGACCTGGACAATACCAAAATACTGTTCAAAAAGACTTCAAATGATGAGGGCTGTTCATCTTCATCCTCTTCGAAACTTCCTGTCTCCTTCAATAAAAGTAAAGTTGTAATGCCAGAATATGTGGTCGGCCAAAAAAAGAGCACTAAAACCAAGAGGAAGATTGTTGGAGAAACCTCCAAAAGCGAGTCCACTCAAAAGGCAATAAAACTAGATCATCTCCTGGAAGAAGAGGATGAATAAAATTTGAATTTTTGTAATTTATGTGTAAATTTTGTATAAATCCCTGTATTTCACCTAACTGTAATTAAAGTATAATTATTGACTGTCAAGAAAATTTGTTGTACTTAATGCCTTGTGCAATACATACTAATATTTAAATCACAATTCTTTAGATAGTGTTCAATTTCATGGATGGATTTTGCCCTTTGAAACTGTCCACGAGCTGCGATAAAGTCAGGCAAAAGTGCCCTCTAAATGAAAAAAAAAATTGAAATATTTATATCACATCTCAGAGGAGTTAAGACAAATTTTCAGCTTCAACGCGATACATTCTAGGTACAATCTATTTCAAATTTTAACCTCATGATGGGTTTATTTTGGATGAATCAAAATTTCAGTTTCTTGATAAGATCAGCCATCGAGTAATGTTCGGGATGAAAATCATTTTCTCAAATCCAAAAGTAAAGTAGAAAGAACTGTTTCCTTTCAATTACCCAAAAATATCGACATAATGACATCAGTTTTCAACAGGAAGTAGTACTTTTGATTTCATTTTAAGATGTTGGAAGATGTTTATACTTAGGCGCAAACTTTTCTTATGATTGATCTAGACTGACATTTTGATTTTTCCCAAATAATCTACCGAATGGCCAAGCTGGAAATGAACCGATCAAGCCCGAAATGCCATCATGCCAAGCAGAGGATCCAACTTAACTCTGCATTATCAGGAACCAATCGAAAAGAGGCAATTTAAAGTTTGTGGGGGGATTGAGACAAATCCTTCTAAAGTTTGTTGGCTCTGTTGTCAGCATTATTGACTATTCACTTCAAATCCGTGTAACATCACTAAAAAAATTATCATCAATGATGCAAATTCATGGCTTGAAATATTTCTGTATCCTCTTCAGAATATCAGAAAGCATTCAATTACCAGGATAACTGAAAATTCATATTTTTTAGGCCAAATCAATGCTTTTGTCTTACTTATTTCACAATTTCAATGTCCGCGTTAAGAGTCCTTTTGCACTACTCCACCACAATTAGGTAGCCCTAGCTCTAGTTTTTTGACTCGCCAACCTTTTTCTTTTTTGTGCTCTAGAATAATTTGCCTGACTTTACCCTCCTTCCTCATGCCATGACGAAGATTTCTCTTTTTTTCAAGTTTTTTCTAAAAAGCTCTCTAGATGAGGAAAAGAAAATCGAAATGGATTTCTAATTTGGAAAAAGTATGGCATATTTGTCAAGAGAGAAACAAAAATTAGATAAATTTTTGGCACTCACTTCTTCGGTTTTTTTCTGAATAGTTGCACAAATTCATGTCATAGTGACTTTTCAGATGTCGAACTGTTAAACTCCTTACTTCCACACCCTGCTGCATTGCACTACAGCAACAAAGGCACAATCGGGGGTGCAGAATTGTCCCGGCCAGAGAAAAATTTATGAAAGCCTGCTAAATTTTCTCGAATATTTGTTTCTACAGCGTTTTAGCAAAGCGAGAGAAAAAATATGTCCTACTAATTCTTTTTTTTCCAAGTATGGAGGGGAAACTAAAAATGAATTTTGGTTGAAAATGGAATGGGGAACTTTCTGTACCCTTGTTTCCTACTTCCTCAAGTTAGTGAGAAGACTTGTATCGATTGGAGATATTAGAGCCAAAACCAGGTAGTCAGCGCAAATTATTCAACTACATCAAAACATTATGCACAAATCCTCGGATCATAGGTTGTAGATTGAGTTGAATGTGATTATGAAGAATGGTCAAATTCTTCCTTCAGAGTTGTGGCAGATAAATGAAAAAAACGGAAATAGAAAAAAATAATTTTTACTATTCTTTTCCAAGGAAAGGAACAAGGCAAAACAATGAAATCAAGAGATTGTCGGAAATAAATAAACCTTTTAAAAAACAATCGTAATAAAAGAAAAAAATTAAGATAGTAGGTAAATGAATAAATAATATCGAAAACAGTGTTCAACTGATTTAAGCAACACACTCAGTTTCCACAGATGACTTGTAATGAAAGATTATCGAGAACTTAGAACTGATTGAGGCATGTCAGGACTGCTCAATAGAAAGTAGTGAGGGATGAAAGAGAAGAGAAATGGGCGGAATATCAGAGTAGCCGTCACTTCTCCTTCCAAAACAATGCTCAAGGGATGTTGCAAATACACTTTGGTATTTTATTAGTGTGGCAATTTCAACATTTCAGGAATTTAATTACTTGAGACGAACATTAAAATAAAATAAAAAATCACAATTGAGCAATAGCACAATAAAAAGGTTGATTTCTAGTTATCTTAAGTGGCCCTTTGTTAAATTTTGAAGGGATATACTTCCTCTGAAGATAATTACAGATTTAGTTACTAAAAATTCTTATGGAGTCTTTATGAGGAGACAGCAACAGCAAATAAAGAAGGGCCTGTACATTTTCGTTTTCCATGTCATCATTTTAACTGCTTAAAAATTTGCCAGAGAAAATCGAATCATTCACAGTTTGTGCCAAATGAGATGGCTGACTTTCATAGTGCAAAAGAGAGGTACCGTTTTCAATTTTGCATTGAAACTAAATGCTAGAGACAACTTGTGGTCCTTTCATCTCACTCACAAAGTCAGCCGAATTATGTAGCACAAACTCTGATACTGTAAGTTGAAGGTTAGCAACAACATTCTACCATCAGTTTCACGGAACTTCGTTTCTAAACATAGCGAGATGAAAGCATGTGAGAGGAGAAATGGTATACATACAGGGTAATCCAAAAGTCTCGCACCATTCCTGTAACTCCAAGGATTCTTGCCCCCTTTCAGAGTGATCCTTTTAAAATTTTGTGGGTTCCCAAAATCGTTTTCTTTGACCTAAAGGCACTCACTAAATTCCTAGTTTCTATCTTAATTTGATTTTAAATTACAGCGGTAATGTTTATTGCTGGTGGTGCAGGACTCTAGGATCACACTGTATAACAAACATACATGAAAATGAAACATAGGTCCCGAGAGGAACAAATGAAAATCTATTGGCAAAGAATGCACGATAATCGTGGACTGCAACATCCGACCTATAAAAACCATTTTATAGGTCTTGTCTACACAGACGCAGTTTGGATGAACTAGTTCCACAAACAAGTTATAGCTAAGCTATAACAAGTTCCTGGAACAAGTTCGCCCGAAATTCCTCGAACTGCGATCGAGTAGACAGGGCCTTAAGCAGCAATGAAATGAAATGGAGAACAAAAATAACAATCAGGAATCGTTCATTTGGCTGACAACTTTTAGGTTCAGGGACAGCAACATATTTTTGAACACCTACAGTTGCATAGTAATTTGGAAGGGAGACTTAAAAATTATATAAAAGCGTATTAGTGTGCAATTAAAAAGTATCAAAAAAGCATCGAAACCCGGGGAATAGCACCGATATATACCCATCATTTTCACCCATCAGGAGTTACTTTTATGCGACGGAAGATTTAGTTTTGATACTGATAGATAAATCACTGTCACCCTTTCATTTTTGAAATAGATTGATGCCTCTACTTTTGTCTTTTCCATGTATTGATATTTTTGGTAGATTACAATTGATAGGACCCTTTTTCTCTTTGAACTTAACATTAAAGTCTACTTGTACTCTCTCTAAAGAGGAATAAAATTCTGAACATACAAAAATAGCTCAGAAGTTTCATAGGACGATTATTTCATCACATTATCTGTCAAATCATACGTTTAATACACACTGCAAAAGCAATAAAATATATGAAGCTCATTATAAAAGGGCGTTACTCCCATAAATGTAGTGACAATTTGGTGATTTTATTTTCTCTTGCGAGAAAAGTTTAATAGATTTTCACCAGACACAAGCAGAGTTCCTAATCTTCTTGAATAATTTCTGACGCAAAATTCAAACTTCAATGTACTAAGCAACTAACAAGTGAAATTACAGCCATCTTCTTAAATATAAAACAAATTTTATCTGTACAAAGTTGGGGCAATACAGCAATAGGAGACCAACTTCCCGTTGCCTTACGCATATAACATGACAGTGGTTATTTTACGAAATTGCCATTCCGTTCTAGAACTATCAAAAAATTGAACGAGCTTAATCAAAATTTTAGCTATTGAAAGTCCCTTAACAATAAAGTTCTAATTTGTGCGGATATGTCAAGTTTACTTAACAATTTCCTAGAACATCAGCTTCATAGGAAAACTTTAACAGGTAAACTCAAAAGACCCAAAAGAGTGATCCTAATTCCAGAGTTTACATTAACCTAGGCCCAAAGTCAGGCTCTCATGCAATCACTTCAAGGAAAGACCTTCCGTTAATGCTAGGAACTCATTCTTCCATGTCCCCAGTCAAGTGATTAGAATTGACTGGCGATGAGCCGAGATGAATTTTCAGACCTTTCTCTTTTCGGACCGGATTGCGACACTTAATTTTCTGCGAATTACTAAGATTCTCTAACATGTACTTCATATCCCTTTGGAGAGGATCGCTTTCATACTGTGAAGTTCGCATACATCTCAGAGGAACTTTCGATGAATGTAAAGAACTACCTTCATCTCGCTTATCTCTGGAAAAAAAAACAGAGTTCAAATAGATGAAATTAAATGAATGGTTGAATAGAAAAAGACAATGATTACAGTAGCTGCATGCTGATGCATCGTTTAAGAGTACATAGCTTGCTTTGTAGAGGAAAAACGGATGTTGAAAAAATAAGTACATATCTCAGTTCGTGAAATTACAAATTGTATGCTGCAACTTATCAATCTGCAGAAAATCAACTTTATAAGATTTGGCAAATTTTACGTCATATTTCTTCAACTATTCAAAAATATTTTCCAAAAATTTCATTAAGAAGGGAGAGAAAACTTTTTGGAACAACGAAATCTAGTAGCCTGATTGTTGAAAGTTTGCATTTGTCAGGTAGATAAGACTAAGGTGAAATGGATTTACAAGATCGGTCATCTATGTTGTTTGGGCAACTGAAGTAGCCACTTATCAGGCTGGGTAATCGACTGGTTATCGGCCAGCGAGGAGGTGCTTTTAGAGAGTCAATAATTCAGTTCAATTAGCGGTATCTTCGGTTACCCAAACAACGCAGCTGATCGATCAGATTTGGTACCCACTGTAAGTTTTTTAATGCGTAATTCACAGATTTACATTAGTACTGGACATTAAATGCGGCATCTGGATTGATTTCATTACTTTCAGAAAATCTTTAAATTCATCCATGGAGATATGATTTTGGGTACCTTTCATCTTATGTAATTAATCACAATCTGAGAATTACAAAATCTTCTGCGTTTTAGAATCTTACTGATTTCTCATATGAACTATTTTTATTATTTTTCCTGACAAAATTGAAACTCCAAGGATGATACGATACTTACATGTATAGGAGGACTGCACCATCTCCGCCTATCCTTAATGATGATTCTTTGAGGTCCTCTTCAGTATCATTCCAGCGGAGCTCGCCCAAAGCACTGCTGTCATTAGCTTTGCTATCTCCAGTTTGGTACGTAAAATGAGAATCGGGGAAAAGGAAGTGGGATTTAGCAACATCGATATGTTCTGCTGGAATGCCGCTCACTTTGGATATCTGTAACAGTGGTACCAAACAGGTTTGAGAGATATACTCAATGCAAGAAGAGAGACAGATAATCAATAAATGATCATCCACATGGAGGGATAAAGAGTCAAATTTTGATCGGGTAGTTTAGCATCCGGTTTATGTAGGAAAATGATCTGACAAACACTTCAAGGCGAGAATTTTACAATCATTACCCAATACATTTTGAAGTTTTAAAACTTATTAAAATAGAGGAAGTTAAAAGCTAACTGATACTTTCAGCAAAAGGATCTGAATGCCTTTCCTTTCACCGATTTGAGATAACATACAAAACCCCTGCACGTGATAACCTCATTCTCCGAAATGGAATTGGCACTTTTAGAAACTTTGTGACTTGCTTTGAGTGTTAAATAAGGTTACCAATTTCTTAACATTAATAATACCACAATTAAGAGTTTCAAGAATGAAGAAACCTCCAATTTTCAAAAATCACGCAAGCATTCTTTAGCTTTGTGCTATGAACACATCCATGAATTTTGTTTTGAAAACTTCTTTATTAGAGGAGATACTGAAACATGGATTTTAACTGGTTTTTGAGTTAGAAGCTTCGATCAACACTCCATGAATAAGGTGTATGAATAAATAGTATAACCAACATTTTCTTGAAAGAATGGATAAAAGTTAATGGACCACTAAGCAAGGTACGAATTGAAACATTCTGATACTTGTTTCCTCTTTGAAATTTCGCAAAAAAATCGAAAGGTATGATGAAAATTACTGAAAATAACGCTCAACCAAGATATTGAGTTTTTATTTAGCATTGGTTGCGACAACCACCCTGTATTGTTCTAAGGGTCAATAACATGCAACAGCTAGGCAGAATCGCCCATATTTTCAGACCGCTAACACTGTCACGGCTATGTTTAGTGCGTTCAATTGAAGTCAAGTAGGTTATGGTTTTTTTGTGAGCAGGAAGTTTGAATTTATGCATGGAAAAACTTTGGTATCTTTACCAGGAGTTACCTGTAGTAATTTTCAACGTAAAAATTGTGTTTTAAGTGGCATTTGATGAGAAAACATATATTACAAAGGTTAGTCGCACCTTGTCTAGTGGTTCATTCACTAGCATACTGTTGACAAAAATATACCTGATCAATGAGTGTAGTTCTGGTAGCATCTTCTTCAAGTACGATCTCAATGATTTCACCTTGGGTTTGATTCAATGGATCCCACCTACGAATGTAAACAGCCATCTGATCAGGATTTGTTTTGATTTCCGGCTCTTTCAGTTCCTGTAGGATGAGCTGCTCGTTCTTCTTCAAAAGTGGGATGTCTTCATCCCACAACTCTGTGTTCAAGCAAATTCTTCCTAGTTCTGCTGATTTCTTCCGCAGACGGTACATTGAATATCTATGGAATCAAATACACATATGAATCTTATTGAAATTGAATAAGCACTCTTCTAAAGATTGATGAGAATTCAAACCCTTGAAAAACTATTTAGTTTTAAAACTTTTTACCTCAGTTAACTTACACCTTGTAAAACTGTTGGTTCAAAAGACACATAGCTTTTCGCGCTATGATGGTGAAATGTGTCTAGGTGTTTCTTGCAATCAAAATGTTTGGTATTTAGTGAATCATTCATTGATTTATGACTCTTTAATGACAAAATTGTGATGAATTATCAAAGTTTGCTCACACAGAATTTGGGAATGTGGTTGTATTCTATCATTTGGTTTGAACCACCGCAAATTTATAATGCAATACATATATAACAATTATCTCAAATCGATATGTCGAATATTAAAAGAATGACACAGCCACTAAATCAGTCTATTAAAGTGGTATCAGGGCTATTCTAAATATTTTTATTATTATATTATAATTATTAATCTTATATTTTTTTACATCAATATGACGCTATTTAATCTTTATACGATCTTCTGACACAGGCACTATTCTGTCATAATGAAATTTCTTTTCCCAGAAGGTTTAATTTTTATTTTGGACACATATTGAAACAATTGTAAATTAAGCTTCAATATTTCATGAAATGTTCTACTCTGATACACCTTTGTAAACAAATATTAATAGACAAGGACTTGGTTCATTACTTACTTTTCTGGTGGGATGTCAAAGCCCTTTATCCTGACTAATTCCTTCAACATTGCATGCTTGGCTTCTGCAACTGGTTCACCTTTCTTCAAGATCCAATCAAACACTAGCGGGATCTGAAAAAAGGACAAAAATAGTGATAGTGATAAGTGATATGAAGAGAATGAGGATTAGAAAAAGTAAGTAAAGATTACTATTTACTTTTTAAGTTACATTCTATTTTTCAATGATTTATGTCCAGGACATTCTTATGACTGGCTTTATTTATTAATCGCTTAGCATCGCACATTGACAATGCTTGGACTCACTGACTGTATGTGATTTGCCGACAAGCTCAAAGATGAACAAAACCTGGTCAGATCTCTCAGTAAGATCCAAGCAAAATATTATATTACTCCTGCCTGAGCTGACCTCTCTTTTTTCTAAGCTTTGCACTGAAATTTAATTGAGTTCTTTGAGCAGCTTCGATTCTTTTTTTGTTATTCCTGACTTTCATTCTCTTTCAGAATAGTGTCAGAATCCCAGTGGATAAGCTGGTAGCAATTGGGCAATTTTCGAGGCGGGCAAATATTTTATTCAATGAAAACAGTAACACACGTGTCTGCTTATTTTTTTAGTACTTCTAGAAAATAAATTTAAAAAAACTAAGTGCAGCAGCCTCATTATCATAAAAAGTACATAATGAAGAGTGGCCGCCTAATACATGCTGGTAGAAAAAAAAAAACTACATGCATTTTTTTACGCTAGAAATATGATACAAAAATAATGTAGGTTTCTCACCTCAGTGGTTGGCAAAATTACCGCAGGAAGGAAAAATACTTTGACTTTCGTTTCTCCGTGTTTCAGATGTGGTTCCAATTTGATCACAAAAGAATTTTCTGTCTGATAATACCGAACAAAATCAAACTCATCTCTAATTTCATAGCTTTTTTTAGATGAATATATTTTAAAATACTGAGAACTAACACCAACAAAAGGTTCAAGATTTTCTAGGAGAGTTGGGAAAGGCATCCGTTTGTCTACTGACATCTCTGCAAAATAGAAAGAAAAAAAATTACATGAGATCAATTTTTCGTCAAAGTTTAAGACCTTAAAAAGAGATTCCAGGATTTCTACAGACTTGGAGGATAAAGTTCTTGGACTTTCCCAGGTTTTCTCAGATATGTGAAAAGTCTTTGAAGGGTTCTTCACATTCCAAGCCCAATAAATCCAAGTTGAGAGAAAAACGGGGAAAACTGTGCCATTTAGTTTACACTCAATCTATTGAGCCCTGAAAAGGTATGAGTCTGATAAATAACCATTGATACTGCGCTCAAAAGATTGAATGCACGCTGCTTGATAAACTCTTTCCCCTTTTCTTGAGACTTGGGTTTTAGCGCTTGGGGCCCAAGCTGCTTGGGCCCCTAAGAAAAATATTAGTTCAATTTGCCCAGGTAAAACTGGAGTCAGGGAGGTATAAATCTTTTGATTAGGTCTTGATTGCGCCCTGTTTAATTGTTCTGTAAAGTTTTCTTCAAGACTAAAATTTTACAGACTTTCAAGGCATTGAATCATTTGTGCTATAATTAAACTTACGTTTCAATCCATTTTGACTTTTGCCACTTAGGCACTTGCATCTGTATGACGTGACAGGAAAGTCACTTGAGGAGATAATGTATGAGCTTTCATCGCTGAAATCTTCTTTGGGTTCAGTCTGCTGGGTGTTGACAGGAGAGATATCAATAATATTTGACAAGGAAGTCTGATAATGTTTGATGAGATCTTGGCTCATTTGAAAACTTGTGTCAGGAGAATTACTCGCGCTTGACATTGGACAATCATCCGGACTATCTCCTATAATGGTACTGTGGACAAAGATTATGACAAAAAGATGTAAAAAGCTATGCAAACAAACTTTTCTGCTTTCGGACTGAAAAATTTACGGAAAAATGGGTTGGGAAGGATTTTTAATTTAACTAGTTTTAATTTTGTTCTAATTAAAAAAGTCCCGAAAAAACATTTTAAACGTGAAAATAGTCATCAAATGGTGTCCTTAACACCGAGTCTTACGGAGGGATAACTTCTAATCTCTTCTCTGCTGAGCCTTGATGCGACTTGATGCATTTCTGGTTAACTTAATTCTGATGATAACGATAGTATCTGTTTGGAATTTCCGCATGACAAGCAGATTTAATGTTTCATTTTATCAATTTAACCTAGTAGCCTTTAAAAACAAATTCAAGGCTTCTTTTTTGTTTAAACATTACTATTACCTTTGCATCAAAAAGTCTGGATTCTAAATAGATGGCACAGAACTACACTTCATCAATACACATGGGGTAAATTCTGCCTCTACATTTTGTCGTTTTCTGCACGAAGGAACGTAATTCCATTCCAAGGTTGCAAAACTGACTTAAACGAATCGACTTTTAAAGAGAAAAAATCTGCAGTTCTTGTCGAAAATTTGTTTGATTTTTGCTGGATATCAAGAAGGAAAATTGGTGAAAGTTCCCCCCAGAAGTTCTTGAAATTCTCCAGGTAAAAATACAATTTGCGAGGAAAAATCTGGCAACATTGAAATTTAGTTACATTCTTTTGCGAGAGAAACAACAATTTGTTCAAAGTTGTCAGAGTTTTCTTACCGTTCGCTATCAGTGAGACTACTTTCTTCACTTGCACTCTGATCACTAAAGTGGATTTGCTCTTCTTCGATATTCTCAAGATTGGGGACCGAACAAATCGGTTTGGCATTGGGAGCATCACCGGAACAGGCCGTCACTGCATGTCCTCCAGGATCAACCACTCCTCCTCCAGAATCACCACCAATTGTGAGAGAACAACTATCACCTAGGCAAAGAGAAAAGTATACAATAAAATTTTACTGAGTACAAATCACTATCATAATTAAAAATTCACTTTTACCATCATGGTTTCAACGTTTCAACAGGTTTATCAGGAAAATTCTCTATTGGGTTAGGATTCCATAAATTGTAGCGCGAGTTTAACTTTGGAAGTTCGTAAGAAAAGAGACCTTAGTCCTCGAGGGAAGATTTCTAAAGAGGGGAAATTTTTTTCAAAAAAGTTGAGTACAATCGGACAAGTTTTACAGAAAGTCAGACAGTTGTCAGTTTAAGGATGGAGGAGGGAATCTGACCGGAAAAATCGCTATTGAAAATAGCAAGGAAAATTTGTTAGGCAAGTGATACAAGTTACCATGGGTATTTTTGGCTGCTAAATCCAAACTCGACCTTGAGTGGTCCCCATTGAGCACAGGTTTTTCTAGAAAATTGAATAAACGCCCGAAAAGCTCGATTTCAGGGAAAAATTTCGACCTGTCCGGTCAGAACCAGACTGATCCAGAAAGGCGGAGACTAATTTTAAAATCTGCGCTAACAATCTACCTTGAATCCCTTACCAAATTTTGAGTAGATCTAAAAAAAAAGTTTACTTGTTAACCAGTGAAATTAGTAGATAGGAAAAGGGTAGAAGTTTAATCTTGTTTCTTTACTTACCTTTTGGTGGCACAAAACTGTTATCTGTCAGTATTCTCAGTCTGTGAGGATCTGTGTTTTTGGTAAATTCTTTTGTAGGTGGAGTTTCTTCTATTGTTTTGGTTTCTTTTTGATTTACTGTGCTTTTCTTCTCCTTTTCTAAGCATGGTATTGATAGTCTTTCTAAAATAACTGGAAAAAAGAAAATTAAAAACCAATTATAAGTATTGAAAGTCTGATATTAAACATTGATAAGCTGACATGGCTATTAAAAAAGAAAAAGAAAGAAATCAAAATGTACCGAAATATAACCCCAAAAAATAACATTCAATCTAATTTGATCACACATTTTCTTTCATAAGAAGTTTGTGATGGTCACGCATTTTATTCCATGACATTTTTCTAATTTCTCTGATATATTTGCATGCAGATTTATTCTGCTAATCTTCCTTGATTCTCATGTCTGGAGGAATTTTTCTTGAGGGAAAGAAATTTTTTAGGCAAAGCGCTTCAAAAGTACACTGCATGTAATAGTATCATCTCTTAAGAACTGCAAGACTTAACATTTAATGAACACATGAGAATTAATTGAAGTTAACATGACTCACTTGGATCTGCATCAGGAAGCTTGAAATTAACGGTGACTGAGTTCTTATCACAGTCGATGGCTTTCAGCATTCTTTCCATCACAGAGCGTGTTGACATTCCATTGAAAATGAAAGAAACGTACACCTTTAAAAAGAAAATGTGAAAAAATAACTGATTAGTATGAGGTACTAGAAATAGTGATTTTACAGATTTAGACATTTTTTCACAGACATGAACAATTTTTTAGATTAACTTTTTTGAAAAATCAAATCTTTTTCATGCAATATGAAGTGGTACATTTATTCTAGAGGATTAAAGCTTGAAACAGAGACAGACATATTTCATTGGTAGATAAAAAACTCAGACTTACCGGCATGGCGGAGGAGACTTGCTCCTGTTTCAAAGTTGCCTTGTCGTTGACAAGGAATTTCAAACGGGTCATTTCTAGGTGAAGACTTGAACTCCTCCTGTCTAAATCTGTGGATTTGAGTTTTGGGATTTCCACTGCAACCATGAATTTGATGCCTTCGGGTACATCAAAATCTGATCGTAGACAGTTTTTGAACTGTTCAACACTTAGCGTTGGTGCACAATAAACAAACCTCCCTTTGCTCACTTCTAGTTCATCGATATCTACCTTATGTACTGTGATTTTATCATCTGAAAAAGGAAACAGAAATTACAAAAATGCCTCCTAAATTATGTTTTCTTTCTCTGAATTTTGGCTGGAAGATGTAACAACAGATTAATTACTTAAAATCATAAGAGTTAAGAAAGAAAGTGGTAAAATAATTGACTAGCTACAATTAGTCGATTATATAATTTTAAATATATAGAGTGTAGGACTCAGAATCAGTAAAGACATTCATAAAGATGAGAATTGATGAAATGAAAAAACTGTTATATTAATCCAATAACCGGAGGAAAAAAAAGAATAGAGGAATAGAAGAATAGAGTCCAACCACCCCAGCTGTTGGCCATAGCTTGTTATGCTTATATTTCAAAATGAATGGTTGGACTATTGCTGAAACGCACCTGGGACAAAATCTAGAATAAAAGAAATTGGATGGGAGCAGAGGACCGCTAATGCTGTTTCCTTCTGCACAGGAGATTCAATAGAGAATGTTTATCAATCCAGATCTGTTGTAAGAAAGGAAAAGTAGCTGCGTCGCTTTCAGCGTTAACCATTCTCATGTCTTGTCCTTGTTACCTGAACGACTGTTGGGACAGCTTTAGTTTCTTTATCTCAGATAAACCCACCTCAGGCCCAATTTTACACCCGGCCCCACCCATGCACCCCATGCTATATACAATTGGTAACATGCTTGATGCATTCTTTTGGATACTATGCATTCTTGTCTTATTGTCTTAACATAATTAAACATTCTTGGTATACTACTGTCTCAAGTACATTATATAAACGCTCGGCTATCTCACATTCTTGATCAGATGCTCACAAATGATCAGTCTTAGACAAGTCGCGCCTCCCTCAGGTTCTCTTTCTGGGAGAGCTATCTCCATTTGATGTTGTAATGCTCTGAAAAGGCAACTTCCATCTCCCGACATTTTTTCGACTTGCACACTTCCAACGGTCTATGATACTACTTCTTCCATTATTGCTGACACTTTTTTGCTAAACACACACACTTTCTTTTCAGTTCTTGTTTAGTAGAAAGAATCCTCCTTTAACTTGTTCTACACTCCGGAAGCTTCTTAGCTTTCCCACACTACCACTGTACAAACAACCTACCTACTGACAGAAGAAAGCGCATCTATTAGTCACTACACGCTTGGCAAAGGAGAGAAAAAGAGCAAAAAAGAAAAAAACGCTACAGGGGGTGGCAGCCTGGACCGCGAGCTTTGCACCAACCCAAATAAGAAACTAACATGAAGCAAAACCAGCAACCAGCGATACAGAAAAAAACAAAATAAATAAATAATAATTTAGTAGCAAACTTAGACGGTGCAAGAGCGTGCATTTGTTACAATAGGAGTTTAATGGTAGCAGGGAGTCAGGGTTGTGCTTGATATGTTTAGACAGCAAGTTAGACGGAGCAAAGCATTCATTAATGCAACATAGGTTTGATAGTAGCGGGGAGTTAGGGTTGTGCTTTGATATTTTTATAAATTGCTCGCGGTCCGGCATGTTAGGGCGCGAACCGCTGAGATCTGGTTTCATAAGCTCTAATTCCTAAATGAGGCAAGAGAGACTTACTACTTATAGGTGGGGCCGGGTCTTGAATCATGCAACACCAAAACAACTACTACCAAATCAAGCGGTCGTTCTAGCACTACACAACCCATCTGGAGACCAAACGAAAAGGCACTCAGAATGAAAGCTTGCCGCGGCGAAGCTTTCAAATCCCACCCCAATAATTAGAGGAAAAATAAATTAAAAATAAAACAGTCTTTACTTTAAAAAAAATGAAATTTGAAAAAATGGGCAACAAATACATACTTCCGGGAAGACAAAGAACCGAATTGAGTTTTGAGTTGTGCGTTCTTGCAGTGACGTGATACAGTGACCTGACACTGTGACCATGCTTAGCAAGTAAGGATGCAATGGTATCATCATCTTTGCCTTCCAACAGACAATCAATCTTTGTCCCTCTCTTGCAGTAAATCAGTAACTGGTTTTTCTCCAAAGAAGGAACTTCAGGTTTTAAAATCTGAAAAAAAACAACAGAAGAATGAAACATTTCATGGTAAAAAATGTGACTCAAATGTTTACTTGCGTATTCAAAATCAGAATGGCTCCACCGATTTGGATTTCATTGCCTTATTGTATTGAGCGACAAACTGTAGGATTTAGATTTTGTGGGGAAAAAAATTCTGAGCTATACAAGGCTTCGGGAAGCTAGCCTTCAGTGAACGTTCATATATGATGAGTTATTGAACACATTTTGCTAAAACACCAATTTTACTTTAAACTATCAGTAGAAAATAGATCCATTATGTCTAAGGACATATTTAAATTGTTCATACTCCAAAAATTTCTTATGACAATTCTGAATTAAAGCTATGACTATCTAGACCATACAAATCACACATTGACATGAGGTGTCACCTGTCACAGACAGTTAAATGTTTCTCAAAAACATATTTTAGGCTTCGTTTGGTGAATCTGAAAATTTGATTTGAATAACAGAGAGTAAATACCTGGTATACATCATCAACTAATTTACTATAGCACGCAGAAATTTCATAGGTCCAATCAGCTCGCCATGAGTCAGGAGAGTAAGGATTACGACTACTAAATTCAGCATTGCTTTTTGGATAGAAAAATACAATGTTAAATGGTTCATTTTTCGTCATCCGCTCCGCCCATTGTTCTTTTTGAATCCTATCTTCCCACTGTTCTGAATCCTAGAGGCAAAAAAATATGATCAAAATTACAACATGATATCAGATGACCTTTTCTTCATGGTATAAATGATTTTCCTTGCAACTTCATTAAAAAAAGTCAGTGTAGCCTCGAAATTTTCCAATTTATTTTCATTCTTCTTTTTGGAATTTTTGCACTTAATCCATTTGAAAGAAAAAAAATATAGATTAAATGAAAAGTAGAAGTTGGAAAAATGTTTGAAACTTTTTCTATTACAAGGCAATTAAAAAAAAATTGAGCAAAGTCAATCCATGAAAGCGAATCATTTGAAAGGGTAAATGAGACATCAAAAATTTACACGACACTTACTGACTCTCTGCTTGCATCCTCCGAGGTTGAGTCTTTACGCCTACTTTTGAACCGCTGAAAAAGAAAAAACGAATATGTGAGTTAAAGAAAAGAAAAAAAGGGCAAAATTTGATGAAATCACCCTTCTATTGGATGGAAAAAGCAGACCACTTTTCGCAGTATTTGTACTCTAAGAATGATATTTAACCTTTATGGAATACCAAATAAATTATAAAAACGGAGGTTGGATATAGATTAAAATGTTGAATTTGTTTCTCATTAAACATCATTGAACTCAAATAATTCTCATTTTTTTCTCTTTTCAACCATTTCTTAATTTTTCCCAATACCTATGGATGGTGATTGTGAAGCATACTAATTTAATAACTCTGTATTTGATATTACGCTTTAGTTAACCGTTTTAAAAAACGTGACCATCTGCAATAAAAAAGGACTTCAGTGCATAAAGGTAAATTTTTTAGACACAGGATTCTTTGCAATTTGGATTGAAAAATCAAACTTCGAGTTTTCGAGGAAAACACTCTTAAGAAACGAGTTTGACTACATTTTGAGCTGAGAGAACTACACCCTGCGGCTCATTTATATAATTACTTCTGCAAATAGAAACTAATGGCACATATTTTGTTTCTGAAATAAACCAGAAATAGTAGTATTTTATGGCAAGATCGCTGAAAAAAGGGCATAACTACATTGATAGATGAGTCAGAGAAAGCATTGAATTATAAGGACGACAACGTTTATTGCAAAATGTGATTATGTAATTATGTCAGGAGGGCGACAAATAGAGCGAGTAAGGGTACATTCTAATCAGACAGTTCTAAGCCCTGCACATGGCCAATCAGACCTTTAAGCAGACCTCTCTCAAAGATACACCCTTTGAACCGCTAATTTTGGACCTGGCTCAGTTTGCTGTTAAAGGAAATTTCTTAAACTAATAAGTTCACAAAACACACCTCAGTTTTCTTGACTTTGAATTTTTTTGCACAAAAACACCTCTTCCTGAGGCTAGTCACAAAATTGATTTTCAGGGAATATTTTATGATAAGTCAATGGAGGATTTAAGGCAAATTTTACAGATGGAAAACAATATATTATCTTGGTTTTGATAAAATATTTTTGAAAATTTACTACATTGAAAACTGTGGTGCAGAATTCTCTAATGCCAGTATAGATAATACTTCCAATCAATTGAAATTATTTTAACGAATATTTCACGTTCTGATTAAATTTCAAAATATATTAACTTACCACTCTTTTTTCCAATACTTTTGGAGAGGTTTGAGAAGGCTCCTGAAACAAAACGAACGTTTTGCATAGCTTAATAGAGAGCACAGTAATGTTTGTTCCGGAGACATTTAATGACTTGGAAACGTGTTATGTAATATTACTTCGATGAATAATCTACTTAATGTATTACAAAATAAGAGTGAAAAAATTTTTTCGTTCCTTACCAAGGTTAGGTTCTCTTTCCGCTCCTTTCGCTGTGCATCATAGGAAAACTTTTCCGGCCTACTGCCATCCTCCATTACTTTGCAACGCATTGAAAATTTGTAGTCCATTTCCTTAGAGAAATAAAAACAAAAAAAAGTTAATGGGGAACACCAATTCACTGTTTAATCGGTTCAGCAGATAGCGCTGAGAGCATCAGTTGTACTGATCCATTGTTTGAATTGGTCGAACAAAATTTCATAATTTCAAATCAACTCAGGTTGCAATAATTTAATGAAAAAAATAAATAAACAAATAATCTAATAAAATAAGAACATTATTAGTATAAGGATTTCAATGTGACCAACAAAACTATTTGATACACTGAAGCTTGGTAAATTAAAGGTTGTTTTATCATGGGTCATTTTATAAAGGGCCATTATACCAAGGGTCTCTACATCAAAGGTTTTCATATACAGCAATTAGAGCAGTGCAATTGAAAATTTTTTATGCAAGGAATTAATGTATGTATAAAGCCGCTTTTATAGCGCTCTCTGACGCTCTGCGACACCTAGCCGCCAAAGTCCCCTATACTCCCAAAGCCCTTCAGGGAGTTGGCAAACCCTCATTTCTTCTGAAACTCCTGTTGCCACCCTTTCTCTGGATGTCCCCTTCGTCTCCTCCCAGGAGGAACCCAAGCAAGCATCTTCTTTGGCAGCCTTTCGTCTGTCATTCTATTGACATGACCATACCAGACAAGCTGTCTGGTCATGACGTTGAATATGATGTCATTTTCGACTCCTTTGATCTGAAGCACTCTTCCATTGCGGATCCAAGGGAGGAATCAATAACCTCACAAAATTTGCACTAAGATACCTTGTCCATAAGGACGTTAGCTTGCCAACAAATTTCATTTTTTATTTGAGGTAAACCGCCAATCTTTACTATACAAAGTATCAGAAAAAATTTCATCATCGATATTAAAATGCAACAAACGCACAGTAGGAATAATTTAACACAGTTGTCAACACGTTTAGTGCAATTTTTCACCTCTAGAGGCTAGGAACGCGCTACTGTACAATTTACATGAATTCGAACGAACACAGCAGGAGACTCATAAGAAAAGTCAGATCAATTTCAATGTCAGATTATTTTCAATTTTTGAATTGTTCAATTCAATTACAATTACAACTGAAAAAAGTAATTTCAATTGCAATTTTTGTGCAATTAATTTCATGGCTCTCATTAAATTTTCTAAGAAGGCACTCCGTCAGCAATTAATTTTAAACAAAAATCCTCTTTTATACTTGTAAGGTTGCTGAGAAAGTGTTCACAGAGGCATATTACATACTTACAGCATAAGGATCAGCTTTTTCTTTTTCTTCCAGCCTTTCGTACAGTTTCTGCAAAAATTGAGACAAAGAGAAAACATTTTAATTCCACTTTGAGGAGATAAGTGTACCTATAGTCAGCTAACTTAACACAGTGAATCAAATAATGGTATTGATCAATTAAACGGTTTCAGCTAAATTTGCACCTTTATTTTTCTATTTGAAGACCTTGACTTCAGTGAAAAATCTCTTATATACTAGGCATCTACTCTTCAGGGATTTGATTTTTTCAAAAAATCAAAGTAAAAGTTAAGAATTGTCAGATCTGGCAGATTCCAGTGGCGTAGCTAGAATGATCGATTTATCGATATCTCGCCATTTGAAGCTATGGTAAAGAATCGATTACTACGGTGTTCACTGCGAACACTCTAATAATCGATCTTTTTTTAAAGGTTTGAGTGGCATATCAATCGATATATCGCAAAGCACGCCACGCCACTAGCAGATTCATGTGCGCCATGAATAAAGTCCTTAGATTCACCCTATAAATGTGGTCGCCAAAGTTCCCATCATTTGATGAGTAGAGTCTCTGAGAGTTGTTATTGGTAAGCTGATACAAAGATGAGTGACATCAAATCACTTTCAGCGAGTACGTACCTTTATGTGCTGGGGGAATTCATCAGCTGTCATTGCAAAAGCATTTTTCTCTTTGTCAATCTGTCGGTACATTAACATGTATGCATTTGTACTCGAACTGTAGGCACCGGAGTAATATGCATGCCGTGAACCTCCACCGAAGGTTTTTTCAATGTCCTCGGGCATCAGCTAAAAAATTGGAGAAAAAATGAAAAATCAATATTGCACCTTTACACAAGTTGATTTTATTTTTGCAGGGGTAAGGGGGCAAAAGGAACCAATTGGAAATGTAGGCCGTTGATTGACTGCCGGGAAATAAATTTTAGCTATTTTAAAATACTTCTCAAAAAATGACAATGAATCCCTGACTACTTCCATCAGAACTACCAAAATGCAACAACGGAAAGAGTAATTTTGACGCATTTTTCAATGAAAAACTAACCTTAAATTTCTCTTTTAAAATATTTTTCCAATTTTTCAGCTTAGCTAAAAAGAAGAAGTCAAAAAATTAAAAATGTGGAGTAAACTCAAATAAGGGGGGGGATGCAGTTTTTATTTAATGAATTCTTGAACTTTCTGTGTTCTTTATTCTTTATTTTCTAGCCCTTTAGATACTCTCTTGATATGGTAATGGCACCTCCCAGAATAAGAGAGGATAGAGGAGTAAAGAACAAAGTTTTTATCTATAATTCATTATCGTTCCATCCAATTTTCATCTCGTTATTTGCAAACAAAAATTAATCAGAGAAAAAAATAATCTTAAATATCAAAGAAAAAGTCACAATTTAAAGGAGAATATTTCCCAGAATAAAACAATTGAAAAATATGTTGTGATTAATTTTTTATTGCAACTTACTGGGCTAACTGATTGATCATTAAAACAAAACCACTTCTGCGATGAAAAATCCTTGATGTAAGCATAGTAATGACCACCGGATGCGCTCCCAGAGTGAATCATGATGGAGAACAGCTCATAAACGTATTTTCCCGTAACGTCCTTTGAAAGACCATTGGATGTACAGCCTACTTCGATGCCTTCATCACTATCCTGAATTCAGAGCCAATGAATTAGAATTTAAACTGTTTGGAAAGAGAATTGTGTTTGTCAAAGCATTTAACTTCCTGGTTACTTAACTTTAAAGATTATTTGTCTGAGGCTTTCACAGAAGTCAAGGCTACTGCAAGAAGGGCTGTGCAAGTCTGATTTTGTTCGTTGGAGTCGAGTTTGAGTTTTTCCCACTTTTTTTAGTCACGATTGAGCTATTTTGAGCTCCTGAAAGAACTCTCAAGTCAAGTCAAATTTGAGTTCAAATATGTAACATTATTTTCAACACTATAAAGTTGCTCCCTCATTTAACTTGGGAATTGTTTTTATTCACCAACTTTCTCTGTATTATTGAAACTTGAAAACGGCAATCAAGTCAAGGGTTGAGTGCTCGCCCAGTTTCACATCACCTTCGAATCAAGTCGAGATTGAAGGGCTGGGCTTGGCTTGACTTAACTCAAAATTTGAATACTAGCACAGCATCAGTCTTAGGTTCATCCTTCTCTTTCACACGCTCACATTTCAATTTTCAAAAATGATTGACATGATACTGTTCCTCCTAACGCATATAGTAAGAAATAAAAATAAAACAATCAACAGTAAAAAACCTATTTCTCACTTATACACTGTGCTTTTTTTTGACAGGGTGACATTAGGATGTTTTGGAAAGAGTCGGAGCTGATTCGAAAAAAAAAAGACTTAAACTGAAAAGGCTAATTCTACCTGGTCCATTTCCTGGGACGGAGTAGCTAACGTTGATTCGACAGAAGGCAGGCACGAGTCCTCATCCAAAGCAGAGCCACTATCAGCTGTGCTGTTGTCATCGTTCTTCTCGCCGCTGGCTAAAGTTTCTTTTTCACCGATTGAATTATCCTCAAAAAAATGATCTAAATTCAGAATTTCCGGGAATGTCACACTGTAACAAAAGTAAGCCAAAAGAGCATCCTTTTAAACGATTTTCAGAGAGACATGTGGTTGAGGAACATGAGACTGATTAAGTTTACTTAGCTGATTAAATATGATTGACTTTGAGAGAGAGAAGGTAAGAAAAGAAAACTGACAAGGTGCATAGAGTGATTTGGTTGTGACCAATGAATTCTGAAAAACTGTTAAAAGGTGTGTAGAATATACGTAAAAGGATTGCTAAAAATCACACATAGTTAATATTCAAAGAAAGAGGAAAACTCATCAACTTTTTTTTTTTTCGCTTTATAAGCAGAAAAAACCTTTGCTTAAGATTTTATTGTTTACTTCAAATACTCCAAGGGGGCAGTCCTGCTCTTTAAGGTATGGTTCCATCCTTCCTCAGTAACCATTTAATAACCAGCCCCAGGTAGCCATTGTTTGAGACCACCCGACTCTAAGAAGCTCAACTTTTCTTAAAAAAACACTACTTTCAAATCAAATGATACTCTAAAAAAAGACTTTCTTCTAAGTTATATGCTGTATACAATCATACAAATGAAAAAAAATTAAACACTAGGAAGTGGCCCGAACTGTATATAACAAGGTGGAGAAATGGTGCTGGGTCCACACCATTTCGCGAGGAAGATTAAGTTGGAGTCACGCCGAGAGATCTATACCAGTTTGGGCCTTATTAGACCTCATCAGCAGATCACACTCGGCAGTGAACCCAACTTAACATGCCACAAAATCCAAGACAGCATTAAAACGCCGTCATGGATATGACCCGAGGCATGACACAAAAGTGTGATCCTCGCGCCATCTACCGTCGCTGCTGAACAACTCTCATAACATAACAAGGAAAACCCGAAAAAATGATTATCGGACAATACAATACAATTATACATACCGGTCATTTAACTTGATTCGATGCATTGTCTTGTAGTCGAAATCAAATCGCATCAGATGAAATGTTAGCAAATAAGGGAAGTGGGTGAATTTCAGTCCTTTGTGGGCGTCACACTTTTTGGCACAGCTTTCACAAAAATACTGGTTGTTGCCATCTAAAGTTTCAGGTTTGACAAATCCTCTCAAAGCCTCTTCCTGCAAGAAAGCAATACAAAATACCTTGATAAATTTTCATTTTTAACAATCGTTTGAAACATAACTACTGCAATATTTGAAAGATTCATTTAAAAATCTTAAAAAGAACATTTTGAAGCGATTTACAAGTACCTAGTACTTAATTAACAACGAAAATCAGAGTCCTTCCAGCTGTTTAAATTCGTAGCCGACAAACTTCAGACTGTTACAAATGCTTCACAATCAATGTTTCTTTTAAAAATTAAGACTAATAAATTATTTAATAGGCATAATATACATTTGAATGCATTTACATTTGGACAATGAATAGAATTTCTAATAATTTTTGGTAAAAATTTGATCTTGCCAAAATGAAGGATCTTTGGTAAAGGATTCAAGATCAGATACGTAAAAATTGCAAATTGTACTTACAAATATTACAGGTTTACCTTTTGACCAAACCAAAGAAAAATATTTGTAAGAAGCAAAGCAGAATTTAACCCCTCCCCCCCTTCTGATAAATCGTCCTTGATTTGATAAAACATCGCTGATTGTAAGGAGGCATTTCATATATGTATTTCTTCAAAAACGTGACCATCTACAGGAAAAGTCACTTCAATGCTGAAACACTCAAAATTGATTTATTTGTGCCATTGAGAATAGGAGTACTATGTAGACATTTCGATACTGAAACTTTTCGGTAGCAAAGCAGAAAATTTTCTAATTTAAATGCCAATTTACACCCTCTTTAGGTGCAAACATAAAAAAAGCCACTTTCAATTGAATCTAAAAGGCGTTTCCGGCGAATAATTCAAGCATGGATTTTTACAAAAATTTCGATCCTGAAAAACTTAGTGCAAAGGTCCCTCCCCTGTGGACAGCCACAAATATAAAACGTACAATACTACTGTAGGCGGAGGTAGCACCAAATGGTCGGATGGGGAGAGGTATATCCAAAAATGTATCTTCACGTTGCTTTTCCCGTTTGCACTCTAAACACTTGACATAGTCGATCATTTTACCTGCGAACAAATGAACATTTGATATGATGCCAGAGTGATATAAAAAAAAGGAGAATACGTAATAGATAACGCATGAAGTAAAATAAATGAAAAGTTGCATGGATGATTGTTTAAATTACTAGGAGAAAGCTGTAGAAGACCTATGGAGTAGCTGGCACCCTGTCCGATAGATTTTTTAATTTTGCTGCACTTAAAAAACAACTCGTCTATTACATTAATACACACATTCTGACATGTAATTTGTTACCTCCTGCACAAAGGAATATATCTCTATTGCACTGTATCCACATTCTTTACATGCGCTTAGTGGTTTTTTTTTTTTTTTTGGTACCTAGGAGAATCGTTGCATGAATTTGCGTGAAATTTTCACAAATTTTCTTACACTTGGGAGCACTAAAATTTTCAGAAAAATAAACTTACTGTGGAAATACTGCAACAAAGCAAACAAGATACATTTCTTCATGCAAGAGACAACAAATTTTGTTGGGGTCTTCTACATAAGCCAAGGGAAATGAACTGACAGTTTCAAGGCATTATATTGTTTGGTCCTCTGAAAAGCGATTAAACTTGAGAGGATATTAAATAGTATGAAATGCAATAAGGCTACTTTTGGTAGAATACTGAACAAGATTACTTGACATTTGAATAAATTACTTTAGTTTTGATGAGTATCAATTTCAGCAAAAGAAAATGGCGGTGATATGCAGAGCTGACCCATACTTCGGTCTTCCTCTGTTGTTCTGCTTGTATTTTGGGTATACTTTTTTCCCTAATCTTTCCTTAGGTGGAAGATTTGCAAAAAGACTAGTTTTAAGATAACAAGTGTGTAATAACAAGCGAGACAAAATATTACAGGTTCATCAAATTTGATGGAACCATGATGGGGGTTTGCTGTCGCTATTCTTAAAAATGCCAGTAAGTACCATCAGACAACTATCAGGTACCTTGATACAACTTGTTGATGAGATTGGCTTGTTCAGTTCCTTTGAATTTCTGCTCCAATGCATCGAACATAACACGACACAGCTCTTGAATATCGTGCTGCTGCCATGCTTCACTTGAATCCCAACCAAAACTCTGAGTGAGCTCAGTTGTTTCGACAGCACTTTTGGACGAAGTCTGAAAAATACAATGAGATTAATGAGTTTCATTATATGAAATGCAATGTTAAATATAACATTTATCCACCTATTAGTCTTCGGATCTGCTTCAATACTCAACACAAAAAGGATTTTTTTTTACACTGAAAGCACAACAATCAGCAATTTAATGAAAGACTCCAGTAGAATTTATACAGGTAATGTTGGATAGACGATTTATTTTGATTTAGACTTCATTGGGGTTACCTTGACACTTTGAATACAAAGAAGTGGAAATTTTTCTTGAATACGTGGGCGCAAAATTGTGAAATCATGGCCCCTGAGATTAGTAGCAGTATTAAATTAAAGATAATTTGAGTGGTTGAAATCATCAACTGAGTGGCAAAGATTTTCCTTGCTGTAATTTTTTCCTCAACGTGGGATACTTTGACTATAAAATTTGATAATATTATTTTGGGATAAATATGCATATACTTCAAAAAAAAAAAAATCTAATTTTAATTTTTTTCCCCCCAAATTTTGAAGTTCAGCCCAATAATTTAGTGAGGCTTAGTCACATGCTACTATACTGCCTGTTGTGATTACTATTTATCTTTAGTTGCAAAGAAAATAAATTACGGAGAGAAAAAAAATGATAGGATGAAGAAAAAGCGATGAACACCTGTAAATTAAGGAAGAGCTTCTGCAACTGGTACGGTATGGATTTTGTTTCTGGTTGTTTGGATGCGCTCCCGTCGAATTCCCAACTGTACAGAGCATTGCGGAATTCAGGGGTCATATACAGTGCTTGGAGCAGACTGTTGAGGTAACATGTCATAGCTTGATTGACCAGCCCAACATACCCTGGTGCGATAAAAAAAAAAAAAAAAAAAAAAAAAAATGTGAATGAAAGATTTGATTTCAGAGAAGTCATAAAGTCATAGTTCATGAAAAACATAATACAAGAATAAGAACTGCAAAAATTGATTGAATACATAGTTTAGACTTGCTCTTACTTTTTCAAGATGAAAAAACTTGTTTATATCAATTAAATAGAGTCTTTCCTCTTTTTTTCATCAACTACTGTTTCTTTGACGATGACTTCTGTGACTAATGCTCTTACTAATTTTTAGATACCTGATAGACAATGCTGTTCAGGACTTTCTTCCTAGCCCAGCGAGCCTAGTGTGCTCTGACATTTTTTCGATAAAACTCGATGCTTTGGAGATCTTCTTTTAGCAATATTCCGGCTGATGATAGAAATCAAGTACCTACTCTCTAAAAATAAAAATTGAAGAACCATCACCAACAATTGTGGGCAATTCCTTTACAGATTTTTGATAAAAAGTTTTAAAAAAAGTTCCAAAATTTCTGCGCATTTCACAAAATTTTGGTATTTTTCAAGAAATTTAGGGTCAAAATTTGAATTTCCAGATTTTCAAACTTTGGGATAATCCTAAGCAGGAAGAAAACTCGGGATAATGATAACCAAACCGAACCTGTGCGCCGTGAGGTAGAGGTGGATGGAACATTGTCAACCTGCCAGCTCCTTTGAGTCGTTGATAAACCATCTTTGATATCTCTTTTACCATCGCCGGATGAAAAGTACGGGGTGGGAGGTGACGGAGGTTGTGGAGGTGGCGTTGGTATTGATGATGTGCTTGTGGGGCTAGCAGAAGCTCCAAGACCCAGTTCATCCTCAGCAGGGATATCTAGAGGGTCCGACTCTAACTGCCGCTCTACTTCTTCCATTTTTTCTGTCACACGTAAAAATAATAAGTGTTTATTAAGAGATTTTGAATTTCTACAGATTTTTTTTTTTAGGAAGACATGATGTTATTTTGACTAAACATCGAAGACAAAAAGAAGCAAAAAACTGATTGAAACCTGAATTTACGTTTTAAAAAAGATTAGCTTGTGATTAGCACTTGATATGGCAAGGATTATAACATTGCGATCAATCTTTTCTAATGAAACAAACGCTACCATTACAGCTTGAACTGTGAGAGTTTTTTCTGAACTTGAGAAAACATTACAGAGAGCACTAGAAGAACACATCAGCGACAAATACCTGGTTGGTTGAGATTGAGAGACAGCCCTCGAGGCGGTGGTAGGTAGGGGGCGGCCAGATTGGTTGGACTGGCAGACGCCCCCAAGGCCAGCTCATCGTCCCCTGTATTAAATTCCGGCAATGGTTCGGAGTCATCCTCACTCAGACCTGAGGGCAGATGCGCAGGTACTGGACTCACAAGAAAGTGGTTCGAGGAGCGGTTTGTGATCCCAAGGCTTTGAAGGCTGACTGATGCATCACTGCATAAGACTTTATTCTGAAAGAAAAAAAAATCGGAGTTTTGATTTCAAGAGTCGATGCTTTAACTACAATAGATTCTAAATGTTGAATTATAGGGACATAATTTTAAACGTTCACGTTCATTTGCCTGTTCCAATTTCTTTCCCTGAGCGGAAGTTTATTGTACCATGTTTAACAAAAATCATTAAGAAGGTTTTCTGCAGCTTTCAGGAAAGCTTCCGACAAAAGTGAAATAAGCTCTCCAAATTAGGAAAATTGTTTGGAGATCTGTATTCTTAACTGATCATTTACCTAGCATTAAGCTGATGGATCAGAACTAGCTTAGAGCCGTAGCATAAAGTCATTGTGTTCGATCCATCCAATTAATATTCGAAAAGAGATTAGACTTACGAACCTCAGGTTCACAAATCCACGTAATCTGGTACAATCCTGGTTCCTGTCGAACCTGGTGAAGAACTTGCTTAACAAAATCACATACAGGCTTTTCTTGAGGCACCCACAACTGTATCTCTTCAGAATTGAACTTAATAGAACATTGTACTCTATCACAAAGCTCCCCTTGACTTGACATTCCCTGAAAAAAGAAGCAAAGAACAAAAATTAAGAGTAAAATTACGAGATGGATGGAATTATTAAAAAAAAGATACAAATAAAATGTCATCGCTTAGTGAATGTTAAGTGTTTTCAATACCCTTTCCGATTATCAGATCAGTCTTTTTCTATTCGATCTTGCATGTAAAACAAGCTTTAGACCTTTCAAGTAATGTTTTGATGGACAAACAGTCGATATTGAAAGTCTCGGAGGAAAAAGACCCATTTCTTCTAAGAGGAAGTTTTAGATTAACATGTGGAAGCCTGTTCATTAAGTCCCAATCTGTAATTAGAACCACAAAATTTTTGTCAGCTCAGCATGAAAGAAATACTTAGAGAGAAAATAAAAATAATTTATTATTAAAAAAGGTGCAATGAAAGTTTCTTTCAGATGATGATTTATAACCACTTAACAGGAGTGAACATTTTTGTGCAGAGTCACAACAACAAAGGCACAAATTGTATACACAAACATCCTGCAAATGAGTGGCTATGCGTACATTCAGGGGACATAGAATTGAAGATAGTTGGAATGAATTATTCAAAAACTCAAATCAAAACCTCAGCAAGCTGAAAATGTACAGGGAGGAAAAATAATGAAACACCCTTAAAATTCACCATTTTTTTTTCTTTCATGCCATGAAGTATTTCCTACAAATTTTTAGTGAAGTTGGTTGGTTCTGCTTTAAAAGTGTTAAAATTGAACAAAATTAGAGAGAAACATCATCATTCGGATGCCTCCTGATTTTTGTTACATAGGCTGTCGGTGTATTTAAAGCCATGCTTCCTAAAGTTTTTCCGTCAACTTTAAAAATGCGGTGAAAACGGATGATTTTGAAATTAAATCATAATAATTTCGACCAAAAAATCAATATAGTTGTTCTTTCATCGAAAAATGAAGATTTACTATTTCCTTGATCCAATGAAGCAAGGCAGTGCTTAAAAAGTGAGCCTTCTTAAATTACATTTGTTATCAATAAAGGTTTAACAGCGATTAAATTCTGAGGCATCAAAACCAGCCATAGTTAAAGACTTCAAGAATGGCTCTGATACTGTAACCATGTCATACAAACCATGTTAATCAAATAGGTAACATGTCTAAATACCTGACTGTAAGAAGACACGATAATTTTGGATGAGTTAAAAATAGAAAAGACGGTGTGGTGTATCTTTCAAGCTGAACTTACCATGAGTGGACTTAAAAACACATTCAACAGAAAATAGAGGCTGAGGGGACTAAACACTCACTTCAGTCACCACCCAAGGGGAAAATAAGGGGAAAATGGATAATAGGAAATTCCAAAATTTTGAAAAATCACCAAATAATCAATATTCAAAAATACATTGTGATAAGTATTGGGAGAGGCTGCAGCCAAGAGATGGCACAGAGCCAAGAAATAAAATTTGAGGGAACCAAGATTGGAACATGACCAGCTGAGAGAGAAGGAGGACTGTACTAAGACTAAATATAGCTGCTTCACTGTACACAAGAGGTTTACTAACATTTCTCGTGTCAACAAGGTGGCAACAGCTAAGGAAAATTTCAGAAACAAATAAAAAACAATCTAAGTGCGCAATGAGCCTGTCAACTTCATTTGACAGCAGTCATTTGACACTGACTAATCCGATGTTGTAATGACAGTGAAATTTGTGGAAATTGAATTTAGAGTCATGCACACTGAAGATTCTCCCCTTTCCACAGAATTTGAAACATTAATGTGAAACGGAGAAGAGAAGCCAAACTTCATTACCATTCCTACATTGAGATTGAAATGGAGAATTTTAAACAAGGATTTGAAGCATGGACATTTTTTAAATTGGATAAAGAGTGCTGAAAAGGCTAATTTCACAGTGCTCTTCACAATTTTTCTCAAAAACAGAAAACTGGGGGAAAACTGATTTGAGAGTGAGAACATGTGCCTTACGTCTATGTCATGGTCTCTCCAGTTTAAACTTTTTCCTTACAGAGAACTTGATCATTCTTTGATATTTTTGCTAATTTGGCTTGATTCAAAAATGGAGGATATAAGCCCAGCCAACTTAATAATGTTTACTCATTGTTTAGACATTTACATGTTTTCCATCAAGTTGGCCATGGAATTAAAGTTGAAGAAGTCCCCCTACCCTTTCTTAATCCCTACTGAGTCACCTACTTCCCTGGGGCCCTTGATTAAAATCACTAAATTTAGTTCAATTGCCCAGGAATCTAGTTTGTGGCATTTTCATCATAGGGTAAAAGCAACAACCGTGACTTCATATCAGGTCATGATTATGACAAAAGTAGTGAGCAACCTACTTAGAAAAGTTTTGGAAAAGTTGACTCACAAATTAATGACAGGATAAAGTCCGAGACATTTTTTGTACCAATTTTTAGTACAAACTTTATAGGCTCCATAAAATTAGTGAACAGGGACCCTCAAACTTAGAGTGCTATTTTAAAACACCAATGTAACCAAGACAAAAATAAGTGCCAGCATGCCTGCATTTAGACAATGGCTCCTTCTGAAACCTAAACATTTACACATAGGCAACACTGCAATTTCTGGAATGAACCGCTTTTGGTCGACTTTTTGTGGTTTGTTTACATCTCATTGCAGCTTTTATTTAATGAAATTTCAAAAAAATAAATTCACACGAAGTGAAGCCGTGGCAAAAAGTACACGCTTAAGATTCCTGCTGATTCAGACAATCCATGATACTGTTTGTTGCCTGTTAGCTTTAGTTAACCACAGCTGCGGTATGTGTTGGATGCAAATTTTATGTTTTTATTCATATGTTTCCTTGTAATTTGTTTGTCTTTTTAGAACAAGGGAAGAAAATTCCAAGGAAACCTCAAAACAAACCGTTGACTACCTAGTCTTCCTTCATAAAATAATATAAGAGCAAAGACTCACATCACAATCTGAGCTACCCATTTTTTGACTAGTTCATTTGTGTTCGTCTATGTATTTGTCCTGCAGAGCGAATTTAATTGTCCTGTTGAAAGAGCAGTGCTCAATGTCAGGACCAAATGAGGAGCTCAGAGGACAAGCCGCACAAATGTAGTTTTTGAAAAAAATGAGATATTAACGATTTAAGGTAAAACTAGTCTTAATGCATATCCTAAGAAAAATATGCTTCCAAATTCCAATTTATCAAGCATCAAAAAGTCAGTTTGAACTTTCTTTTTGTATATTTCTCGAGATAGCAAAAACTGCACTTATGCACCTTGTCCACCTATAGCCCCTCAAACGTTCTTTTATAGTTGCATTTTTCATAATGCATATTTTTTCTTGCATGAAAGAAAAAATAGATGAAGAAAAAATTATAAGAAATGATAATTATGCATCTTCTTCTAAATATATGAAAGAAAAAATTACACTAGGTGCGAGAGGGGTACTTCTTAGTTGCGGCATTTTGGAATCTCTGTCCTTATTGTAAGTCTTGGAGCAGAATAAAATAGGTGATTTTTCTACAGGTTATTCATGGAACATTGAAGAATAATGAAGAATATCTGGTTAAAATTTCAATGAGATGCATGCATTCCCTTCCCTTACAAGAAATAAAAGATTAGCGGAGATTCTTTAATACTGCAACCGAGAAAGGTGTCCTTCTCACACCCGTGACAAGATATGCAATAAAAAAACACTTTAAAAAGCGGGTAACAAGGCTAAAATTTCACATACACAAAACCAAAACGTTTCGGCTGACAACAACAACAACGGTAATAACAACATGTAACGTTTCGGTAATAACAACATTCCCGATTGAAAGGTACTTATCAGGTGCTATTTTAGATTTTTAACCATTTTTAATTTGATTTATCTAACTGAGGATGGCTGAATTTTCAGCCGAGACGTTTTGGTTTTGTGTATGTGAAATTTTAGCCTTGTTACCCGCTTTTTAAAGTGTTTTTTTAATGTGCTTCTCACACCCAGCACCTCAAGTGCGGCCAAATCTGACATCACGGACAGGCACAGATTACAGAGATAAGTACTCATTTTCTGGGAAAAAGCAGGGAAAGCACAAAATGGTAAAACTCTTGAAAAACAGGTAAGTATGCTGTGTGCTAGGGCTTAAAATTTTTTTATACACATTATTTTTTCAGTAGAGTCGCCCAAGTTGATTTTCACTATCTACGATGTTAAAAGTCATTGAGTGTTACAATTTGAAGTAAGATCCTTACCTTAGACTATAAGACTGCTGCAAAAAATAACATGTTTATCCACTTTAAGGACAACTGATGGTTCGGCTAGGTACTATGTTGACTGGAACTGTCAAAAATTGCATCAGCAAACAGCCTGCAAAAAAATAGACATACTTAAATAAAAAAGAACTGAACAAACACCTGTACTCTAATAGGGAAACGAATAAAATTGAGGACACAATAGAAATTGGTGTTTAAGAATTGGTGAGTTTTCCTTTTCACTCTTTGTAAAAACAGAGTAGCAACAGTGTAGAAGCATACCTCAGCATTCTGTTGGTGAGAAATCTCTTCCAAAAACCCTAAATTAAAGTCAAATGAGACTCAATGCAAAAATTCCAGTTTGATTTGACTAATTAAAAGCGATACTTCGCTTTAGTTTCATTTGGCTTTAATTTAGGGTTTCCAGAAGAAAATTATCACCAATAGACTGCTGAATTATGCTTCTGCACTGCTGCTTCTCTGTTTTTACAAAGAGTGAAAATCAAAACTCGTATTTGAGGAAAATTTGTTTGATACATCGATGTTTGCTTACGTCTTGGGCGGAATCACCCTGAGTGAAATATGACAAATCAGTCTCTTTCAGCAATTCATTTAGGCAAAAAAAAAAGTCATTTGGAAATGCATAGGGATCCAATTAGAAAGACAACTAACTTGGAGCATTAATAATTTAGGTTTAGGGCTAGCGTCTATGCTAGACAAGTTCTAGCACACTCAGAATTAAGATAGAAGATCCACCGTCTAAATTCTTTTACTTTCTGTCAATATTAAACAGAGGATAGCTGACCTATTATCTGATTATAGGTACGTGAACTTCTTTGGCATTTCCTTCTTGTGTACCTGAAAGTACAGGTACATAAATAAAGCCCAGTTCAGATTACTTTTTCTCTTTTATTGTATGCGCAGGATAGGGAATACCGCAAAAGAGGAGAAGTAATTTGAAAAGGGTTCTAATGATATATCATACACAATAACCAGTGTATAAATTTCTAGATTGACAAGAATTTGGCATTATCATCAATGAAAATGTATCCATCGTTGCATTGGCAATGAACCGACTAACTACAGAGAACTTAAGTAGTGACACTTGTCTGCCGAGAGCGGAGTACAACAAAGACTGCCGACTCCTATTGGAATTTGGGGCTAGCCTAAAACATTTTCATTGACCTGGCCCAAGAAGAAACAAGTTCGGAAGATATTAGCAGCGTCTTCCTTTTGCTGCTGAGAGAAAAGGGATGGGATTATCTGATAATAGTGGACAACTTTCCAACACACCAGACTTCAGCCCTGGAGTTGATTCAGTTGCCAGCTCAAATGACCAACTTTAATCGTGAATGTTAAATAGTCCGAGAGCTTACCTGAGGATATATTTTTAAAGGTATCAGGAACATATTCGATTAACTGATAGCAAGGTCGCCAGAACCGCTAATCGACCCCACATACCACAGAAATTGTTCACAACATAACCTAAAATTTTGATTGATTTTCAGTTTCCCAGTGTTGCCGGTTAGAAAAAACCGCGCACCGGCCGTCTTTTTCCATTTCCGCACCCATCCGTCCGTCCAGATTTCATTTCCGGTTTTCCAACTTGGGGAGGCGGGGGACGGGAGAAGAAGGTGAGAGGATAAAGGAGGACTAATTACTTATGAAGTTGCAATAAAGCAGTTGAGCTCTAGAACCATGTTTTACTTGTTTTACCAGAATGAACAGCGGTAATCTACGGTAATCATCAGCAGGTGGTATGTTATGTGGATCTTAACCTTCCTCCCTCCCCCCCTTTCCCTGCGAGCTCAATTAAGAAAACCGGGAGAAATGGTGGTGAGGGGAGAATAGTCAAAAAGTTTTCGTCCGTCAAAAACTAGGACACTGATCCAACACCAACTTATTCATTCAACTGTACCTGCTTTCCTACTCCTAGAGCTTACTTAGATTCCTCCCAATAAAAAAGCTACTTCATAGTTTGCAGCGGACATCGAATAAGTACTAAATAATTGGGAATGCACAGAAAATATTGCAAAATTACAAAAGCTGTGGAAGCTTGTGGAAAAAAGTAAGGGAAGCACTGCATGATTGAGTTGCCACCGTTTGAAGGGATCTTATATTGCTCACAAGTTTCCAAACTTTTATTGCTTTTACTTACCTAATTTGTATGAGCAGAAACTGTAATAAGCTCTTCTGTGTGAAATTGATAGATTATGATATTTCTCAGTGGGAAGCTGAAGATAAAAAATGCAAAATCCCATAGATGAGGGATAGCCGAATTTTCTCAATTGAGATTAAGTGCAGAGTTTCCATATTTTTTCCATTTTCTGATTCTCTAACTTTTTTTGCTTTTCCCTGACTTTCCCAGACCTATGAACAAAATTTCTTCTGAGACTTTTTCCTCTCAATTACGCTGACTTATGCTACGCTGCTGCCAAAATTACCTGACTTTTCTAGGTTGCTGTAAATTCTCTGACTTTCCAGACCATCAGAAAACCACTTTGTAAATGTGAAAGTAAATTTTCAGTGTTTCAGCAAGAAAGAAATTTTTTATCATAGTTTAATTACCATTTTATCCTTGCTCAAGCGAGGAAATCATGAAAGTTTTAAATTTTTTAGTAAAGCTCAAGGCTCGTTTCCTGACCGTTTAAAAATCTGCTTGACATGATTATTCATGCTGTTAAAACTCTAATTTGAATCGCTCCAAATCACTTACAGAATTTTACGAGTACGTTATCTGACAAGAACAAATCGTCGTTCTCTGAAAATTTCAGATACAGTTAGTGGTCATCTTTTGAAAAAGTAATATAGAAATTTAAACACTCTGTAAAATCCAAACAAGTTACATCATCATGTGAACTTGTGATGACGGTATCAGCTTTGGATCAAATGAAGAGTGGAAATTAAAAACCTAGTAAGTGCAATATTGTGTTGCTAAGACAGTGGAACGGTTTTTTCTCTTCAGCTAGAATCCTTTGGGCTGAGAGGAACAATTCTTATCATAAAAATAAGATAAAAATTTGGAGAAAATTTCCTAATACAAATTTCAAGAGGAGAATGTACTAAGGTTTTTTACAGTTTTTTTTTGCATAATCTTGGCTACTCCTGAAGGCGCTTTCCAAGTTTTGAATTTCCACCCTTCAACTACTGGTTTCGTTAGCAAACTTACCAAAATGGAGAAGATGAGGAGCAATTTCACTTCTGAATTAAAACTAACTGCATGAACCAAGATGAATGAATGTTAGCTTGTTTCAACAGGTCCGTAAAACTCTTGGCGAGAATTTGAGCTTGACTACATAAAGGGTTAGTAAATGAACAATCATCAGACATCAGATTTTAATAACAAAAATTTTAATGATTATTCTAGTCTGGGAAAATGATAGAGATATTGCTACTTACAAATTTAACATCCAAAGAAGTTCTGATAAGCGGAGGGCCATGAAACCTCTTACTTCAACAATAAATTAATGAATATACAATCAGAGTTGTACAGATTATAAAGTAACTCTACCAAATGCAAAATACATACATTTGCATACTTCATTGATGTATGCATGAAACAATTCATAAGATAATCCAGTGAAGCCAGTCAAAGAGGGAATAAATTATGAAAAACGCTCTACAACTTCTCATTAAAAGTTAGAACAGTGAAAATACACACAAGTAGAGGGATAAAATTGACAATTAGGATGACTAAAGGGGATAAAGTTCTACACTCTATCTCTGAATAGGGTAAAACAGAATTATTTTACAAGTGGTATACATGGGATATGATATAATATATATTATTATACATTATACATATATCTTTATGTCTATAGAGTTACAAAACGTGCATATAAGACCAAACGTCAACCATCCAGAGGGAATATGTTTAAACTGAAATAAAATGAGAGGGCTGTTGGGTGGTTAAATGCTGATTCAAACAGGTAACCTGATACTAAATTTGCATGAAATATTTTCTTGTTTTGTGAAAAAGTGTGAGTGGAATCAGAGCTTTTCAGGGTTGCCATTTTAAACTGTCGATGAGAAATAATATTCACTGACTTTCTTGAAAAATATGACAATTTCTTAATTTTTTTTTTCGGTAGTATCTTTTCAATACGGCAGAATTTTTAAAAATTAAAAGCAAGCAAACACACCATTAAGTAATTTTTCTCCAACTCTAAGCTATTTCTTTATAAAATTCCTTCATTGAGGCAACCCTGTTTCTTATGATATTACAATGACAAGGCACAAGAGGAGATCAAGTAATAAAAAGTGGAAAATAAGAAAAGAGAGGAAGGGAAAACAATCATTAATTGACACTATAATTTAGGCATATGCATTTCGGTAAACATCTAGGAGTGTCCTTCATCTGTGTACCATGAATATTGGTTCAGGAGAAAAATTGGGGATAATCTGGAGCTCAGCTCATTCAATTTTGATTTAAAGATAAAATGAATAAAATTTGAATATTTACATCCGAACCAAAAACCATACGAATTTGAGAGAAATAATATTGATGATAAAATATCACCTTCACTAGCATTCCCAATTTGACGCATCTTTCTCGTTTGGGTTGATATGCAAGTAATAGATCAGAGTTGACCTCAGAATCAGCAACTTTCTAATTGAGAGAAAGATACTAAGAATGCTTGGAGACAGAAGATTAAATCAAAAGAACGGTGGAAAAAAATTAACACTTTCACGTTCTTCAATGGAGAAATAACATGACTACAAACTCTTAAGTGCGTTCAAGAGCTTATGTAAGTTTCGCATTGAACAGAAAATTTTTGAACAAACATTAGCACCCTTAACAAACCAAAATTTCAGATCAATTGACTAATTCATACAAACATACCTTCTTATACACTAGCTTTTATACAAAAGTGGTTATTATCAGCAGGCAATAATACACTGCAGCGAAATTCTGATTAATGACACATTCAATCCAATTTAAAATCAGGGTACCCAAAGATTTTAAACAATTTCCCCAACTTTTCTAGGTATTGCGGAAATAATATAAAATTAATTCCCCAACTTTATGGATTTATAGTACACCAACACAAAAAAAAGAGGAGCCATTTTTAACATTGATTTTAGAACTGACCATAAATCATTTGAACCATAGTTAATGTATCTAAAATCTTTTTTAAGCGTCATGAAAACTCAAAATGTTTAGAAACAAAAATCACAAGGAAAACAGTAAAGTCTTTTACATGCATTTCTTAATAATTTTAGGTAGTTTTCCCCCTGATTTTTCATGGTTTCCCACTTCTGCACTGTAGACACCCTGTAAATAGCTGGGAAGATAGTGTAAAATGGCTAATATTTACTTTGAGTCTAGTGATGTCCTTCAATTTATGATATTTTACAAATAGAGCTCTGCATGCAACAAGAATTTTCGATTTCAGTGCTTTCCTCAGATGAAATTTCTTCACAGACACAATGGTGCTACTAGTTTGGTTTGGTTTGTGTCAAACAAACGCTTAAGCTCTTGGAGTTGAGGCCTTAATGAAGGCGATCCCTTTCGCTACACTGTAAGTCCACCTTTATACCTAGTCAGACGATCTATGATACACAGCTAGGGAGCAAATACATTTGCAGGGTTGCTGTGGTTCCAGCATGAGAGTTCATGCATGGAGAGATTGAAAGAGAGTCTGCAATTCTTTCAATTACAGCCTCAACTTTAAGAGTTTTTTTGAGCTTTCGAGTTCATTTCAAATGAAACCAGGGACACCATCATTTTTCCCCCAAAATTTCACATGAGAAAAAATAGTTAAATCGCAAATCCCTGATGCATGCAAGAGTTCAAATTAAGCCATAAGAAATCATTGAAATTTGTTTCCAAAGGCTAATTTAGTCAGATTTCTTGAATGTATTGTGATATTGACTACTGCAATATGGAATGTTTCACTTACAACCTTACTTTAGAACATAAATTAGACTCACTTAATTGTCATTTCTGTACATAAAGGATAACAACTAAAAGTACAAGGATAATAAACCAAAAAAGCATTTCATGAAAACTATTCCGCTCAAAAATATTAGTTTTGCTTTCTTCGATAAACACTTTTGTAGAAGAAATTCATTCAGCCCACAAAAAGAAAGAAAGAACGACACGTTTTAAGCTGCTGAGGTTATTCCTGTCTTCCATGAGGAATGTTGAGAAGTTTCAAGGAGAATCGTAATTACTTAGATATTTTTTCCCCTTCTCTTTTTTACTTACAAAAATACAGCTTAATAACAAACATTTTTGATACCACACTTGCAAGAAAAAGATTTTATGTCGATATCTTAGCATTTCCAGAAGATTTGAATCTGTAGAATAAATTAAATGCTTATGTATATTATTGCATGAGCCTTTGTCTGCCCTTGGACTGAAAAATGCCTCAAACAGAGCCGGTTTTAAAAAACAACATGCTATACTGCTTAAAAAAGTTTGAATTAAAATAATCAACGTTGATTGTAAGTTTATGAGAGCATCGATTCAAGAAGTGAGGTATGAAATATTGTTGGAATGTTTAGAATGTCATTTGTTCACTTGTCAATGAGATAAAAAAGTAAATAAATAGAAACTATAACTATAACACAAATACTATCTACTTGAATCTATGATAATGTATCATAGCTTCACATGACTGGCAGCCAATAAACATGCAATGCTAAAAATATCCAATGGCACCAACTCCTCCAAAACTTTAGTTAATTTCCCTCTTTTATCTTATTCTCATAACTGCAGGCACAATTTTCGTTGTGATATACATCTACCCGCAAGAATTAATGATACATCCCTCATACACTAAAAATATGCAATATAAAATGAAAGCAAAGGTTTTGAAAAATGGAACCTGAAAAAATGACAAGACAGAACGATTGAGAGAATAGAGGACATTTCTCTCATGTAAGTACTTGATCGTTAAAAGTGGGGATGGCAATTTAAAATAGATTGTTTCATGAAATCAATTTGGTGTTTGGAAGGATCGTGAGAATTCCGATTTTTCAGCCTCTTTCAAGCAAATTCAGAAACATCACTTTCCTTGTAAAAAAATAAAACCTAATAAATACTGATACAATTTTGTTTTTAGTAATAAAAAAAAATTAATTGCCATCCCCAATTGAAAACTCTTGACAAATGATTAATCTAGGGCATTAAATTTTTAACTTATTACAGGAACAAAACATAAATTAAAGCTAAAGAAAAAATGAGAAGATTACAATACAAAAGCATGAAAGTCTTTTTTTAAACGTATAGCTAAAATTTTGTGAATATACTTTTGTGTTTTTAAAAAAATTGAGATAAAATAGAAAGGGAAACATTGAAAGATGGCTGAATATTTACTATTTCTTCAATCATGCTTGGAATGGTAGCCCGTATTTAAACTGGAAGAGTTCTTTGACAACTGCAGTCTTAAAAGGAATAAAATAGTAGCCCTCTAATGTAAATTGCACTTAGGTTCAATTTAGAAACTTAATTGAGAAGAAAATAAAAAAAATTACTATCAATAAATTAGTTCAATAGGCTAACAAGTCTCAAAAATTATTATTCGTTTATTTTTTATTGTTCCGAGGAAAACTGAAATCTTTATCATTAAGAAAAAAGTACGAGTACAGCTTTTAGCTGTGGTTGGAGAAAACTTAAAAACAAGAATTCAGAATAATTGAAAACATAAGCTATTACACCTTTATAATTTGTAAATTTTACTTCAAAAATACATTTTAAGGAATAAAATGAAAATAGTACACATGTATGATGATAAAAAGTGTTCAGAATAATAATAGTACGTATTAATATTGATGCAAATGAGCCATTAGGGAAATGTTCCTCAGGTGTTGAAGAACCAAGTTAAGTGGACAGTGGTTTTACCACTCAAAAAGTACGGACGGAAGATATTGCACTAAAATACTGAAGAATAGTAATAGAAAATAGTACCAAAATTTCAGGAGGCACGGACTGGTGCTTTAACCTAAAAAAATATACCCCAAAAAAACTTCAAAAGAAAGGCAAATAGAACAAGGCACAAACCGACAAAGCTCTACTTTTGACAAATTTGATAGGAAGTATGTAGAAACAGTTAACATGGACCCNGGGGGGGGGGGGGGGGGGGGGGGCTTGTATGTTGACATTCATTTTAATAATTTCGTTTCCAGTTTATGGAGGGGTAGAAAGCTTGATAAATTTCACTAGGGGCATAAATACGCGGTATGCTATCAACTTTCGATTCTAAGGCTCATTGGAAACCAAATCATTTTGTTGTTTTTGAGGAAACAATGATGAAAATATGATTTTACTATATAATAACACTACAGTTGAAAACCAATGGACTTTTGGAATGATATAAATAAGATCTTCAAATTTTGAGTGTTCAAACCCTCGCAATATGCTCAAGGAAAGTAATTCATAAAGAAGAATTGGATCCAAATCAAAATATTTTTGAGAGAAAAATATTGCATTCACCTCAGTTCATGAAGAACCCTTACAGCTAGATTGTGTAGAGGTATGTTTAAAAATGTTGTCAAGTTAGTTAAAATTTGACATGGACAATAACATTTCCTGCAAAGTACGACCATAAATATTGCTGAGGTATTGGAAACACGCGAAGAGAATCTTAATTTGACCAATTTTACATACCTGACTTTTGGTGAGGTAAAAAGTAAATGCTTCAAAATTATTGTCAGAATTTTAAATTTTTAGTGCTGATTGAAAGAACTGGAGATTGGTATGTGTATTACCTTCGAGAGTAATCAACACTTAAATAGAATATTTATTGCACTATGGCTCTTGAGTTACCAAGAGCAGATTAAGATTTCAGTTAAAGTTCTCGTAAAGATCGGTCTTTTCTGAGGTTTCCTGATTTTGGGTGTAGGAAAAAGAGATTTTGTTAATTATTTTCAACATCCCAGATGGAAATAGAGTTAATCTGAGATGGATGGGACACTGCAAATGGCGAAGAATGAAATCTTTTGCTGAACGTAGCATGAAAACACAGCAATGCTAAGGAACTCTGCACAAGAAGTTACACATTCTTTCGCAAGGAGGAAAAAAAAAAAAAAAAAAAAACAGCACCCACAGAATTACAAGCAAATCTGAAGAATGCAGTTGATGTCAAATAGTACACGTTTTTTTCTAATTTGATTGACAGATATCTTAGTTTCAAATTTCGGATTTCCAAGATTTCAAGGCACTGAGGTTCTACAAGTCTAAAAAATGAGAGTACGATTGTTCCGGTTTCCTAACTTTTTCTACGTAATCAGTGGATCAGAATGACTCGGGGGCTTGCAAGAACCAAAATTTAATTTCTACTGACTGTTACCTGTTGACTGGTAAACTTAGTCGATGTCCGTGATGAGAGTCGTGGGGGCTGGGGTCGGCGTGGGAGTAGGTGTCGGAGTGGAAGTAGCGGTAGATTCAGGGGTCAGAGTAGGGGTAAGCGTTCGCTCCTCACTCAGTTTTTCACTGACTTCTACGATTTTTGTTTCGCCCGTTGTCGTCTCATCTGTTTCGGTGGTTTTGACTTTCTTCACGAGTGGACTATTATTTTCTCTGCAAAAAAAAAGAATGAAAGATTTCAGTTTAGCGACTAAAATTTTGACTTGATTGGGAAAGCAGTAAAAACGGAAAACTAAATCATAACCAAAAGTAATGCAGTTTGCATTTTTAAACTTTTTGATTTGTTCCTGTTTTTTGTTCTTTTGTAACCAGGCTGAAACCACATTCAAATAAGTTCAACATGTTGCGGCAGACTGTCAAACATTAAGACATAAATTTATGAGGAAATATATAGCAATAGAATACCTGCAAAAGTGAAGGACTTGTAACTTAACTAACTATCCCTGCGTAAAATTACGTAAAAACATTGAAAGTGAACCGAAAAAGTTGATACCAATGGATGGTGCACAACCAAGAATGTTCAAGAGGTGAACTTGGGTGATGGTTGGTAGGCCACCTAATGGTGAGATAGGGGATGCCGCATTTATACATGATGTTTAACTTCAAGGAAGAGTACAAAGGTTGGCAAATGACAAGGTGTTAGAATTATGCTAGGTCCACACTACCTCGCAGGGAAAACATGGCCAAGAAGTTCAAAAAATTTCCGTTACACTCAAAATTTCAGTTCTAAAAAGTACCAGTGCAAGACTGAATCAAATGGAATGTTTGGAACTTTTCGGCCTTGTGATCCCTGCTGAATTGTGTGGATTTAGTACTATTCTACCACCTTGTTACTGACAGTTCCAGCCACAGTTTTAGTGTTTTTTATCTTGGTAGGTAAATATGTTGAGCGATAATGCAAAGTCCGAAAATTTCCTAACTTTTGTCAAAATAGAAGTTTTTGAGTACTCCTGGATCAGTTTTGAAAATTTTGGACTGTTTCTAGACTTTACATGCGTAGTGGATTAGTGGGCGCCATGTTTTGAGCAAGTAATGGAACAGTTGGGTTATGGATTATGCAGTGGCAGCACATAAAAGTGTTTTGCACCAAAAACAGAACAACTTCCTGAAAATTCTGATAATTCCAGCTGAAATTCTGCTCGTAGACCAATCAAAAAAACCCTGATAAATTGAGATATTCAGTAAATAAGAATCAAGTATACAGCGAGGAACTGAACCTTATCCTCAGGGGAAAAAAGCAAGGAACTAAAAGAATATCCAGAATATCTACTTTTTAGAGCATCAACTTTTACTTACTTTTGTTTCTCACGGAGAACATGGGATGGTCTCCGTGCATACCTCTGACTTGGTTTTCGTTCAAACTGCACTGTCCGTCTTGCAGCCGTCCGTTGTGTGGTCTGAAACTCTGTCTTCCCCCTGAAAATGAAATTGAATGTGTCAAATTTCTGCAGGCCAAAAACCATTAGGTAGTGAGTTCTTTATATTAATAGTTCTCTCTGCACACAATGGCTTTACCTCATGGTATTATAATGCAATGGACCACTGAACAAGGTTTGAATTTAGGCTTTACTATACATATACTATACAAACAAGCAGGCTGAGTAGATAATTATGATCTCTATTAAAATTAGTGTCTACAATAAATGAATTATTTGTAAAACTGTCCGCCGTTGAATACACAACATTTTATAGCAGCCTGTCTTTATGAAAAACTATTAAAATCGACCAAAGAACTTGAGACCATTAGGCTTCTCTTTACATTGCCAAAATTCTATTAATTACCGCCTACTACACAATATAAGAATTTTAAAAAGTTATTAGTTAGTTAGTTAGTTAGTTAGTTTTAAAAGTTATTATTACGAATAATTGTAAACCCTTCAGCTTCTGCCATAATAATAGTTATTGTCTCATGTACCAATTTACATTGAATAAATAAAAAAAAAAATACTTACCTATATCGAAACCTGGAGCCCATTCGGAGGAAATTTTGTCTAACGGAAGGATCTTTGACAGGTGCATTGAGTCTGAAAAATGCATGATGTTCCACAGCGCATTTCCATAGATGCTTGCATGCCTTTTCATTAGTAAGCCTGGATGAGATCAGCGCAACATTAGACAGTTTCAACAAGAGTTAAGGTAAAACTGATATTTACCGATCGGAGGAGTCTTCCGTTATTTTATGGAGGTTTAACTTTAAATATCTTCTTTTACCGAGTGGCAAAAATTTTTTTTTACCAAATTAAAATTTTTAATGAAAAGTGAAGATTTGATTTCTCTCTTGATTATGGAGAAAAAAGAGAAAGCATTCTAGCAGAAGTAATTTGTTTGAGATTCACAATACGTCATGAAAATATCTACAGGGTTGCCACAGAATTTAAAAAGTGGAATTCCCTGACACATTTTTGTAGAGTTTTCTGACAATTGAAGATATGCCAGATGGTTAAAAAGACTTAATTGGAAATATTTTTCGGGCAAACGTTGTTAGTCAAATTCGTTTGAGAGAGCAAATAAAGGTGACTTCAAAATTTTTACCTGACATTTTTGTCATTTTTGTCAAGTTTCTTGACATTTTCTGGTATTCTCTGACTATGGCAACCCAGAGTGAATTATGGAATTGACTGGGAAAGAATATATAATTAGTTTTGTCAGACCGCAGCTTGAGGGAATTATTTGACAACTAGGAGGAATAGGAGAAATATAAACTCATTCCGATTTCACCCAACATGGGCACCATAAAGAGGAAGTCAACTAATCTCCCGTTCCTCCTTGGTCTTGTCTTTGCCGGTCGATAAACATAAAATTTTAACAATCAGGCATAGAATATCGAGAGAGAATAATGCTTACCTAAAGACGAATGTATGTTCTTGCTCGTGCCCTTGATCATCATCCTCCACAACAACTAGCGTTAGTTTCTTCTTTTTAAAATTTAATTTACTAATTTTTGGCCTGCAATCCATAAAAGGAGAAAATTTATTTATAAAATAAATATAAATCAAGGAGCAAAAACTTAAGAAAAATGTCCTGCGTACACAGAGCAACAATCTTTTTTCTGAATTCCTCCTCTGAAAAGTGAGAGACGTAATTCTGCTACTCTCCTAGCCTGAAAAAGTATTTCACAAAAACTCCTCTGAAACTAAATGTTCTGGTAATAAATGTAATGATTCAGTAATCACCAAATGATTTTCAGACAGCAAAATATTACTTCTTTAGTAATTTAACGATCCTATGACTTTTAAAGATGAAAATAGAAAAAAACTATGCTATAGCTTGTAAAAATTTGAAAAATAATGGTTCTATGATCTCAAGAGAGATGGATGCTGGAAAAGTATTCATTATAATAATCAGATTACTTAAGGCAGAGGGTTAAAAAAGTGTCTTAATATTTCAAGCGCGTGGACTAGACATCTCAATCCAACCATAAAACTATAACTCAAAATAGAAGGCAACGTTACTTACCAAAAGAAAAGTCCTATTTTTTGGTTTCCCTCAAACACTAAAATTCCGGTGGGAGTCAGCCCCAAAGCATATTCACAGCCATCTTTGCCCTAGAGAAAGAAAATAAAATATAATGAATACAGTACATATTTTGAATGATAGTCTCATGCAGTGCCAAAAATAAAGCCAAAAAAAGGCGTAAGTTCAGGAATAGTAAACTAAACTTGTTACACAGAATGGTTTCATTCAACTTGAAGGGGGGAAAAGTCTTTCAGAGCTGTCATGTTTTGATTACATAATACTAAACAGATAACTGAGAGATTAATTATAAATTTTCTGCAAATCAAAATTCAATTCTTCATAGGATCCTATGTTAAAGCCCAAAATCATAGAGAGAAGTTTACTTTCTCCCGACAGAAGGACATAGAAATACAATTCTTCACTTACAGAGTAAATAAACAAATCTTCATTCATACATTTGCTTATAACTCTACTTTTACGTTCTTATTTTTGCACATACGAATGTACTAAAGCTAGATTCCGATGAATTTCATGGCTTGGGTTTGCTGCAGTCTGATTATTGTTGGCTTATACACATTCATTTCAAATACAGTTAAGCTCATAACTCATTGTCGCTACGTGCACTCATTTTACCATTACACCGACAAATAAATAGAAAAAATTTTAAGACATGCTGCGAACTGCGGGGCGATTATTGAAATGATATCGACTCTATGTCGCCGCTTTGTCGTGACGCGCCATCGACTAAGCATATGCTTAGTCGATGGCGCGACACGACAAAGCGGCGACATACAGTCGATAGCATTTCAATAATCGCCCCGCTGGGAGACTAAACATTGCTTCAATTGCAAGTCATCAATTAGAAATGATTTTCAGGAGTGTAAAAGCCGCGGGTATATTATTCAAACTATTATTACTATAATTGAGGCTGGTAGGAAATAAAATGTATAAGAACTTCATATCTGAAATTTGTACCGAAGCACATTATACTTGAATAAGAAACCAAGCCAATCTGGAGTCACACTAGGCTCTCTATTGCTGAAAAATCATCTATTTCAATATTTATTGCCCATACACTACACAAACAACCAGTTGGTAGTTTATTTTTCATAGAATTTAGTAGCTGGGATTTGATTTAAATACTTACCAAAACAGTATGGTTGTTGACACCATACATTTCAAGCCACTTGACTTTATTCAAATAATTCGTTTCAGCCATGGCAGTGGTCAAACCCCTGAAAGCCAAAAAATCGGAATTTAAGTGAATAAAAAAAACGATGAGAGATTCAAAATGTAAATACAGAAAAGAAATAGTTATCATCTGAGACAGAGAGGGAAGAGAATTATGAAAAAATGGGAGGGCTGAGAACTTTCTGAATTGCACTGGCAATGTAGGTTCTTTTTTTCTCAGAAAACTGTGTATCTTCTCTTTAGAATGACCTGAAGGTGATTCATCAAGCTCAAGTGACATGACAAAGTGTCATGCAATATGTCGCATCGATTAGGTAAAAAGTCTCGGCAGATTTTGAATTTTCAGAAAAAAAAGGATGATAGCCCCTGCACATTAGCCCAAAGAATCATTCTAAACCCAAAAATCGACAAAATTCAGAGAAATGACAGCAGAATAAAGTTAGGGAAAAATCTCGCATTCGATTCAGTTATTGATTTCTGTATCGAATGCAAGGTTTTTTTTTACACTATTCTGCTTTCATTTCTCTGAATTTTGCCGATTTTTGGGTTTAGAATGATTCTTTAGGCTAATGCGTAGGGGCTAGCGTCCTTTTTTTTTGCTAAAAATTCAAAATCTGCCGAGATTTTTACCTAATTGATGTGATACATCGCATATCACTTCGGCAATGTCACATGAGCTCGAGGAATCACCTGACGAGTTAGAGCATAACGCATTAAAATATTATGAAATGAAACCATTAACATGAGAACCGCATAAGATTAGCATCATATGTTGAGGGAAGGCTGATTGGGCATTGCAACTATGGTAATTCTTTTTGAAAAGTTAGATGCTAGTAAAACTGGATGAAATGAGCCTAAAATCGTCACTAGAGTCATACCACAGATGCTTTCATTAATGAGGTCATGCTAAATTACAGGTAGACCATAAATCCTTCCAGATATAAAAGTAAATATTTCTGATATCAGGTCACCTGATACGATTGTTCAGTAAATCCATTTTATCAAAATCTTGAAAATTGAGTAGATCCTGCTTTCAATTCGCATTTAAGAGGTATATTTACTTGGTCGAAGTCTGATCACTTACCGACATTTTTTGAATTCTTCTACTATTTTTAATTCTAATTCTTCAGTCTGGTTTGGAACAAATCTAAACTCGGAAATAAATGCTGGCGTATGGAGTTCTTCGTCGTAATCTCCTAGTTCTGACTGCAACGCTAGAGCAGCTAACTCAATGGCCGTTTGCTCCGGACACTCCAGACGTCCTTCTAAAATATCTAACTTCAGTTGCAAGAAGAACTGATATCGTGTCACTTCCTCTCGTAAACTGTTTGGTTCTGACGAGTAAAATTTCACGCGTAGACGCAATGTATACGGAGGACCGACTGTAAAAACAAATAGAATCAATTGATAAAGCTTTTGAAGAGAATTTGTAGCGTTAATCATAATATTGATGCTGTTGGGATTATTTCAATATCGGAGGTTGCTCTTAGGCCTTGTCTCCACAGGAAAATTCATGGGATTTGTCCCAGGGAAAAATTGCCCTTGTGAAGTTGGGAAAAATATTGAGTTAGTCAATACTAATCACGGTACCAACTGAGAGTCCTTCTGAAGTCCCAGGAACGACTTAAAAAAAGAGGAAGAAATTTTATTGTGTTGTTTAACAGGTAAAGAGCCCAGAAGTTTCATTCCTGCTATTCGAACTTGGGAAAAATCCCGTGAAACGTCACGTGGAGACAAAGCGTTCTGCTGAGGGTATAAACTAGATTATTGTTCTAATTACATTCCAAAATAGGTATCAGGAGCTGTTTCGAAACTTTTATATTTTAATAATAGTACAATTAATTTGGTGTATGGAAACAGTACAATAGAAATCCGAGATTTATCAACTTTGAAAGTGCCTTGTTTGGCCAGCGTCCTTTATTTTATGATGGATTTAAGGTATTGAAGCCCATAGAATTTGGAGCATCAAATTTTCTTCAGAAAGGAGACTTTCTTGATTTTTTGGGATTGTTTGTTTGATGGGAAAAGTAGTTTCCTGATCTCCAGTTCCACCTAAAATGATTACTAAAAGTCCTAAGAAAACTTGATATATTCTAATGTTGTTGACTACTAATAAGGAAACCTAAAAATACTTACTTTTGACTTGTTTCTTAATTGGTTTTATTGGATCCAGCCAGTGCTAAAACAAATGAAGAAAAAAATGATGAAAAAAGAAGAGCTAATTCGATGAGACAAATCAATGGATAAAATCAAGAAGTACATAACTCCGATTGCCACTTTGCAAACCTCTATTTTATACAAGGAAACTGATCAAGGGTATTTTTTACTCTGTACTTAAATCTTTACATTCGTTCAATTACAATCAAAAAAATTAAAGAAGATATTAGGGTTCCTTTGATTTCTAGAAAATAAAATATATTCTGATATTAAATACTATAGCACAGATATACATTTCTCCACTTCAGTCATCAAAAGATAATAAATCATGAGATAATGGGATAATTGATTTTAAGTTGGCATTAGCCTCACAAATTCTACTTTTGGAAAGTTAGTAATGTTGTTCTTATGTAAAAATTTGGTACTTAAAATTGGGAAGAGTTGTTTGGAGTCAAGAAAATGAGGGATTTAAGCATTAAAAAGTAAATTAGATTTAAATAAAATGGATTAGGAAGTTACATGCTGTTGAGCTACACCTATTTGTTGGGTTAGAATTCTTAGCACCTTACTAATATCCAGTTCAGGTACTAAAATTTATTGGGAGGAGTATAATGTGAGCATTGTTATACATCTCAGTGTAAACACGTCATCTCTGCTACACTAGACAAAGCGGAAAGTGAGAAGCCAAGTCATCGTAATCGATCAATCTATACGTCGCCTTCCACAATTTTTTTATTCTGATTTTACCTGCTCAGCTTTGGTGATTATGTAGAAATTGTTTTAGGGGCAAGATTGATTCCTTACCTGTACAGAATTTGTATCTGTAAACTGAAGTCCGAAATACTCTTTCTCCAGCAAGTCGAGTGCATAGAGAACATGTTTGTAAAGGTCTTCACCCAACGCTTTTTTCTGGAAACAAAGAGAACAAAAATCAATGGCTGAATCTGCATATTACAACTCTGAAGACTTCATCTGTGTCTTTGGGATCACCAATGCTTTCCACAGATCTGCGATGAAATTTTAATTCAACAACATGATTGTTAATAAATTTATCTTGCAACCGTGGCAGATGGATTTCTGATATGGCTTTACTGACCAGTACATACTGCTAAAAGTTAAGGTTTCAATAGTCTTGGTATCAAAAAGAGTGACTAATTTGAAGAATTGAGTATGGAAGTTGAGAATGGGTGCAGCATTTTCTTGCCTTTCGACTGAAGTTCGACACTTGGAGAGGTCAATAAGTGCCTAGCTTAGGAAGTGCGCAGAGATGTTAGGAATGTGAAATGAGAACACTTATCGAGGGCGGGACGGCTAGATAATAAATAAAAGTTATACTTCATAAATTGTCAAGTTTCCACTGTAAGAGTGGTGGTGCATTCTGCGATAGCCCTGCGAACAGGGCGAATCACAGAGCTGAGATTGGCAAGCCCTCAACAATTAATCCAAAAATCTGAAGCGGCCAAACATTGCAGAAGCGTGATGAAGATTTGTTCTAGATTGATGAACTCACCGAAAGTTCTACGGGAAGCACTCCTCCATCCAGTAATATAACATTGCATAAAAGCATAGAGTGTTTGTTTGGAGGAACAATCCTCTGAGATCCATTTTGATTGTAGAAAGCAGTCCTTTCGTTGGTTGATCCTCGCTTCTTACTAAGAAACCTTAGCATTATGACGCGGATAAAGAATATGTAATTAAATACATAACAAAGATAAAAGTTAAATGAAAGGTGAGTAATTATTAGTCACTTTTTGCACCGACACTTCATCCATAACACCATGGACGACGAAAACCACCACGAAAACTTGAAGTCTTGGTTACACCATCCATCCGGCGCATGTAATCATTGACGTCATAAGTCAGCAAAGAGAAGGGGGTTTTTGCATTGGATCAGTCAACGGTCCAGTCAACGATGAGTCAACGTGTTGAAGTCGCCGTCATAATGATCACGAAGTGATCACATGATGTCTTCGCTTAGTTCGCTACCTACAAGTGTAAATAGGGCTTTTATTTTCTGTGAATTTGGTTTATTTTTGTTTAGCAGTCGTGTTAAAATGTTTTGGAATTTTTATAATTTTTATATTGATACGTTTGTCCATCATTATGTTTGATTCATTAGAATCGTAGTTTATGGCACCTGTTATCATTTCCCTCAGGGGTATGTCATCTTCAACCGCCTCATATGAATGAATAAGAGCTCCAGTCCAGTCTGACAGGTAATGAAGTGGTTTGCCTCTCAAGATATTTCTTACTCTTCAAGGAGGTCCCTGATAAAACTATGCACACTTTGTCCAGTCCTCTGATATCAGTACATTTACACTGTTCATATAAATCTCTCAGAGTACTTACAGCCCTCTCTGTAGTTCTCATGAAATTCACTCCGCGTACGTTGATGTCTTTGACTTGTGTATTTTTTGACAGACATTGGGGCTTGTAATCCCTTCTACTTTTTAAGCTTTCAAACCTTAAATCCACCAGCAAACCATGATCAGTTTGTTTCCTATTTTGATTTTATCCAAGCTAATCTGCCGTTTATAATCCCTACATGGAGTATCTTCATCTGAGTTTGAAGACCTGTCAGTAGGTCAATTGCTGAGATTGATATGCAAGGTACAATTTACAACTGTATGTCAAGATTCTTAATCGAGAAGGTAATACGCACTATAAGAATATTTTCGGTAAATTATTCACCATATCCAAGGTAACAGTGTTAAAGATTCGGATGAAAACTGTTCAGCGCTACCTCTGTTACAGCTGTTCCAGTTTACATACTTAGGTATGACATCCCATGTTATAATGGCAATGTAAGAAAAGAAGAGAAAACTTAACTACTACATCTCCTACATCTCTGGCATAGTGTGTAAATACGATGTAGTGAGCTGGGGTCATGCTCTCATTGACAATTTCCGAGGCCCGGTTGAGTGGTCCTCCTGAATAAATGATTTTATAATTCTGCTGCGAGTCAAGAAAATTTACGAAATTATTAAGAATTGCCAGCTTCCACCTCAAAGGGAGAGAAAGGGTCTCTGAACTTTGTCGGTGGCAATTGTAAGATATCATTGATGAGGTAGTTAAGTGAAGTTTTTTTTTAAAAAATTCACAGATCATGTACCTGTTAGGTATCTCAAGTAAAACTTATTCAAAGCAATACTTTATGAAAAAATTAAAAATTGAAGCCAATTTTTTGTTCTCTCGTTTGATTAATGGATCATCGGTGTCTTAAGTTTTGTGTAAGCAATTTGTTTAATGAATACAAAATTGTTCTTTTAGAAATCTCAAAAATTTCACTTAATTCCTTTCCACGTGATAACTTTCAATTTAGACCAATAAAATTCAATGATTTCTGAAATTTTCTTACAGTCTGACGTTCTGTGCAACTTGAGTGCTTGATATGTTTCCCTGTGTTTATATTTTCAGGGTCTTAAGAGCTAATCATGCGGTATAATAAGCAGGAATTATTGACCCTGGCTACTCAACCTTCTCAAAAGTTTGACAAGGAGGGAGTTCTTCTTGTTCGTGAAAGGCAGGATGGCTTTTTCAGGAAAACAGAAAGTAAGTTGATTTCCAGGTTGCCAATTTTTTTTTTTTTTTTTTTTTTTTGGCAGGACGTTGTTTTGCTACCTAAAATTTGAAATACCCACTTAGAGAATAATTATACCCCCAGTTACAGATGAAAGCTTGTAAATTATTGTCTACAGTTTCGTCTGTATGAAGCAATATGAAAAAAAGGTTGCAATTTGTAAGACAGTCTGCATAACAGCCGATACTTGCAGTGACAGGAAAGGGGTTGCTTCTGATCAGTGGACAGGTTGTGGCTGTCAGGTGGGGTCTAAAAAATCCCTCACAGGAAAAACATTGATTATTTAATCTGCTATGTAGAATCTTTGGAAAACAAGAGAAAATGCGTCTGTTCATAATTTCATGATTATTTTGAAGAATTTATAAGATGTAATTTGACGAAGGAGATGCCCAATGAAAGAGTGGCAACACAGAGATGAACGAGAAATGAGGAAATGGCATCGCACAGAGGGGCTTTGAGAAAATAGGGGTTGTGGTGGTTAGGTGTCGCTGGGTGCCAGAGAACGCTGTGAAAGCGGCTCTTGTGTGTGTAAAAAATGCAACTTACCAAACGGTCTGATGACATACGCAGGAGTAGCAACTAGGTGTCTTACAGTCCCAAAGCGCACTGAAAGAACAACGTATCTATATTACTAAATTAAAATGTAAAAAAAAGTAAAACAAAAAAAACTGTTTCTACAATGAAAAAATTTTGTCCAAAGTTGATTGCTGGAACTGGCAGATAAGTACCACTAGCCAATCAAGAGCAACCTTTCTGCCATTATTTGTAAGGATTGCCTGGCAGCAACTTGTCCTTCAAATTGATGTCCTTTTTTCCCAGGAGAATCTGTTCATATAACCCTACATCCTCGTTGATATCTAGGCTGGGATGTCTCTCCCTTACCTCCTAGCTTTTTCTTTAACTTTTTCATCGTTTTCCCTCCCCTATTTTGAGTTTGAACTTCATGCATTTTGCTCCCTGTAGGTACATCATACCTAAGTAATATTACTCTTTGGAATGCCCTCTAGTGTTTTTTTTATCACTTTAGATGAAAAGTTAAGTTTGTTCAACTCTACAAAATTATTATACCCTTTAAAAACTTTGTACAAGGTTCCCGTTCCAGACTGTTTACTTTTTGTGTATGATTGTCGCTTGACGAATGTCCTCTGTTAGGCAATGAAGTTGTGAAATTTAATCTAGTGTTGCAGAATGCAAACTTCTTTCTGTCAGTGTTGCATGCTGTGCATCTTGAACAGGTAACAATGTTTTTTTCTTTTTTTTTTAAAGAAAGGAAGTTTCATATTGGCCCTAAACTTCAAAAATCTAGAAGTAAAATTTCCAAAGTAATTTTGGAAGTAAAACTAAGGAGATAAAACATGGAGTTGAGTCAATATCTTTGAAGTAGAGACTACTTGATTGAAACTAAACTGCCTAGTTATGTAATTCACTAACTACTCTAACTGAAATGCCATGTAACATAATTTAGTCAGAATCAAACCTAGTAGAATGAGTGCAAACCAGGAAGTTTAAAGGTGATTTTTCGCGGGCTCTTGGCGTTGTCAAACTGGCGTGCATTACACCGCAGTTATTAGGTTAGTCAAAAATCTCGGCAGATTTTTACTCTTCATCCAAAAAGAAGGACGCTGGCTCCTGAGCATGAGCCTGAAGAATCATTTTCAGCCAAAGAAATTGCAAAATTTAGAGAAATGAAGGCAGGATTCTTCTTGGAAAAATAACATAGCATTGGATACAGAAATTTTTTTCACTGCATCGAATGCAGCTTTTTTCCAATTAGTATTCTGCTTTCATTTCTCTGAATTTGGTAAACCTTTTGGTTGAGAATAATTCTGTAGGCCCACGTGTAGGGGCTACCATCCTTTTTATGCCTAAAAAATTAAAATCTGCTTAGATTTTTACTCAATTGATGTGATTTATCGCATGCCAGCTGGACATTACCAAATATCTGGGATGAATCACCCTAATCTGTGTACTTTTAGGTATTTGATGTAACTGAATTCTGATTTTTAATTGGTTGAAAGCCTTATATAGACAAAAGACTCAAAGGGAAGGAATGATTTCATGGTTTCTGAGTGGTTTGAAGTCACTCAAGTAATTAAGTTCAAGACATTTTCACTTATTTCGAGATAGTATAGAAAAAAATAGAATCCCCGCAAAAGCAAAAAATCAGCCACTAAGTCTATCATGGCTGTATAAAATTTTGCAAGAAAATGGGTGCCACTAGGGTGATTACAAAGTTATTGCAATTTTTTGGAATTTCATGTGGTTCGTTGTGTTGCATGGCATAAATTGAATGATTCATTATCTCATCACAATCCAAACAAAAACTCTTCATCAGTTGTATTCATGTCATTGTGTGTATCATAACAATCTTGTACATAATCTTATCCAACCTTAATATCCGCATCGAAGTGGGTAAACTTTCATACCCCCAGAACTTGCATTCAGGACTTGTAGGAGGTGTTAATTTAATAATTGAAAAATTGTATTCTGTCGTTTACAAAAGCGCTGAAATCCTTCTACAAATAAAATTTTTATCCACTAATACCCAAGATTTTCTTTGCTCTTGTAAACTGAAACAAAGACAAACAGATGAACAGATAAAACAGAATCACCTATGCCAAAGGTGCCAACTTTTATTCAGTCAGAAAGAACTTTTCTGATCCTGGAACATGTTCATCGACGCCATCTTTAGATTTGATCAAATAGATCACTTATCAATAAACTGCATTCAAGTGAACCATTTTCAGAACAAGTAAAATTGTTAGGAGTTCCCATTGTTCAATGCCGTTCTATTATAATGAAGTGAAAGTTATAAGGAAGTTTCTGAAACTTAGAGAGGTATGTGTTCAGGCCAGTGACACCATTTTCTCATCTTTCTCCTGAAGCCGACGATGTCTCAAGGAGTAAAATATATTTTACTACTAAACGAATCGATCAATAAGTCAAGCCTCCTCTTTTTTCATGATTCAGCAGAATAAGAGGGTCTATTGGAAAAGGCATCAATTGTAAGATCGTAAAATATTACAGTGTGTGTTTTTTTTTTACTTTTCTCGATAGTTGAAAGAACGGTGAAATTTCAAAGAACCTATCAACGGCTGAATGAATAATTGCATGCATATGTTTTACGCTTTTTAAATTGTTTTTATTTTCGGATAAGGCCGAGCAACTAATATTTGTATAAACCAGATCTATAGCGCATTAACGTTACAGGAAAGGACTCGTTCAAAAAAGGGAAAAGATCTAAAAGTCTCCATGAACTAAACTGCTATGGTGGATCAAACAAAGGTATTCTTAACTTGGATCATTTTGGAATCTACTAACACTAATTGTTCTCAATTTTCTCCTCATCCAGTCAAAATTGCTGCTAGGAACTCAGATTCTTTTAGCTCTAGGTAGTTATGAGCTCAATAAAATATACAAATGAATTTATAATACACACATCTCGTCATTATAAGTCACAATCAGTAAACATTTCATAAACTCATACCTTGTTTAAATTTAAGATTTGCTCTACGCGTTTTAGAAGCGTCTCACCTCTAATTTCAGCAGCAAATTCTGTGTACATCTTGAGTTTGTTACTGAAGATGGAGAAGTGATGCCTCTGGAATGTACAAAGTGAATTTCAAATTTTAAGAAGGCATGAATTTATTCAATTGTTTAACAAAAGTTTTAAATGTACTCATTCCTCTACCCAAACCTGTTTTGCATTTATGTCTGAAGAATCAGCCAAGCCCTTTTTATATATTTGCAAATTTTAACGAAAAAAAAAAAAAAAATAGAAAACAAAGAATTAACTCTCTTGAAAACATGTCAAAAAATGACAAAAAGTCAGTTTGTTAGTTCGCGGAGTTTTTGCCAATCGTCTTCAATGCGGTTCATCACTCATTCTACTGAGTCCCTGAGAGGCACTGTTTTCTGATTCTGTGTTGATGAAACTCATAAAAGATAATTTAAAAAAATTCAGAAATTGATGGGAATTGCCCCATTTAAAAAAAAATAATAATACATATATATTGCCTTTAAAAAAATCTCCCAGTAAGTGCTATCATACCAGGAAGATTGTACAAATAGTATTTGAAAAACTTGAAGATATTTGAATTTTTCCTCTACAGTTCTGCATAATTCATGTCTGATGACAAAAGTTTTACCATAACCGATTTTGTGAAACGCAATGCTACCATGAACAAGAAATTATTTTCAAATATCAATGCAAGATAATTGAGAAGTAGTGATATATTGAATATCTATGCGAAATATCTTTAAACTGAATCTTATTGAAACTGCAAAGTCAATTTTTGGTGTTCCAAACTCTACAATATGCATACATCAGAAATTTTGCTAAAAAAAAAAAAAAACAGAAGAAGAAGGAGGAAAAAAATAAAAAATTGGATCCGCGCAATGGCCAATAATAGAATTTGTAGCTAATTAAGATGAATCTACACTGGAAATTAGAAGACGTCAACATGCAAAACATTCAACTACATTAATTAATATGCTGATCCTACCTTCACAATGGCAAAAAACAGGAGCAGGTCTGAAAGCATATCTTTTTCGTCCACTTTTAATAAATATTGCCTTAAAAATTTTAAATTCACTTACAATAATCAAAGTGTAAAGTACTAATCTGTCAAATGGGATGAAGAACTCTACATTTGTAGAAGTTCAGCTTTACCTTTAAGTTTTTGAAAGAGATTTTTCATAAATGGACAGTTCAAATGTATCACTACATGCAACCAGTGTAATCATTCTATTTTTCCCCCTTTTTTTTCTTTCTTTTTTTCTTTAGCAAAACTTTTGTTTTACCTTTTTACTTTCTACACATCTTTATGCATATTCTAAATATAGAATATAAAAAATGAGCAAAGTTTGAAATGATAAATTTCAAACTCTAATATTTCTATCAGTTTCCGATCATCACCCTGCTATCTCTTTTATTTGTCTGGAATTTTATTTCAAGTACTCCCTTCCTTAGTGCTCACTCAGAAAGCTGCTGTCTACCTCAACGTTTTCCCCCAACATTAGATGAATTAAATTTTATTTTCCCTCAATCCATATCAGTTTTGACTGGATGATTTTGAAAAATGATCCACTAACTGCATGAAGAAATTGCTGTACATTCACCGTGAAGCGCAATCTATTAACAATGGTTACTCACTCTCACTCTAGGGTAATGAATCTGCTCTACCTCAGTTTTTTACTTTTTCATGTCGCACTTTCACTTACCCTCTTTATTTTTTATTATGTATCTTTGCACAGCTCCTGCTCTTAGCACACTCAAAATACTGCATCATTAAAAGGGTGTCATGTATGAAACCAATGGAGGGCTTAATATGTGACTCAGAATTGTAATTTTCAGTCCTAATAATTTTTATTTCATTTTTTTTACAAGGTATGCGTGAACCTAGAACAAGTTACAGGTTTGAAATTTTATAACTCCCCGATTATTATCTTACATGATCAAATTGTAGGTATTTTAGTGAAAGAAGTACATCTGAAGTGAAAATCTTACACGTATATGAAGCTCTCCTCTGCAAAATCGTCCAATTTACAATCTGGTATTCTATGTGAAAGCGTAGCAAAGTTTACTTACATTGAACAAGTAGCTTTTTTCCTCCGAGAGACTTTTCACCGCTCAAAATTATGAGAAAAATGTCAAATAAGCTCCATCTAGAATTCTTCCACACCATCAGCAGCAATTTAAAACGAAGTTCACTTCTTTAAAAATGTGAATACTCAATGAAGAATGTATTATTTAAATTCTTTCCAACCCTTTACAGTATAATTCAACATTTCTTTCCACCTGTGACTTGAAGTGCAAAGTTTGATGGTTTTGTAGCTCTTTATTTGCAGTTTAAGGTGGTTCTTCAGCACTACAGAGAACAAATTGTTTTGATTTTGGATTTGCAACTTAGATCATACTTTTTGGGTTATTTCAAAGCGTTTCTTGGTCAGGTTTGTGCCATAAGTAATACCTGACGTACTACAGTGTGATGTGATGCTTAGAAATTCTCAAGAAATCTTCTAAAATCCAGAAATTCAAATCGATCGACGATTGAATTGCTCTCCAAAGTGCTAACGAACCACCTTAAGTAAATTAAACTAACGCTATATCTCTGTAATTGACTGTTTGCATGTTAAGCAAATTATGCATGCTTTGTAGTCGTTGTGTAATTATCCTAAGTGTACTTTGCTGTGTAATGTTCTTTCCTTATAATGATTCAACCTTCCTTTGAAGCAACTGGACACAATACTGTCAGACCAAAATACCCAAAGAAGACTAAATTCAACATTGGAATTCAAAACAATCTATTTAATGTTTATTTTTTCTCTTGAATTTCTTTCTTGAATTAGTAAAAGTGTGTTCTTGAGAAAGATCCTCCAATGGAGGTCAGTTAGTAAGCAATGCAATCTTTGTAAGTTCTGGAATCATTAGTTAATCATCAAACTTTTGCCATCACTGATGGGAATCGATAAGACCAAGCCAACAAAAGAACATCAATGGTTGGTTAAATCATGGCTTTTACCCATTAAATCGTTTCTCCGATGCAATCGATACCTTCATGGGAGGTGCATAACTTGTTGAGAATCTCCACCAACCATTAATAATTTTTGGTTTTAAGTTGGTCTTATTGTTTTGTATCACTGCAGAGGAAATTTTAATATTTGGCTCGAACAGTAAGCAGAAAATTTTAGAAATCTTCTTACAAAACTATTTCCTTTATTGGCTGTCTTTAGATTCTAGTTCCAGGCTTACATTCTAATGGTTAGAAATTGGGTAAGACAGAGTTTGCACTGGACTTGGATGGTGCTTTGCAATAATAAACTGAGTGCATTCTCATAAGAGTTTCATATTTCTTACATGTATAACAAGAATTCGTGAGAGAATGTAGTTGTTTTTTTATTGCGAAACCCTATTGTCTCCCAATCCTGTGTGCACTTATTGAACTATTAACATTTCTGAGAACTTTCCTTTTTGAAACTGTGTAAAACATTCTCTGTTCGTTACTGTAAAAAATTCTCCAATGAAAATCTACTTTCTGCTCTGTTGGGACAACCTGCAAAAAGATGCTGATTTCTAATCATATCAAATTTTTACTATTGCGTTGAATATCCTGAAAATATTTCATCTTTTTACTATTTAGTTGTGAAATACTCTCCTCTGAATGTATTCATGGAGTATAATGCCAAGAGTGAGGCTAGAAGAAGAGGGAAAAACTCGAATCAACAAAAAAAAATTTCCCCACTTTTCCCATTTATCATAATAAAATACATCCAATATGAATTTTTAAGATTACTCTATATGTGTACTTTTGTCCAAATTATGCAAGAATTAATCTAACACCGTTTTTGTTACGTGTAGTGAGCTTTGAGCGATGGTGTCGTCTACGAGGTAACTTGTTGTTTTATTTCAAAACTCGTGATCAGTGGTCAGAGCCGGTAGGAGTTATCGTCCTTGAACACTGTACAATTAAAGTCAACCAAGCACCTCCAATTGATGGTCCTTTCGGATTTCACATAGGTAAGTTATCGGTAAAGTTCCCTTTAACACTAGGACTTTCTTCATTTCTTCCCTATTATGTACTGTGTACGTTCAAAGATTAATTTCTTTCTGGTTCTAAATTGCCATTCACTCAAAAACCATACCTTTTGAGCTTCTCTCTCAGGTGTGGGTCAACATAAAATTAATTACAAAACTTGCAACATGAAAAGCTTTGTGGAAGGTTCCATCTATCAGGTATTGGCATCCCACCTTACTATGACTGATATCACAGTCGCCATATCAATGGTGAAACTGCAGCACTGCAGACTTCCTCTCATACTTCATTTTCTACATGAAAAACCACTCAGTTTCATATCTTGAAGACTTCAGTAATTTCTCCTTTTTATGAGATGAACATTCTGTAAAAACAAGCCATGATCATAGTTCGGTCTCCTCCTTCAAAATAAAAAAGGCGCAGAGATTTTGAAACATCAAAACTAAATTTCGCATTTTTAAAGTTTCACTGTCAATATGTACTGTTGGAGATCATTACACTCACTAGGTCCTGCCAACATTTATTGAACCAAAGCACCACACTCCTCTAGTCTGTAGTGGCTTTTAGTCCTAGTGGTTTTTCCGTGTAGCATCTTTTTCTGAGTCCTCTCATCTAGAACTTGTTTCAGATAACTTGCCCTTTTTTTGCTTCATGAGGAGATTATGTAATTATGGTTATCAAGGAAATATAAAAAAAAAATTCATTAGAATTGGAAAATTTTCAGTGTTTGAAGGCGGTCAGAGCCACTACCTGGCAGCATACTCAGAGCAAGAACGAGCTCTCTGGCTGGAAGCCATTCAGCTGGCTGGCTACGAAACTACCCGTTCTCACCTAATAGCTTTGCAGCAGCAACTGGAGCTCAAGAAAGGTCATGACCCCAACTTAAGCGTCAATATGGTTCGGCTTAGGAAAGGTCAATCTCTTGATCCATCAGAGGTACCATTGTGTGAAATTGCACTTGCCTGTGACAATCTTCTTTGTGACGGCCATGGGAGGTCTCCTAATCCAGTGCTTGTAGCAAGAGTCTTCATTCCTGCTGAAGCTGTTTGGCTCAAATATGCAAACACAGAAGTTGTTCAGGTATTGTTATGATCATATTATTCATTAATTTTGTTTAACATACTTTTAAGGGCCATGAATGTGCAGCAACTTGGAACTCAGAATTTTGGAGAACATTTTTTTGTTAGAAGAGCCCTTGTATGCCGGTAAAAAACTTGCTGAAAAAGCCGGAGAAGTCCCTTTGAGTTCATTTGAAAGCCCAAGTAAACTTACCAAAAGTTCTTGAAGTTTGTTTCAACTGTGAAGCGTGTGAAAATTACATGCAACTTTAATTTGTTGTGCATTATTTCTGATTTCCATTGAAAAAATTTTCCGTCAGTTTCTTCTTAGAGCAAATTCTATTAGAATATTCTTCACACACTTGATAGCGTAAATTTCACCACAAATAAACTTTTCAAACAATAATCATTGTATTGTTGGTTTTTTCACAAGGCTTTAAATTAATTCTCAAGTTGGTGTTTCATTTTATTTTTAAAGCTGAAGTTTAATTTCTAGTAGTCATCTTTCTGATCTAAGTTTTCTCATGTATTGCAGCAAAGCAGCAATCCAAGTTTTCTCAGCACAATCACATTTCGATCCAGTGATGGGTTAAATGAAGAAACTCAGGTTCGGATTACAGCTTATGATGTGCGAGAGTTTGCATCGTTGACCTCAGTTCCAATCGGGAGTGCTTGTTTTCGGCTAGCAGATATCTTGGAAATGTCTGAGCATCGATTGAGGATACCTCTCCAAAATTCAACCTCCTCTACCGTGGGGTTCCTTACCTTGCTAATCTACCGACTGGATAGAAATATCTCCAAGAATCCTAGCACAGAATCAACACCATGTAAATCATTACCTCAAAAAAATTCTGGCAGTCTTGTAAGTATTATTTTTGGCTTTAATTATATTGACAGCTCCTTCAAAAATTTATAATAAAATCTAAGTGATTTTATTTTAATAGTCGTAAAAGATGAAAAATATATTTCAAGTAACCCGTCCTATGGTATTGAACGATCAGTCAATTTGATAGGAAATAAAAACATTTCAAGTGAAATTCTGTAATAAAAGTACCGTCTACAGGCTAGTAATATCCATGTTTAGTTGTTTTATACATGAAGACTCATCATTTGTTTGCAGATATATTGCCACAGACGATCTCAATCTCTGCCACCTCGGTTGGGTAGCAAACTGAAACTCCCAAAACAAGGACGCCTGAAAGAAGTCTTCGCCAATGTGACGATGAGCACGTACCGTTTTCATTCAGGCTTAGGTGGAGATATAAGTGTTCAAGAAGTAATGGCTGAAAGTCGTTTCTGCTTTACTTTCCCTCAGCAGCTATTAGGTAAGACTTTATGCATACAAGACTTTTATTTATTTGATATAAACAAAATCTATACAATCGCAAGTCCAGTTCAGCTGTTTTCTCTCTGTATAAAATGAAGTATTGATAAGCAACTGCACTCTTGAACTAAAAATTGCTAAAATTGAAAACTCTCTTGGAGGCGTTGTCCCCATTATTAATGAACCTGCACCTGATGATGGAATTAGAGTCTCTGAAAAATTTTGGAGTTCACATAATGACAAGCTTCATATTTCATTTGCAACCTTGTCCGATAATGTGTCAAAATTCATCATGTTTCTTTTTTTGGGTTCTGAACATTTTTACTTTTAGACCAGAATTTTTTCATGTCGCTTGATTTTTCTTTGTCTTGTGAGTTTTCTCAACCAATAGTACAAAGGTTTTAGAAAATTCTGAATGTACAAATGATAATTTGGAGATCAATTTTTAACATTGATAGCAGAAACTACTCTATTTAATGCCTTTTGGTTGATCATTGATGAAAAAAGTCCAGACATTTTTACCCTTTTGATCAGAAAGAGCCAGGAAAATCTGGGGAGTTTCTTTCTGCTGACGCCGTGGAAAGTATTTTCTGCAAAATTTAAGCGTTCAAATGTTGTCATTCCTTGTTTGTTATTGTGAATCAGGTGTGTGGATGGCAGAGGAGAAAGAACTCTTGCAAGAAGTTGCTGGAATGGGTGAACTAGTAGAACCATGGCACTCTCGTCAAGTGGAGCTTCTTGATCGGCATTTACAGCTCCTTCACTTGTATTCGCAGGCCAAAGAAAATCTCCAGGCTCACAAGGGTAGTTTCTTCAAGCCGAGCTCAAGAAAATTTGATCGATCATTAGAGTTTGCTCCCATCAACCTTCACCTCCAAAGGTTTGTTCCTGTATCTTCCCTTTTCTAGTTTTCTCATTTTCTTTTGTCTCTCGTTCTAAGGGAAGATTGATTTTAGTTGTAGTTATGGTTAAGAGTATGGCATGATTTTTTTTACTTTTGTCATCATCAATAAGATAATGGCTGGGTATCAGTGCTAGTAAAAAGTTTTTCAAAAAGGTGATTTTTTTCATAGATGAATTGAAGTATATCTATTTTAGTTTTAACAGGCAACCTTTTCTAGTATCCTTAAGAACAAGTTGTGAGTGATTTAGTTGTGATTTAGTTAACTTTTTTGCCAAGATATTACGTAAATCAACTTTTCCTCAATCATGTTTTTCTGCCCCATGATTTTTTCCATAATTTCAAAGTTTTTTTTCTCTCTCTCAGAAATGATGTCTTTCAGACAGTAAATCTCAATCATAATTCTGGCTCAGCTTGATTTATTTGAGAATTGTTTTTGCTAAAGTAACCTCATCACACTTATCTGTGCTACAGTAATAATAATAATATATTTTTATTTGTAAGTGCACATTTTTTAACAGCTAGAGCAAATATGTCAATGTTAGTGAGGATAGGAGAAAAAAAAAGAAAAGAAAAGAAAAGAGAAGTACAGATTTTTTAAAAGAGGACTTACGCTAAATATTCTGCTTCATTATAAAAACATTTGGCAATATAGAAATTTTTTAAAACATTAAGAAAATTCAAGTCCCTGTATTTGCTTTTTAGAGCTGAGGGGAGCTTTTCAAACAGAATTTGGCTGCGCCTTAGAGAGTGGCTGTTCTTGCTGGCAACAGTACGAATTACCAATGTTTGAATTTTTTGACACTGAGGTGCCCTCACCCATAAATTTTTCCTATGATTGCAGTAAAGAAATAAATATACAACACCCAACAATCGCCTCATGCGTGTTTGGGCAGCAAAATTCATTTTCAATGATGTACTGAAGCACTTAGTAATATGGAGGTCGTGTAGAAGTTCATCAAACTTTGCTTTAAAATAGACTTTCTTCAGTAATGGAAAATTACAGCTTTGTCTAATTGAAGGATCTACAAAACTCTCGCAATGTTGAGGATTATTGAATCGTTCCCTCCCCTCAAGCTCCTATCAGCGCAATTGAATCAAGATTTGTCAGAGCCGAAGAGCTAAAACCACCAATAGTGAGGATCTTGTAAAGTGGTTAAAAATAATTGACAAATTAAGGAGTCTATTCCACTTATTGCTATGTTCTGAAACTAAAACCTCTAATAATCATTTTCTATGTTAGGTTATGCGCCCAAAATGAGACTTTGAAAAAGTCGAATATGTATGACATAATCTCAGTTGGAGCTTTTACCGCTCATGCTCACAAGTCAAAGAACGGCGGGTTGGTGAAACTTATTCAACAATTGAAGGACCTGTCTGTGAGGAGCTCATCTTCCTGCACCAATAAAATTTCAATGGCAAACGATGCCATTCAAGCAATCAAGCAACTGCGACGGGAAGTTGTGGATGCTATGCGCTTGTTGATGAAATTGGCCAAAGAGAAAAAAACTACAGGTGAGTTGCTTTACTAACTAAGTTGAAAATTTAACAATCCAGAGCGGATTGGAAAGCTAACTGGGCGTATTTCTAGTAAACGGAACTAGGTAAGTGTCATTGGAGGAAGAAGAAAGGGGGTTTGGATTGGCAGGTGCTGCGGACTGTGGAGCTCATTCCATCCTATGCTCACAATGCTTTTCCATGGCACTTACGTACGTTTAACTGAACAGCTGCAGGACTCTAAAATCCTCACAAGGAACCGAAATTGGCGCTTAGCTCTGTTCAGCAGAGATACGTCAAACCCCTAGAATGAGGAATGAGTCATTGAAATATTAATTGGATGTATTTTAAATCACATGTATCAAATGTATTTATTATTGCGCCCATAACTTAGCCTTCTTGTTGAGTAATTGTGATGTATTTGATCATGGCTTTACAAACATTCGGAACTGATGAGATGTCTGAAAATGGGGCTTTAAATTTATTTTACACTGGAAAAATTTATCTGGCATTAGCTATTCTTAAAGTAGCACTAAAACATTATGTATATATTGTATATTTATGTTTTCAACAGGGTGGAGAAATGGTGCTGGTCCACACCACTTTGCTGGGAAATCAAAGCAGAGAAATTTCAAAAATTTGGCTTTGATTTCCCTGCAAAATTGTGTGAACCCAGCACCATTTCTTCACCTTGTTAGATACAGTTTCGGGCCATTTTTTAGTGTTTTTTCTTGTTTACATATTCGTATTCATTTTTCTATTAAAGTGGCGCTGTCAACAAACTTATTTCTGCATGCCTGTGGATAATTCCTTCTAGAAATTTATGACATCCCTAATAATCCCGTAATATAATACCATACGTTAGGATTTGTTTTCTAGTTACACTGTAGAAAAATATATAGATATTAGGTTCAAATAGTATTTCAGGAAGAAAAAAATATTAAATTCTACCTAATCTCTGTTTTCAAACGGTCTCTATTTGTTTTGAGTTGACAGTAAATTTGAAAAATGCGTCAAGTCTTACTAATTTGTTTTATTTGTCCTCTCTCTAGGAATGTTACCGATTTGTGAAGACATGGTTTCAAAAACCCGAATACTTTTAAGCCTGTGGGACCCGTATCTAGTCGAAGAAGCGCTCTCGTTTATTGAAGAGTACAAAGTCACAACAATCGAAGAGCGCCTCGAGGGTGAAGACAGTCTGAGCTCCATGTCCCCATTTCACAGAATAACGCATCAGCTCAACCTGAACCTGAGATCAGGAGAAATCGACGACCTTGCTACCCCAGATACTCCAGCCATGCTCAAAGACGTCTGGAATCTGGCCTCCATCAATAGCCTCAGTAAGAACGGGAATAATGAAAGTGCTAACAACTCTGGGTCTGCCGACGGAGAGCAGCAGTTTGTAATTTTTCCGGACGCTGAAGAAGAGACGCAAATTCCCGATGAAAACTCAAACTTGTCAACCAGTAGTAATAACAATAATAGTTACAACAATGGTGTCTCCGAAGAGAAGAAACCAAACGGGATGGATAACGAAGTGTGTCGTAAATTCCTTGATACTCATGCAATGTGTAACTCTCCGTCAGCAAATTACTACAAGCCAACAGACGAACCGGAACCGTTCGATTTAACCCAGTTGAATATTGAAGCAAGCGTAATGTGCCTTGTTAGCAAAGTTAAGTTCCTTTGTGGCCGGTGCAGTAGTCCAGCCGTAAGACTCAGAACTCCAAAGAATATTGGCAAAACTCAAAGTTTTAGGAATAAATTGTCTGAGCAAGAGGTAATTTCATTTTTATTAAATTTGCTTGGAAATATTTAATGGAGTCAAGGTATTGACAGCTGTTTATCCAATTGATATGGAAACATGAATAAACTTTAAGAGTCGGTAAATTAGGGTTACACAGCTGAAAAATTGGGGAAAATCAGAGAACAAAATTTTACTTAAAGTTATCTAAAAATCTCTTAAAGCATATCAAAATTGTTTCTTTCTGTTAGACTTTCCTCTATATTCTGAGCTCTTATAGCTTTGAATGAAGATGTTGTATAGTCATAATCTTACAAAGGAAGCTGAGACCTTTAGGATAAGTAAAAACTGAATCATATGATTGCCTTTGATACATTTTAATAGATCGTTGATTGAATTAGGCAGCAATCTTTCGTCATTTTAATTGAGAACCACCTAGAAGTTTTTGAAAGCTCATGTTTTCAACTCTCAAATTAGTCAATTTAAAAGCTCTCCCCATGTTGAAAATAACTTCTAAAATAATGGGAATCGCCCAGTCTACTAAGAAAATCTTTTGAATTCATACTCAGCATAAATACTGCTTGCAAAAATACTTGAACATGCGTTTAAAGTTAAGCCACAAAACGAGTAGAATTAATTTTTTTCTATCAAAAATTAAATTTGTATCTTTAAAAGAAAAAAGAAATAATGCCTGCGAGACAAGGTTATCTCTAAAACACTGATACAGGCGTGAAGGCACAAACTATTCCAGTTTTTCATTTATAATTGAACGCTAACTGCCCTTTTGATCTATTCATATCGTAGTCTCTAGCATAAAAGAACTTATTTATTCTGCTCTGTTTAAGTAATTCTTAGTAACATTTTATTTTTTCATGGGAAATCCTTCACACGAATTTGTCTGAAAATTTTAGTGACTTTCCTCGCGAGTATCAAGAAAAATTACTTGAAATTTCAAGCAAATTCATGGAATGTTTCTCCAACAAAAAAAATATAACATTCATAAGAAATACTGAAACAACGCATTCAAGATATGTTCCTTCTTGCAGGAGACAATCAATGTAATGATTGGATTTACAATTTTTTATGTCCTTATCAGAATAAATTTTAATCTATTCTGAAAATAATTATATTGTACTATTCATAAAGATTCGTTTCACCAAAGTAAATTTCTAGTTTTCTCACCAATAATAGCTGTTTCAAATTTATTTTCTCATTGTTTTATGTATTCAGCTAAGTCCTGCAAAGAATGAAAGAGAAAACGAGATTTCCTGTGATGCGCTCATTGAGAAGGACAATGACCCAAAAGAGATCAAAGATGCAAGCAATAAACGCAACAAATTTACTGAAGGCTTGGACTTTGCGTCTATCACAGACTGGGCCACGGAATTAAGACCCAGCATGCGCAAATTACGGCAAGCGATGGATGGACTTCTGAAAACTGCACGGCTGACTCACAGCGTCTTCCGAGTTCAAGAAGATAAGCGGATTGCTCAAAGAACATGCAATGTTCGTTACAGGAGACATGTGTGTTTTTCGCAAGCTGTAAGTTTCTTTGATATGTAAATCGAATGTTTATGTAAGTGTTTTGTGGATAAGAAATATCTTTAAATGTAAACAAGGTGACTTATTTAGGGGTCTGGTCATGGTCAAACTGATGTTTAAATTTTTGCATTGAATAGAGGAAAAATCTGAGAAAACTACTAGTTTTATGCTCAAAATAAATTATAAGCGCCTGCTCATCAACTGAGAAAATAATGTGCACCCCAAAAATTAAAGAATTCCAAAAATGGATTTATCCATGAAAAAATAATTCAGCCGAACGTAATTTGTAATTCTTGTTTATAATGTGAAAATTTTTTCGAGAAAAATCCTGATATCATGCCACCAAATGTTTCAATTTTGGTGGCTTTGACTGTCTAGTCTTATTTTTAGAGAGGCCAGTCTTTTTTTTTTGGGGGGAGGGGGGGCATATGACTCAAAGTTTATCCAAATTTTTGACTCAATAGATTTGAAATCGACTAGAAGATATCCATGTGAGATCTACAACTGGACCCTGAGGAGAAACACATCTACCATTAATGGCCTCATGTTATGTTTCAACATGTCAAAAAATTCCCTTTGGAAACTGAGGTGGAAAGTATCTGAGAGCTTAAAGGCGATTGTTTAGTTTTACATGAAGAGGAACAATTAAGTTGGCAATTTTGTGAAATTTTCAGAATTTATCGCCCATGTTGATAGATCCATGTGAAAGAACCTTTGATGAACATTTGAAACTTGCCGTAAACCTTGAAATTTTGTGTAAGTTTTTATTGCTTTGAAATGCATTTCCCTTTAACATCAAATTCATATTTTCTTTCAGTTGACAAGTGTTGTGGTGGCACTTGTAGCCAAGCTTTGGTGTGAGAAAGCAGACGCTACGTTTTTGCACATTCTCCTTAGTGTCGGGCCTTTACTATTATTTGAAGGTTTATTAAGCGTCTACGCTGACGAGTTGGACATGTGGGGTGATATGATAGTTGCCATTGAAGACCTGCGCTCCGTTAGATTTACTTTGGTCCATCATGTCAAGTAAGTATCCTTCAGTTTGTATATTTGGACTACGTTTTGCAATAAGGAACTACTATTTCTGGCTTGCCCTTAAAAGCACCCATTTGGATTTAGAAACTTTTGGCATTGTTTCTAACATGAAAGAAAAATTGTAGTTCCGTATTGCAAAATCTAGCCCATTTTATGTTGAAGCAGTAGACAGGGTATTAAAAAGCATCACACTAATCGTTTTTGCATAAAAAATGCGACAAGAGGAGAGAAAGTAGTTTTCAAAAAATTGGGGAAATTTTTGTGAACTAGTGGATTCATTACTTGAAAATGAAAGAATTAAAAATTACCAAAGGAGCTCATTATCGGTTCTTTTTCTGAAAAGTTTTTTTTGGAATCTTAAATTTAGCGTTGGGAATAATTTTGTGCTTCTGTTGGAATATAATCACTGTTCTGATGGTAGATTCCAAATAAGAATGAATAGTACTCAGGATGGAACCTTTCCTCTCCCGGCTGGTAAGAAAAGTCCATCAAAACAGGGGTTTTGAGATAATAGAAGAACACGAGTAGATACTGATGAAGGTGAACAGGACAAGGAATAAAGCTGACAAGCGGTGTCGGAACAAACTCAACAAACAAATAAAAACACAAAATAAAGGAAGCTAAGTTGACGGGTTTAGCCCCCCGTCAGGGCAGACTAAATTTGATTTACATTTTTTAAAAAGGAAAGGGAATCTGCCGTAAAAACGAAAAGACCAAACAGCAGCACGCACACCGAGGTCGAAGAACGAAATCCAAGCGAAGAGTGGGGAGCCGAATAGTGCTGGTAGCCGCCACGTGACCACTAGCACTACTTGGCGGGCTAAAATTTTGAAAAGTGAAGGGGAAGGGGGGACACCCGTTACAAGGAGGTCTTTCAAAATCCATTTTCTAGAAATATGTTCCAGTTTTACCATATCCTAACACACCTCCACATCTCCTAGGCTGACTCTTGTCAATGGAGGATTTTCTCATTTTTTCATAAAAATTGATATTTGCCATTACTGAAACAATGATCTTTCATTTTCAGAGGTGAGCCGATCCTCCCAAGAGTTGTGGGTTCCCGAGCATCATTAGGTGTCCACATACCTGTACCAGACTCAGTTTATTCCTTGTTATTCTGCGTTTTCTCATATCGGCCCTCATTCTATGTTGTTCCGATCTACTTCAATGTGGGCATCAATGAAGTGGCCACGATAGCTGAAACATTTGGCCCGAGTCGTCCACAACAACGAAATAATTTAGATAATTTTGAGCGGCTGAACGATTATGTCCGCCAGTTTCGCAAGTTGAATTTATTCGAAGCGGCTGCTGGAGGTTCAAAACGAGGTAGTCACCCTCAATTTTATCAAACTTGACATTAGTTTATACGTATTTTTTTAATGTTTTAAGGTATTGTAACTTTTGCTCTCTTTACAAAATCTTTTGGATTATCTCATCTGCTCATTACATGCATATTAAGTAATTCTATCCTACTCTGCTCTGTAAGTTTATCTGATTTTTTCCGTCCATCTATCTTCGTTTCAAATCCTTTCTTTTTTGATCGTGCAATCAATCATGCAACTTCAGAAAACCATTCCATGAGTCTTATATATGTTTTTAAATGTGAGTCAATTAGAAAATAACTTTTTCTCTCAGTCTTCTATCCATTTTTTCTCCAAAGTCATTGACTTATCAAGGCAGTCTATCAGAAAGAAGTAGATCGTAATGTATATTTTCATGATCCTTTTTTTTCCAATTTAAAATGAATCAATGTTTTCTGTAATATTGTCGAAGTATAGAGAAAGCTAAAAAAATTACAGATAGTAAATTAATTTTGGGCTGGTGTATAAATTCTATTCTCAATTTTCAGGATTCTTCAACCTGCAACAATCACCATCAAAAATGGATCTTTTGAAACAATTAAAAGCTGCCATAGAATCAAACAAAAGCAAGAATGTTGCCATTTTAGACTTGGCAGCACAGATCACCCGAGGATTGAAAGGTAACTCCTCATAATATTATCTGTGAAAGTGAATGAAAGTCTGAGGAGAGTCAATATGTTGACTTATCAAATTTGTTACAAGCCCTTCCTGCTGAGCAGGTGGATATAGAACGGCTCAGGCTGGTCGTAAGTCTGCCATGTAGGGCATATCTAGTTTCGCCTGGAACAATATATAGATTTTACCGCTCAGTGGGACCAGTCCATAACATATGTAATCACCGTTTAAAATTTTTTCCATTTGGTTCCCCTTCAATGTCTGCAACTGTTTTTTATGTATGTATAGTTCCTGATTCTCAACTTTTTTGAACAATGTCTCACATTATATTTTGCCTTATCTCAAACTTAAATTTTTAAGCTTTGCGTTTTTCAATGAATATTTTTTGAAAAAAACATTGTAAATGCAAATGCTTTTTTAAAGTTGTATTTCATGATTTTTACAGGACTGAAGTTCACAAGCTGTAAAAGCGGCAAAGATCGGACTGGGATGTCGGTAACTCTGGAGCAGTGCAATATTTTACGTCGCGAATATGATTTAGCAGACAGTGAATTTCAGCGAGCTCTGGACTGTATGCGCAGGTATGTTTTTATTCTGTAGGTCATTCCTCTATGCGATAAGATCTTTTTGTAAAAGGAAAATTGTCTAGTGATTAGCAAAGTTATACTGAAGAAAGCCAGGGCTATGTTTAATGAAGCATAGCTCATTCATGGCGTGCATCGAAGAAAGAGAAACAACTTGACCTCTAATGTCCTCAAAACCGCAATACTTACGAACACGTAGAAGCAAAGCCAGAAGAAGAGGGGGGTCCAGACAGTTTCTTTTTACTTTTAAATTGAGGTCAATTAGCCTATAAGTTGTCTTTTCCTTGATTGAAATCAGCTCTTCCACTCTTCATTATTATTAAATCACTGAAATAAAGTATAAAACAGATTTCAGAGCTGTAGCTAACACCTGCCTACCTAGAGAAGATTTGTCAGTTCTTTAAATTTTGTAATTTTCTATTCCTTTTTTTCAGTGAGGGCTGTCGCCGTGAGAATGCATACAAGAATACGGGTGTTCGAAAATTTGCGTTCAATAGTCTGCAGAGGATGGCATTGCCCCCTTTATACAAACCTCCAGTTGGAACTTTTGGATCAGTGCAATCTTAAATTTTAGTCCTGTAGCTTTCTCCCTGTGTATTTATTTGTTAGTCACCGGTGTTATACCAGTAAGAATAGCGTTGATAGCAAACTTATAGCAAAAGGCATAAAATGTTGCTGACTGAAAAAAAAAAATGAAGAAATAAAATTATCAAATTAACTGATGTTGGTCAGGAAGCAGGTAATGAATATTGATAATACTTTTACTGTACGATAAAATGAAATTTTGATGTAAATGAAAACATTTGAGGAAAAATACTAAAAACCTGGGGAAATAATATAAGTAACAGAATTGTAAAGTAGTGCTGGCTTCACTTTATTCTGAAAGGATATCAAAGCCAAAGGTACCAAAAATTGAAAGTAGTTCAGCAAAATTGAATTCTAATGATTTTCATGGAGAGACTGGGGGACAATGGTCAACTCAGGGAGGTACATTGGAAATGCATTGACTACGTACCTACTTTATTGTCGCAGGGCTCTTCATATCAAATTTTTGTCAAATTTTCATCAAACTTTTATTTCATTTTTGCATAATATTCATCATCTTCGAAGCTGTGAAAGGTCAAATAGCATGTTGCATATTGACCATTCAGAAATCCTCAGAGGGACGTAACCTTCCAACGAAGGACTTCCTATTACGATGTACTCTCTATTATAAGTAAAGAGAAAAAGGAAGTTCACGTGTTTTGGAACCATTTGATTTTTAAATCATGATTCATATTTCTTGTAACTCAAAATGGGCTTGTTGCAAACTTTTGCTAGAGCGAAAATAAGAGTTGTTACTCATAAAAAATGGCTCAAAAATCTCGATGAGCGCATTAGCAAAGTCTGAAATGCACTCCTTGCTTCACAATTTGCATGAGAAATTTGCGTTATTTTCGAGCTTCCCGCTTTAAACTTTTCGTTACGGGAGTCATTCCATCCAACCCCTGCTCACAAGAATACCACGCAATATTCAACAAAGCCGACCCAAATCCGCCAAAACACATGTGACGGGAGGATTATTCTAACTTTTAACGACCTGATGGCAATCGGCGTGTTTACGTTCACATTTTTCTCGTGTTGATAGATATCCGCCGTGACTGACCTCATGCTCTCCTCAACTTGCCCTCGGAAGCATCGGCCATGTTGAGCAGATATTGAATGGAACGACCTCTCTAACAAAATGTTCACCTGTGCCGTAGTATGAAGCGGGAAGCTTAAAAAATGCAAATTACTTACGCAGATTGTGAAGTTAGGAGTGCATTTCAGAGTTTGCCAATGCGCTCATCGTGTTTTTTGAGACATCATTGATAAGGAATAACTCTTTTTTTTTGCTCTAGCAAAAGTTTGCAACAGACCCTTTTCTGAGTTACGAAAATACAAATAACTCATCAATGATAAAGTTTAGATTTGCCTTGTTTGAGTGTAGAAAATAGGCTAATTTCACGAAATAGCCTTCCTCAGCACTTTATCTTAGGCCAAAGCAATGAAAGGTTTTAAACGATTGTTTTAAATAAGATGCTTTCCAAAAGTAAAATTTTCATTCTCATCTCAGATTTAAAATCTGGTAGAGAACGCAAGTGGAAAATTTGTAAGATAAACTCAGAAAGCTTTTAGCAGCTTTGAAAGTTCAATTATAGCTTAGAAGGTAACACTTTTGTTTTAAGATCATAAACGAACTATATATTCTTCCATTTTGTTTCAATGCCCCCTCCCTTTTCATAATCTTCAAATTATAATAATTTGATACCTTATTTTTAACACATCTGAGACTGACAAGGAATCGTCAGTAACAGAGTGAAGGTAATTTTAAGACTTGATATTTTTAGAAAATGTATGAAATGCATATAAAATTTTAAAAATAAAAATATGCAGCAATTCTTTGTGCCAAAATTGCCGATTCTATGTTTCAAAGTCTTCTTAGCTCTGATTTAATGAATATTGGGTTTTTGTATTTCTTTTTATTTTGTAACTCGTCTTCTTATCAAATTATTTACTTAATTTTCAGTTTTAGTCGCAAGTTTAGTTGCCTTTGTTGCACAAATGTTCTTGTCAGTTTTAGTGTATTAACTCTGAACTTAATTGATCTAAATCGGGTATACCTATTGAGATTTAAGGTCATTTAGTCACACCTGATTATTTGCCACCTAAAGTTTCCCAATTGTTCCATGCTTTTTCAATCATCGTTGAAACTAATCGCCGTTTTTTAAATTTCAAAAGAAAATTCTTCACACAATGGAGGAAATGCACAAAATTTGTGAAGACTTTTATATTTTAGCAGCTTAAATTTTTTTGAATTATGTTCAGAATGGATCAGATACGTATGTCACAGAATCATATTTTGATGTATGAATCTTCGAATGAGTTTTGTCAAAATTTCAAGTGCATCTGTTGCATATTATGTGCGAAGATGTTAGAGAATACTCTTTGAAGAACATGATGGAATATGGTGTTGTCATCAAAAATATTAGACATACAGATTTGGCGTTTTGACAGATGATGAGATTTTTCACAGAACATTAATACTCAATCGTGGATTCTGTGTCATGGTGATCCATGTTTTTGATGTACTTATTTATTGATTTAATCGTGTATTTTTCTTTCATTTTCTACTGGTGAAGTGCTTAAGAAAAACATTACTTATACAAAAAATACAAACCCACCAGATGAATATACAAATTTTTAATTTGAACAGAATATCAGGACGATTTTTCTCTCACTAGAAAATTTTAATCCAACCCTAGTTTTAAAAACTTGTGTCAGACTAATACAAATTTTAAATTTGTATTAGTCTGACACACAGTATAGCTAGAGCACAGGCTATGATGGCATTGGTAGCTCACTGACAAAACATAGTTGGCTAGTTTCTAAACAAAAGAAACATGACCAATTTGTTTATTTGTAATTTTATATCTGTGATTTTTTTTTTTTTTTTTTTTTTTTTTTTTTTTTTTCATTTTAATTTTAATGAAAGAATCTAAAACTAAAACCAAAAAATTGTGTATTTCCTTAAAAAATACACGAAAAATAGGGGGTAACACAATATTGATTTTATTTAATACTGGTAAATCTTTGCACTAATCCTAGTTACTTTGATTTGTAAAGAATATTTTGGCTCTTCTAATTCAAATTCACTCATGTATTACAAGTATCTGTTTTTTAAGGATCCTAGTTTCAATAAGTAACCAAGGAAAACTCAGAAACTAGATATTGCGCATTGAATCAAACATGAATATTTGCGAGAGAAAGAACCTTAGCCTTCAGAGGCAAATTTTTTAGGAGAGTGGTGAAGCTAGGAAAGATCAATCATTCGATTTTTCAAAAAAAAACGCTCTTTGGTACCTTATGAAACAAGCTGTGGGTAGTTAAGCTCATATTTTTTCTCATACCCAGAGTGTAAAATTTCTTTTTAGTCCAATGATTTTCAGCTTGAAATGTGGCAAAGTAAATCACGAAAGCCCCTTCCTTCAACTTTTCATTTTCTTAATTGCAAAATTTTTAAAATCCTAACACTGGTTTGGTTTAACATTATAGGGGATTGTGTTTGAGCATTTTTTAGTAAAATACTCCTCTGTGCAGTGGCAGCAATATCTCAACTATAAGGTTTTTTGCATTTAGCCTCCTATTCTTGTGAATGTCCATGTTTATCTAAGTGATCAGAACTAGTGCTCGGATTAAACTCAAATTCTTTTTCATAGATAATAAACTTAATTCAAAGAGAAATCAGTGATTTGTTTTAAAGTTAAGTTTGAATCATGGAAACTGTAAAATCCAGATTTGCCTGGTATTGAGACTGTTCATTTTGTGGAGTAACTCTCGACTTTTCTTCTTTGGAAGTTTTGTCACTTGCTAATTTTACTCATCTGTTCATAATTTAATTTTGTTAATGTGTCTGATGGACTCTAAACTTGTTGTGTGAATACCTGCATCTTATTTCCATTCTCTTTACTATTGTCTACAATTTATCGTCTGATTTTTAATACCTTGCATCTTTCAAATCCTCATCTGAAGTTTTTCCCTAGACGAATTCTGCTTATTTTAGACAACGACTGAGTCAGGCACATCAAACTGTTACTAAATTTTACAGTGAAATGTTTTTTAAAATTTTTTCTTTAAAATTTTATGACGGTAATTATCGCTAGCTTGACAATTGTAACACCTCTTCTAGAGGTGTCACTATTTTCAAGCTGTGGTGGAATTACCTATTGTTCGTACGTTTTTCGACACAAATTATTGACTTGTTCAAAGTAACTCTAAGAATTGAATCAAGCTCAATTAGGTAAATGTATTCATTTTGTTAAATATTTGTTGTTAAATTCCTCTTGTAAGTAGGTGAGACTTCGTTTTTAAAATTAAGACTTAGTACTTCAGTTATTTTTTCTTTAAGTAATTTATTTGTTTTATTTCATAATTTATTTATTTATTGCTATCAGTATTAATAAATTATTTACAACTTTATCTGTTATCATTTTTCTGTTTTTCCCTTCAAATAGAAGAATTTCATACCTACATAAATTTATTTTTATTCAATGAAATCACTGTAAAGTCAGGAGGAGACATCAAGGATGCAGGAACCTCTCATTTGCATGGCAGGCAAAACAGTGAGGAAGCTGCAGAAAGGGATTTTGAACTCATGAAGATCCTAAACAGGGGCTGTGAAAATGAGAATGCCAGTTTTCATCAGTGAAAAGAAAGCATGCTAGAATGACAATAGCTATAGAATGACAGATATTAGTAAGAGTAAGTAAAAAGAAAGAAAAAGTTATCATCATCAAAAGCTTTGGAGGAGAAGAGACCTGCAAAAATGGAAAGTTTAGGATAATTAGGTACATAATAAGGCTAAAGAACTATCTGCACCCTTACCAGTTATCAATCTTGAGGATTCTTCTTTCAAATTTTCTGAAAATTATGATCGTTCTTCAATTAACTGTGATTGAATTTTTTTTTTTTTTTTTTTTTTTTTTTTTTTTAAATGTAAGAAAATCCTGCAATTGACGTCTAGGTAGGCTCTCTAAGAGTATAAAAGTTCAAATTTTTCATCTTCTGTTGCTTTCAAAAATAGTTTCTAAATTAAACATGTCAACATTTTTTAACAGTTGTCTTCTTAAAATTATAGAGTTTTGTCAAAGTTTTTTTTTTTACAATTGTTGCTACAAGTAAAGTGATGTAGATAATTTATTTTTCATTCATCCTACTTTTACAGTAGAACATAAGTTTATTGTTTCATTTGGAATTTCTAATATTAATAATATTTGAAAAGAGGCACTCTTTTAATAAGCAAGTGCACATATTATTCTATCCAAGAGGGCCCTTATCCTAACTCCTGTTGGTGCCTAGGCATATTTATCTCTTCCTAACACTTTTCCTCGAATTTTATTTTTGGAAGCTTTTTCATGATGTGTTTCGTTCATTATGACAGAGAGAGAGAAGAGAATCACCTACGTTAAGTGCCTTCAAAAAAGAGAACATTTACACTGTGCAGTAACATACCTGTGTCAATTATTGCAGCTCAACACATTGAAGGCGAATTGAAAATACTTTGAAAATTCAAGTTTTAAGTGAAAACTCCTCGTTCAAATGCTCAACGACAGTCACCTAACTGAAAACAGGCAATTTTATTCTGAGTTTATTATATAATACCATGAATTTTTCCGCCAATATTAAATTTGTTACTTATTTACATACTCGTCACTCATTTATATTCTTAGCGCGGTTGCGCTAATTCTTATTCACAGACTAATTACACATATCCATGAGGAACCAATTAATTAACACTGTTGATTCTTTGTCTTCTCCAGAACGCCTTTGTGTTTTTAAAACAACTGGAGGAGCGACTTCTTGAGTCATTCATGATTCATACTCGTGGAGTGCAGTTGCAGTTTACTTGATTTGGTTGATTTCGAAAGGTTTTATGAAACTACTTTGGCAACAAGGCTGTCCAATTGCATACTTGCACTCGTCAGCTGTTCAGCTGCTGGCCTTGTTTTGAATTTGATTACAAGTGACATCACAGTCTCCGTTCTTGGCTTCTACATTTTTCGACTGGTAGTTTGTTTTTCGTTTCTGATCAAGAGATTGCGAAATAAAAGAAGATTTTGTGTTGCCCTCGTCCCGCCCCCTGGCTCTTAAATTTCTCTATTATCTACGTGAGACTATTGCGCAACCCCTTTAGTCGAAGATCCGTTTGCCTATTTCATTCTCCTCAGTCGTGTGACTCAAACCAACTCCGTAAGTCACTTCCGTGTCAACAAAGTGTTTTCAAGTTCACGTCGTCACCAAACGAATTTTTCAGTGTTTTTCGTCGTTTCAAATCCCCAAAATGTTGCGAATCGGCAGAGTCCTTAAAGATAAATCAAATGTTGTTGAAGCTCTTATCAATGGAGACAAGACATTCAGGTTAGTTTAATTTTTTTTCTAGAAGGTTTTATCAATTTCTGACGTCCTATGCTAACGATCAGAACACAGGCTGTTCATTTTAATTTTTCAATATTCCTCTAGCCTCCCAACACTTGCGATTATATTTAATTGTGAGATGTAAACCTCCTGCAGAAGTACTCAGTTCTTACTCACAAATGGAGGATTGTTCAAGCGATCTCTAAAATTTTCCCAACAATGAAACAAAGAAAGCAATGTGAAACCTGCCAATCGATTTAGCCAAATGACACCACTAATCTCATCACCCCATTCCAATTGCACTGAATTTCCTCTCAATCAGTATGTTGCGGTCAAAAGGTTATTGTTTGCGACTGACCGCTGGTGTATATAGGGATCCCATCCTTCAAAATGTTTACCAATGCTGTTTACCAGTAATGAGAGCCAAGCAAGTACCTCTAGTTCATTCACCCAACAGCATATTCAAAACATCTGATTAATTGCTTGATTGAAAATTTCTGCTATTCAATGGTTTGCCTCATGCACCATTGTTTAATCTGTGCAACGCTTAGCAAGCGTGCTTGATTTATCCCTTCAAATTCAGTTGTTTAACTGGCAGGTCAAAAGTTCTTTAGAATTACCATGAAGGTAAACTTTAGCGCAAGGTTGTTCAAGTTTTTTAAAAAGAGGATTGAAAATTCAGACAGCTCTTCGACTTGAGGTGTTTTTGTAAGTACCTATCTCACACTTGAGATTAAGTTGAACTTGGCCAAATTTCAGCTCCTCCTTCTCTAGTGCCAGTTCTTATCAAGATGTTGATGCTCCTCTCTTGCTGATAGACTTTGAGAATAGAAAAATTAAAATATTTTGGTGAATTAAGCACAATTCTGCTTCATTTGGCAGCACTTGCCTAGCATGAAAGATTTATGGTTATCCACATTCATATTCGTACCATTTAATCCATCAATTTTGAACTACAGATTGGTAGTTCCAAGAGTTTTACTTATAACTTTGCTTAGTTTTAAGATCCTGTAAATAATGACTTTGCAAAGAACTCCAGCTGGAGCTTGGTAGGCGAGGAACTTCACTACCTAGTTTTCGTTCCTCCTTTTAGTTATTAGCGAAAGCATAAGGGTAAGATCTGATATCACACATTTTTTTTTGTATTAAATTCTAAAGCAAGTAGGTAATAAAATAGAACCAACAATAAAACTTTTTAGATCCTGTCAACTTTATTTCTTTTTTATTTTGAACAGAGTAAATTTTGAAAATGGAGATCAAAACCTCCATTGTAAACAAAGTTGAAGAAAACGCAACTTCAATGGCATCTCCAAGATAAATGTAAAAATATGACTGGGATTACTACTAAGGCTAATTTACAAGTACTATTGGCGATTGATAGTGATTAATGACAGCACATAGGTTGTTGTTTGGATTGTGATGCAGTCAAGTAGTATCAAAAGCCTGGAGAGCAACAGTCTCAGTTCAGAATAGTCTCAAATCATTTAAGAACCTCACATGAGTTTTGTGCATTTTTACTTTAATTTTAAAGCTCTCTCCAGCAGTACTTAATAATATAAAAAGAGAGGGGAGGGGTATTCATCAGAAAAAATTTTGAATTAAGATTTATCTTGTAACTGTACCAAGTATTTTAACAGTGAGTTTTGCTAACTGGTGGTGAATTATTAAAATCTATATTCTTCCGTGTTTTTGGAGAAATATATATTTAAAGCAATTTGGCAACTGATCATCGCTTAGCACACAATTATCTAACTGCCTGATCTTTGACTGTTTTGTGAAATTCCTACCTAATCTTGAGTCAAGCCACCTATGAGTACTAAGTCCAATTTTGCAATAAACATTGCTTCAATTCTGCAGTATCAGTTATTGGTTTATCACTTCCTTGGTTTTAAATAACTGTTGCAAAATCAGAGAGGTAATCACAGTTGTAAGCACTAAAAGTGCGCACTGATGTTACTCAATTTCTTCTGAAATTTAATTCTTTGCAGATCAGTTTTTTTTCACTGACTCTTTCCTTGTGTAACAGATAGAGAATCACTGTAAATTAATGGGACTCTCCTGTAAAAATGTTTAAATAAGAAAAAAAAAAAAAAAAGTGTTTGTAAAATATGTTGAAGGTACCTACTCACAGCTATTCTTTGGTTTTAAAAAAGAGTGCTTAAAAATGAGCCAATATGGCAATTCTTTTCATGACTTTGAGCCTGAGCTCTTCAATAATAATGATTAGGTACTTTTGAAAAGAGCCCCCACATTCTTACCTGTTCGTCACAAATACCAATTCAATTTTCACTTAAAAATTAATTTTTGTCTGATTTTTAAATTTTTTGTTTTGAGGGGGGGGGGGTTTTGGTCTTGGAACCTACTGTGTACATTCACTTAAATAGAATCATAAACCAGTTGCCAAAGTGTTTAAAATATTCAAAATAAATTCCTTTTTTTATTCTTTTAACAAAAAATATGTCGTAAGATAAACCTCTTCCCTGATAGGACCTAGACCCTAGAATCTCATGATACTATCTTGTAGTTACTATTCATAAAGTTCTGAATTGAAGAAGAACAGAAGTGTAATCTTTTTTTTTTTTTTTTTTTTTTTTTTTTTTAATGCTCATTTTTTCTGTTTTGATTCCACATAAAAAAACCATAAATAATCAAATAATCTAATCATCTAATCTAATACTCTATCTAATCTCCCACTGGACCTAAATAGACATGTTCCTTCTCTGTGCATCAAGACAAGCGCCAGACTTTCGCAGCAACTGTGCGTGAGAAAAGTGTTGCACAGTAATTAGCTCAGTGCCTCAAAGCACTCTCACGAAGGCACTGGGTCTAAAGAAACTGGATTGAAAGTGTAACAAGGTTACCTATCTTTCCTCGATTTTATAATGGAAGTGGAACCAGTTTTTCTTCCATGATTGGAGGAAGGAAATTGACACTGACTTGCATACTAAGTAAGTTGATGGAGAGTGAAAATTAAAATGCACTCATGATGACTATCTCTCACTAAAAATATCCTGAAGTTGCCTGTTGAAGAATCATCAAGATTTCGTCAGGCTTACATGACTGGAACCATAATTCACTCATCATTCTATTGACCATTTAAAAAATGAAACTAAGTATGTGCAAAGATCAATTTTCTTTTAACTATGATCTCTTTTTGCTGCAGCATTTCAAGGCAGCATGTAAACTGCCTATTCAAGTTCTTTGCAAGTTTCAACTGCATACATCTCATTGCGGTGCTTCAAAGTTTGCATTGCTGTTTTTAAAATAATCATTTTATTTTTTTTTTGTAAGAAGTGAGGGAAAATTCAGGGAATTTCAACTCCAGTGGTCAGGAAATTTGATTGAACTTGCAACCCTGCTGCCAGTGAAAGTAGTAAAAGCTGGGGTACAGTGCTTTAGCAATTTTATAGAATGCTCATACAAAACTGACAAAGCAGGGAATCTTGGAAAGCTGCTGAAAAACGCTCTCAACACAAATGGAATTGAAATGATTTCGATTTTTGGTGTTGGTGTGAATATTTCTGATACTGGTTGAACTTTATTAGTAAAAATATAAAAATATTTTGGCAAAATATTAACAAAAATTGGTAATTACATAAACATGGATACTGAAAATGCATTATTCTGGAGAGGAATTTTTAAGGAGAGGTGTGCAGTAAGCCTCCTTCTCAATTTGAATAAAAAAAATACTAATACATATTCTCTCAATTCCTCTCATTTTCAAAATGTAAATGCAATAGGTAAGAATAGTCCTCTCACAATGTATTCTCAGTTTACTAACTAATATTTTCATCTCGTCTCAGGTTACTCTCAACCACAGTGGCTTCTCATGGTGCAGCAGCTCCTGCTATCAAGGAAAAGCATGAAGATGTCTCAAAACCAAAGCCATCGAAAGATTCCAAATCTTTCACCATGAATCTATTTCGCGGTGGGCTCGAAACCTCCCAAGTTTTCCCATACCCAAAAGTGCTCAATGAAGAACAATCTGAAATGTTAACAATGCTGGTCGATCCCATGTCGAAATTCTTTGACGTAAGTATTTTTTGTACCAAAGGCAGAAAGGGACTAACCCGTATTAAGCTCCAATAAATAGAGAGAAAGAGGCTCAATATTCTTTTCCCTCTTAAATGGAGTGTTAGAAATAAATTTTCAGTCAAAACTTTTTGTAGGCTTTAGAATCCAAGAAACCTTGTCAGTATAATGCTGTTTAAGTTTTAATCAATTAATTGTATTCTTGATTTAAGGCTATAGCCATTTTGTGTACATAAAAACCCATTTTACGCAGGACTCTATTATTCAAATCTCGTAAGTAATTTCATGGAAAAGTGAATTTCACTCTCAGTTTTTCAAAATAAATTTATTCATTCTTTACTCTTATTGTAACCAGGAGGTGAATGACCCCAAAAAAAATGATGCAGAGGAGAAAGTAGATGAAACTACGCTGTCGGGACTCTGGGACCTTGGAGCTTTTGCTCTACAGGTGCCCCAAGAGTTGGGCGGTTTGGGATTGTGCAACACTCAGTATGCCAGGCTAGTAGAAATTGTCGGAGCGCACGATCTTGCTGTTGGAATCGTTTTAGGAGCTCATCAATCCATCGGATTTAAAGTAAGTATACTTCTCACTTCACATTTTATCTTTTTAGTTATTATTCTGTCAGTATATGTATCGCAATACTTTGTCTGTGATGTTTCATCAGAAATAGCATAGTCACACATACTTAATAGCCGTTTCAAGGATGGAATTTTTCCTGCTGGATTGCTTATTTCTATGCCATTTCTGTATCTTGCAATGAGATACAGAAGGGACGATTTTTGCACTTAAATTTTATTTTGTAAATTCAAGCGCCATTATTCAAACTCTATGTCTCTTTAAAGGTTAATGTATGAACGGATAACATGATGAACAATTATTTCATATCGAATTAATTGGCTCAATTGAAGACTTTTTCGGTGAGAGGGCATATGAGGCTTGCAATGCTGCTGAGATTGTGCAATTTTTTATAGCATTTGTGGAAGATAAAATTTATTCACAGTCAACTTACCTCCTTATAATACCTAGTGAGGAAAAACTTGGAGCAGATTCTGGGACAAATTCATAGTAAACTGTCGGATAAGTTACCTACAACTAAAGAGGTACGTTGTACAATCTTAGCAGCATTAAAAGTTCCACTTGCCGATTTACTAAAAGATGTTTCAATTCCGAGGAATCGAAGTGAAAAACTTCAACCATTTCAAATGTTAACTAACCTCATTGTTAACCAATTATTGCAAATTTGCATTTGATACCTTCCTAATTTATGGGATTTCCTCCATCAGGGAATCCTGTTGTTTGGAAATCCGGAGCAGAAGGCAAAGTATTTACCAAGAGTTGCAGGAGGTGAAATGGCTGCATTCTGTTTGACAGAGCCAGCATCAGGAAGTGACGCTGCATCCATCAAGTAAGTTTTTTTTACGAATACTTAAAAGTCCTTGTAAAATAGAGTCAGCCTGATGCTTGACTGATCAGACTTGCTTTATTTTATAAAGCAATCCATATCACTGTAAGTGGTCCAACTTTACACTGATTGTAGTTAATTCAGTCTCATATCAGAGAAGCGTCAGGATGACATCAGATCAATACAGGTTGGCATCGAAATGATTCATGTCAATGTCGAAGGGATTAGTTTCACCAAGCAGTCCAACCCGCTTGACCTACTTTTACCAAGCATAAAGGATTGAAGTGTGTAGGCGCAGATTTTTCAGGAGAATGGTTTACAGCAAGCAATTTATGCATATAGTCAGGTTGAAAAATTGAAGTTTGAGTTTTTGGCAGAAAAGCATTATTTTGAAGAATTAGTCGCAATTGAGGACACCGCACCAAGAACAGCCTATAGGCTTATAGGTCGTTATTATGCCCATCTGCTTTTCGGATTCTACGTACCCTGGACTATGCTGTGGTAGCGATAGAGTATACATAGGTAACGGCTCGAGGTCGAAAAACCTTTTTTTTCCGAGTTAAGTCAGGCCTCTAGATCAATGGGTGCAAGAACGACCTATAAACGTAAGGGACTATAAGGTGCTAGTTACCCCTTTCTTTACTCACGATCGATATTCTTTCATTTTGCGTTAATCATGCGTGATTAAAATGATTTATACTGCATATTGCCACCAAAATGACTGTTGGGTGTAATAATGGCATATAAACCGCTTTTTTAAATTAAATATATTAGAGTGTAAACCCAAAATGTATTGCAAAATCTACCCGGCATCCTTCAATAGAAGGGTTAGGCCACCCAAATACACCAAAACAGGATACCTGCATAGAAAAGTCTGCGCAGTACATCAAAAACAAAACTTTAAATGCGTTTTTCTCAAAACGCGGTTTCCAGTTATAGGCTGTTCTTGGTGCGGTGTCCTCAATTAGTAAAGTTTACGCACGTGCAAGTGGAGGACATAAAATTACATTTTATCTCCAGAAGTTTGAGCCTTGAACATGCATGATCAAAACCTCAAATAGTTTTTCTGAAAACTATGTTTGCTTCCTAACTGCAAATTTTAAAAAAGTTCTTAATTTTGGTTAGGTTTTGAATTTTGGGCATTTTTTTGCCACAATGGCCGTTGAACACTTTTTTTTTCGCTTCATGTTTTGAAATTCTCCGTCGCCAATATTCCCCACCAGAGTTTCTCTCACCATCAAAGATTCTATAGTCAGATCTTTGATTGACTTATTGGATAAGTCTGTACTGTTTCTGTTTGTTTAATATTCCATCAAAAATGTTTCCCTTTTGATTTTTGATTTTTTTTTCAACTTCGGTGTCTCATCTTCATTTCTTATTTTTGCAATCTTGCTTTACATCCTCAATGGTTTTTTCAGGACTCGCGCAGTGCTCTCTCCAGATGGCAAGCATTACATTCTGAATGGTAGCAAGATCTGGATCAGTAACGGAAGTTTTGCGAAAATAATGACCGTTTTTGCTCAAGTGCCTGTGAAGGATGAAAAAACTGGTGAGGCTCTTATCATCTTTCTAATAATATTTCAATTGAAGCAACTCAATAGAGATTCCAGCTTACACTTGCATAGAAGATTTTTTGTCAGTTTTATTTCTTTCTTTAAAATTCAACAATGATCAGTATCAATACAAACAGAGTTGATGAAAATATTGATCACTCTGTACTCGTGTCTACAGTATGTTCCGGTATATTTCTCTTGTGCTGTTTTTTGCTGGTATTCAGGTCCGTGCTAATAGAATGCTTAATCTTGCACTTTTTGGACTATTTGAAGTTGATCGAGGAATAAAAGATTTCTCCTGACAGAGAAGTCTTTTCTTTCTTTTTTATTAGTTAACAAGGTGCCTTTCAGAAATAGTGTCATTAAAATTAGGACTCTTAGACTCTTTTTTGTCTCATTATGCATCCATCAAGCAAGTCTGCAACCTCCTATAAAATTAAGTCACGCCTTATTAAACTTCGTTTTTCAACACATCGGCATATTTTATCGCCCTTTTACCATAATTACAACCAATTTTTTTAAAAAAATCCGTACGTTTCACTCAACTCTGTATGAAGTTGTGCTGTACCAAACCTCCCTCTTTTCCAGCAGGCACTCATCCCTTGGGCTTAGATCCCTTCCTCTGAAGGCCTTACGCTCCTCAGGGGCCAAGTATTCTATAAGGCAGTTTGGACCACTTTTTGACCCTTCTCTCTTCTTGCATGGCACTTGCAAGACGACCTCTTACCCATTGAATTGTGTAAAATTGGCCTGACAACCCCCCCCTCCCTTGCTCAAGTTTTTAGAAAGTAACGAGGTATCTATTCTGAAAAATAGCTCGGAAAAAGCCTTAACCATTGAAAAATATTATTTCTGTTCAAAGTTAGAGGCTCCTGAAAACTTTTTTGAACACCTTCTATCTTTCCCTCTTGTAATATCCAGCAAGGTGAGCTTTGACCCCCTCCCTCTGCCTAAGCTGCTCTTGTTAAACATGAATGGCCCCTCAGATAATTTACCTGGATGAAGAATTTTGAGAATTCGTTTTCTTCGTATGAATATTACCATCATTCTAGCTGCAGCATGGTAAAACTGCCATCAATATTTTATCAAGTATGCTATCTGTGTTAATTTTTTACGTTTTATTCCTTTGTTCTTAATCTCATTTTAAAATTTTTTCAGGGGAAGTCAAAGACAAGGTAACAGCATTTATTGTCGAGAGAGATTTCGGAGGCGTGACGTCCGGTCCACCCGAAAAGAAAATGGGAATCAAAGCTTCAAACACAGCCGAAGTTTACTATGAAGATGTGAAAGTCCCTGTAGAAAATGTTCTCGGTGGTGTTGGTGGAGGATTCAAGGTATGATCATTGGTATTCATGTATGAACTATGGTTATGTTTAACGTTACATAATGCAAGAGGAAGAAGTAAGGCTAAAATTGAATTTCTTTCTTTCTTAAAGTCGTTTAGGTGCCTGATTATTCCTTCTGTGATTGAATCTAATAGTCAGACGTTGGAAAATTTCGCTTTTATTTTTCTGCAATTTCGCGGTTATTTTTCCCGAATTTCGATGTTATTTTTTCTGATTTCGCTGTTGATATTGTAGTGCTTTTTGCGTTTGGCAGCGTAACATAAAGCTTTCACATGATCACATGTTAAAATTATTTGAGGTTATGCTTATGCCCCGGTTGCCCTGATTTCTCTCATTAGTATTTTGATGCAATTGGCGAACGTTGATAGCTAGTAGCTAATGACGACCAGTGCTCAGAAACAACTCCGTAATTTCCTATTTTGAAAAAAAGTGCGGCAAATTTCGTCTTACTTGCATACCTACGTAAATTTTACAAAAATGTACGCATTTTGCCGATTTCACGGATAAATTTGGATGATTTCGCGGATTCCGCACGATTTCGCGATAAATCCGGAAAATGGCCAATTTCGCGTTATTTCGCTGTATAATTTCGCGATCAGGGGTTATGATTTGTGCTTCTGTCTGGTTTTCAGATTCCTAAGCTTATTTTAAAAATTTTGCGGCAAATCGCGGCAGCGAAATTTTCCAATGCCTACCAATAGCATTCACTTTATCTCTGTATGAAATTTTTAAATGAAAGAGAAATAACTTTAATCACAGCTCCAAAATTAAGGCATGGCTGAAGTGTGCCCTCTCAGGAATATTTAACACATCAACCTAACTAGAGTACCTTTATAGACAGAGTATGGCCATTTCTGTTCCGGTTTTTCATTGGTTGCAAGCGAATAGGCTGACACGGTGCTCTTAGGGCCGTAAATAAACAAACAAGATGGCCGTTATCAGCAAGCAAGATTGAGGTTATGCACATCTTACATCCTCCTGTGATAAAGGTGAAAGGCAATTCAACAATGTTTTCATGTGTTTTTCGTGTGCTATTCGTAGATATGCTCGTTTAAATTGTTACTGCCGCATAATTGAAATTTTTGTCAAATTTAGCTTCTCATCGATGTTACGGTGAGCCGCCATCTTGTTTGTTTATTTACGGCCCTAAGAGCATCATGAAGCCTAAAAACTCGTTGACCAATCAAAAAGCGGAACAGTTTTCCTGTAGTAAAAAGATACGAATGGGCATACTCTGTCTATAAAGGTACTCTAAACCTAACCAGAAAGTCATTTCTATTTGAGACATTATTAGTTTTGGTATTTTTAATGTGTGCATTGTAATGTTCTGACAGTGCTGAAGAATCAAAGTTTCCTTGGGTAGTTAAGAGCGAACACCAGTGATTTCTGGAATTTTTTCTCGGTATGTCTGGTGGCTGTGAGTGCGCATATGCAAATGTGCATTTCTCCATCCAAGTTCTTGAGGAATGTAGATTTGAGCCGCGACCTCCCCAGAAACTTTCCAATTTAGTTAAAATTCACGTTTCCCTTAAAGTTCCCAGTTTTGTCTCTATACGCAGTCTTTTCCTGCAAAACTGTTTAAATTTTTTTTTTTTTTTTTTTTTTTTTTTTTTTTTTTTTTTTTGTAGCAATACTGCCTATCTAAGTCTGAGAATTAAACAAAATGTTCTCTTGTAAGCGAGGCTTTTTTTTAGAAATGTGTCTCATCTCATTTTTCAGGTAGCGATGAATATTTTGAACAACGGAAGATTCGGTATGGCAGCAGCTCTTTCTGGCACCATGCGAGCAGTTACAAAGAAAGCCGTAGATCATGCAACAACTCGTGTTCAGTTTGGAACAAGAATCGACTCTTTTGGAACAATTCAAGAGAAAATCGCTCGAATGGCTGTTCTACATTACGTCACAGAATCCTTGGCATACATGATCTCTGGAAACATGGACTCAGGATCCCAGGACTATCACCTTGAAGCAGCCATCTCAAAAGTGAGTACTTTTAATAGGAATTTCAGAAAAACTGTGACATAAATCTTCTGAAAATCCAAAATATTTTGAAAAGAAATCTGTCAGTACATGGAAGTGGAATAACAGAATACATTTCTTACTTTCATCAAGTAGACCCCTCTATTTTGATGCATTTGGAATGGCACAAAATGGCAATGCTGTTTCTTTTTTTACTTTTTTTCAGGAAACTGCTCAATGTAAATTTTTGAAGTTTCAGAAATTTGTCTCCTACAAGATCGTACAAATTGATAGAGAATTTCGAGCAGTAATGTTGTATATTTGTCTTCTAAATATTCAAATATGAAAGAAAATGCTAAAATACTACAATAAAAATTGTCTCCCTTGCATAAATATGTTCATTTATGATGGGCAGATGAGCTGTCAAAGAATCAATCGTAAGTTCTTATGGTAACTCACGGTCCATCAACTGTTCATGCTCACGTTGGTACCATCGCACAGTAATGTACGTCAACTGACATTGCAACTAAATCGGTTTATTTAAAAGAGGTATTAATTGAATTTTTTCTTCCCTGCAGGTTTTTGCTTCTGAATCAGCATGGTATGTCACAGATGAGGCTATCCAAATTTTAGGTGGTATGGGCTTCATGAAAGATACTGGTCTCGAACGAGTTCTCCGGGATCTCCGTATTTTCAGAATTTTTGAAGGAACGAACGACATTCTCAGGCTATTCGTCGCTCTCACAGGTTTGTTTGGTTGTGAAAACTTGATCACTCTATTTTAAGAGTCTGATATTTTTTAATGCACATGCTACCGTGATAGTTAGGTATTTTAACTAGTATTGATGGTGCAAAGGGGCTGAATGACCACTGTCTACCGGACTACCCAGAGCAAGGAACATATAAGTTTACCAATTAATGCAATTTTGTTTTCATTACCCAAAAATGCTTATCTTTTAACTATAGCATCTAGGGCCTGGAAAAAATGAGAAGCTGCTGGAAATAAAAATATTCGGCTAATTGTTGGGAATCGGTGTTAAAAACGTTCACACGCTCAAACGTTCGATACTTGGTTCCGTGTATGGAAGTTTTCACTCGAAAGCAGAATCCATCGCAAAGGCTGGAAAAACAAAGTTTTACAGTTCAAGTATGTCTCACACTCTTTCTCATCGATGTTTAGGTATTCAGTATGCCGGAAGTCATCTGCAAGAGGTAGCCAAGGCATTCAAAAACCCAACAGCTAATCTTGGTCTCATTTTCGATGAAGCGTCGAAACGTGCTTTCAAGAAAGTTGGTCTTGCCTCTGTCCCATCTCTAGACAGTCACGTTCACCCTAGTCTAAGACCAGCTGCTGCCAAAGCTGCAAAGGTAATTCCATGCCTCAGTTGAGTGAAAAGTCTTAAGCATATTGACCCCTGTATCGGCCCCATGGGACCATAACTTATGATGTAACTCAACTACGATCATACAAGTTCTGTAGAAATTTAGGAATAAATAAATTTTAGGACATAATTAATTTCCTCATTATGATGAGTAATAAGTAGAATATTTTGAGAAATTTTGAAATAACTGATGGGGTGTTTCTTTTTTTTAAAACAATGACATGAACATGTCATAACAGTGACAAAAATAAATGAATGAAAAAAACCAGCAATACTTAATGAATAATTGAGTTAATTAGAGTCATTTTCTGTTAAAAACTTAGGAATTTTGAAACTGTTTATCTGAAAAATAAAATCTGAAAGACAAAAACAGTTAGTGTCTGTCATGTACATAAATAACTTCAAAATTTTAGAATCTTGCAAAAAATGAACTCCAAAAACCAATCTCATACTAAGATTGAAGTCACAAGACTTGTGATAATTCAATTCTAACTGAAATGAAACGTTACACTTTTTAAAATCATATCAAGTGCATTTCTTCGTTTTTTTTTTCCAGAGCACAGTGCAGTTTGGAGACACTGTAGAGCATTTACTCATCAAGTACGGTAAAAAAATTGTGAATGAGCAGTTCCTCTTGAATAGGCTTGCCCAAGCTGCAATCGACAATTACACAATGATGGTTGTCCTGTCCAGAGCCACCGACTCATTGAACCGCAATCTTCCTTCAGCAGAACACGAACGACTCCTCACTGAAATTTGGTGCCAGGAAGTAAGTCTTTTGATCAGCATCATGAATTATTTCTAAATATTTAAGTACTTCAGTCATCGCACTGTATTATTTAATTAGGTCTCTCTCTAAAATTCTTAACCTAAGAAACCTGCAGTTTTGTATAACCTCTTTAGGAGTACAAAACTTGAGGTATATCTCTGCAAGTAAGGCTGTGCGAATATTCAAAAATCTCGATTATTCGAGTCCGAATAATTTTTCCGATATTTGATTCAAACTTGAACTTAGAAACCTCGAATAATCAAATTATTCGACAACATTGACGAAACTTTAAATATCAAAAAGAAAGACCGAATATACCTCTGATATTCGAACATTCGGCCATCATGATGATGTATTAGGAGGAACTCGATCTGGCGCGCAGTTCAAACTACTTCTTTTGAAGTTAGGTAAACTAAGGCCAACATTTCATTGGTTTGCAACAAATGGTAGCAATTTTTTCCAAGGTCTATCATCGAAGCAGTCTTGGAAAATTTTTTGATAGTTCTTCTAGGGCTTATTTATTACTAAAACATCCCAGTTTTTGAAGTAGAGTTTAGAATAATATATAATTTAGAATCTTCTATTTAGCTTCTCATTTTTCTGATTTCATATGGAATCATTTTTTTTTTTTTTTGGAATCATTGGAGATCAAATTTCGAACAATGTAATATTTGATGTATGAAAATCGTTTTTTTAGAGCTGCATTAAAGTGTCCTCTTTCTGTTTTAGGCTTCAGAACGAGTAGCGGCCAATTTAGGTGCCATCCAATCCAAAGATAAAATAGACCTGTACTCAAAACTTAGCCAAGCAGCAAAGAATATCTGTGCCAATGGTGGCTTTGTCCAGCAGAACCCACTCCAAATCTAAATGTCTGATTATGTGGATCGTTTCTACGAAATGTGGATTTTTACATCCAAATTAAAAGGTTTGTATGCAACATTTCTACAATTTTGAGATGCCTCTAATTGTTAAAGAAGGTCATCATCTAACTCTATACCTTGCTGAACACCTCTGACAGTCAGTTTTTCCATCCTTGAAACAGAGCCTCTCTTCCAATATTCTTCCACTAACTTACATGTAATGCAATTTGGATCGTCCTTGTTTGCACCACAACCACCTAGTCATCAGCCGAACACAAAATTTCATTACCGGCAGGATGCTCACATCTGCACATCTCCATTTCTTCAACCCAAGTTCATCGCTTGGTCCATTCTCTCCATTCACTGGACACAAGTGTGTTACAGGTATATTTACCTTCATTGATTGATCACTGATTAATGGCCTTTACTATTCAGAAGAGTGGGTCTTGGCGCCGGTGAGTTAATTTTTACTCACAGAAAGCTCAAGCACAAATTAATTACCAAATTACACCAAAACAGGAGTTGTGTCCCTTATCGCGAGTTAAGACAACGCGGCTCAAGGATGTCACAAACGGGAATAAAGATTATACAAATTGAAAGTTTTTTGTAATCTTTGATCAACTCACTCTCTAATTCCTCTCGCCGTTCCTTCTCTCATTCTGTTTGTTCCTTGCTATTCCCCCAATTCCCTGGTCCATTCCAGTTTATAATCTTTGCAATCGGTGAAAATGCATTCTTTTTTCCTGTTAGAGACACTGCGGAGGCCTAAAATACAGGAACCAATCAGAAATAGATTCGTATTGTCTTTACTCTCAGTACAAGGAGGCTCCAAATAAGGCAGAGGTCTTCTTGCCAAATGACACATGTGACAAGTCTCATAGCATATGCTAGTACTCTGACCTAAGTTAGCATAGTCCATTGTTTAATGGACATGTTGATTCACAATGGTTCAGTTGAACGTGTTATAAAATTGTATTTGTAAAGTTGAATAACATGTATAGATCAGTGGAAGCAGAGGTCATACTGAAGTTAGCATGCTCAGTATGTCTTTGAATTCACAAAAATTTACACAGGATGACTTGAAATTTAAACAGTGGCGTGGCATGAATTGCGACATATCGATTGATATGTAATTTAAACCCATGGAAAAGGATCGATAAACAGGGTATTCGCAGCGAACTTCTTAATAATCGATTCTTTACCATAGGTTTAAATTACATATCAATCGATATATCGCAATTCATGCCATGCCACTGTTTGAATTTCAAGTTATCCTGTGTAAATTTTTTCAAATGACGTAAGTTCCTTTTTTTTTTGCTTACCTAGCGATTCTCTTACTTTGTTTCAGGCTGATACTGTGAATTACTACAAGTACCTAAACAGTTGGACAAAACTCCTGCTGGATAAATATTTGTGTGGTTTACTCATCCAAACTCCTAGAAGGCTCTAAAAACAGTAGTTTAAGATTACCTAGTATTAAATATATTAAATTTAGTTTCAAAAGAATATAAACCATATATCCTTATCTGGTTAAACCTTTTAAAAAAATTCAATTATTGTACAAAAAATTCTGCACAAAATTTTAATGATCTACCATTTGAAAATGTAACACTATCTGTTGAGCTTTACTTGGGATTTTCAATTTAAACCTGGTGCATTGTTAATACTAATTTTCAGCCCGATTGTGAATCATTTTAATGTTTTTAGTATTAGAGATCTAATGCATTTGTGCAAAATGAATTAATCGTCATAGCAATCAGATTTTTTCTTTTTGCGTAAATACGTCGGATAAGTTTTATTTCTAAGCAAACAGTATCAGGTTTTCTCTGTGGGTAAGACCATTAGAATAATTTTGTAAATTTTATTTTATGCATGATAGGTGTTATGAATTTAGTCTTGACTAACTTTCTTGGCAGTATGGCATGATTTTTGTCCTAATACGACTTTTCTATCGCTCAAGTACCATTTCTCCCCTAAAAAAGTTTCAAACCATGTCAGGAATTTTTAAAATCCTTCCCTTTTTGATAATTTTTATCTATGCTTCTCTTGAAATGTCGGAGTAAATTTTCTCTTCTACCATTTGTACAGTCAATTCATGATTCATACCGCCGCTTAATTTAAAAATATGTAATTGAACCTTTTTATAGTACATCCAAGTGTAAATAATCAATTGATGATAACTGATGTCTGTGCATCCGATAAATAATGAATGCATCTGATTTTGTTGTATCTAGAAAAAGTTTTTTTTATTTTTTTAAATAAATCAATTCTCTTGTTGTTTCCTAACGTTTGGCATACATCTACCATTTTTCTCACTCCAGAACTTTTCCACCAAATCTGTTTAAATTAGATGAAATTACAATGTCTGCCTCTGAACTTCTTACACTTTATAAAGGCTCTGAATAATTTTAGCAATATCTTCATCAGATAACGAAGTTAATTTGGCTCTGACTAATTCTCAAGTAATGATGTTAACCAGCCGCATATCAATACGCACATTATATTCTAACTACCTACAACAAAAGTTTTTGTTGATTCTCCGTGATGTAACTGACTTTTTTTCAGCAGAATAAAAAAGAAAGCATCACTATTCTAATATATAGCAATGCTTTCTCTCTATCAGCTGCATTAAGCATTTGGAAAAGAAGAAATTTCCAATCCTTCTATGATCCAAGATTTGCGAAGTAGGCGTATTTCTTATTCAGTGAACCTTTTTCAGTATGAAACATGTCACTGCGTTATCCTCGGCAATGTGCTCCCTCCTTTCAACATGATCAATCGGAACAGATATATTAGAGAAAAATTTTCCAACTAATAACTTCAGCTTTCATGTACAACAGGAGATCCCTGTTAGCTGTAACTTTTCTTCTTTATTTTTGTATGTTTAGTGAAAATTGTGATGTCCAGGCACTCTCAAGTCTGACCTCATCGCACTGAAAGTTTACTTTTCTCCCACCTGTGTGGTACAAAATAATTAAAACAATTATTTTTGTTGAAATTTGCTGTTTTTTTCTTAACTAACGTTTATTTTTTCTAAAGTAGCAGGGATTTTGGCATGATGAACAACCTGTCCGCAGATGATTAGGTCTTTCAGCACCCTGTGCCTAAACTTAATTCCAATTCATTCTTGTGGTTGTAGGTAATGTATTTTTGCAGCAGAGAGGATGCCACGACTGTGTTTTAATTTTCATGAACAGCAAATGTCATACGATCAAACGGTGCTGTGTATCAATGTGTCAAGATCGTATGCTGTTATTTGTCCAAGTCTCAAATAAGCCAATCACAACATCCGACCTTGATATATTGATAGCACCAATTGATCGTGCGACAAGAGCTAATAGGTCATTAGCGTTAGCACATTCATTTGTAGTCTTGGACTTATGACAAACTTTATCAAATTCCATGAAAAGATAGCCCTTACAGTTTATATAGATTATAATCTCTTCTCTATCATGACAAACAGTTGAAGGATAACTATGCTTTCTAGAGCTCTAGAATATAATATTTGAAAAAAGGGAGGACCACCAGTAAATCAAACGACCTTGAATTGCTTATTCACAAGCAATACTGTCATCAGTATTTGCAGATATTCTGGGCAGTCAGCCTTCATTAAATTTCCGTTGCCTCTCTTAAATTTTACACACTGTAACAGTATGTTCCTATAGAACTTCTAAGCATAATGATATTGAACACATTCTTCAAAATATCTAAGTGATTAGATTTTGTGAATGCAAGGGATGGATGTATGATTCAGGAACGACATTTTCAGGCAATTTCAAGGAAAATTCAGAAGGAAGAATGAACAAATAGACCCGGTTTTTTTTTCTTTTATCTTCCCCAACCAATTGGAAAATTTTGGCAAAAGTAAAAAATTAGCGTCTTCTTGTCAACTTTGAATGATGATATTCCTAGTAGAGAGCAAGCTGTCTACTGATCCGGAAAATCCGAGAAGTCTGGAAATAGTACTAATTTTTTAAGGGAAGTACTGATTAATTTCCTATGAAGCTCCGGAATTGTTTGCTTCTTGCCAAGGGTGTTTTTTTGAAACAGCCTAGAAAATATGCAGTCCCTTGCGCAATGATTTTTGGTGCAGTATTTTTCGGCTACATCAGATTGTAAAACCAGTTGATCCTCTCAGGCCACCAATGAGCTTCTGATTTCCTGGCCAGGTCATTTTTCTCGCGATTTGCGCGTGAATTTCGACTATTTTCGAATTCCGTCTCTTAGAGGTACCAAAAAAGTACTGAATTTTTTGGAAAGATAATGAAAAAGTACTGTAAAAGCACTTGATATTTGCTAGTCAGTTTTAGTGGACACCCTGCCTCATTATGCGACACAAGAATCCCGATATGGAAAGTCGACAGTTTCGAAAACGCCTTCAATTGTGGCGTGATACCTCACGCATTCCGGAGAGTACGAATACCTAATTGTATCGTTGCGCCTTCGCAAAGCGATGGAAGAGTAATATTAAATCAGCCTCCTCGCTGGCCTTGTCGGGGTTCCTTTGACGCTAATGCTGTTTTGACCTCATAGTTCATGTGTGCTCAAGCTAGGATTGTATTGAGAGAATGGATACTTTTTAAAGAATAATTGAAAATGAACAAGCGGTAAGAAATATTACGAAATAAAAAAAATCAATACTCAAATCAACAATCACCTTAAAAAGGTACCGAAAAAGTATGAAAGATATGGAAAGTTGGCAGTTTCGAAAACGCTTTCAATTGTGGCGTGATACCTCACGCATTCCGGAGAGAACGAATAGTTGTATCTTTGCACCTTAGCAATACGATAGGAAATTCGAAGTAGCCTTCAAACCCTCCTCGAAACCTAGCCTCGAGAACCCTGATATGGAAAGTCGACAGTTTCGAAAACGCCTTCAATTGTGGCGTGATACCTCACGCATTCCGGAGAGTACAAATAATTGTATCGTTGCGCCTTCGCAAAGCGATGGAAGAGTAATATTAAATCAGCCTCCACGCTGGCCTTGTCGGGGTTCCTTTGACGCTAATGCTGTTTTGACCGCATAGTTTAAGTGTGCTGAAGCCAGGATTGTATTGAGAGAATGGATAGGTACTTTTTAAAAAATAATTGAAAATAAACAAGCGGTAATAAATATAACGAAAAAAAAAAAAAAACCTCAATATCATACTATAAAAATACTCAAATCAACAATCAACTTAAAAAGGTACCGAAAAAGTACTGCATTTTTTCTGCTCATTAGGTACTGAATTGTTTTTAAATAAGGCACTGGGAAAGTACAGTAAAAGTACTTAATTTTTGCCAGCCAGTTTTAGTAGACACCCTGGGAGAGTAACGACTAAATTTTAAGGAGGGTATGGGTATGGGTTCGATCGACACGAATCGATCAAAAATAAAAACGCGAATCGATCGACAAATGATTTTAAAAAACCGGTGTCGATTCGATAGAAAAACAAACAAGCAGTGAACTCCAACACAATGTGTTGATAAGGCGCGTCATTAACTCGCACATATCAAACCCTTTAGTTTTCATTTACAGAGATTTCAAAAAAGGCAAGCAGCACAACAAGAGAATTCACGATCCAACACTGCAAGGTCAACGACGCACCTTGACGAGACCGTGTATTGTAAATCTAGAAAGCTATTCGAACAAATTTAAGTTTTTTGATCTGCCTCAAGCAAAATCTTATCAGATTCTTGAAGAAAAGTGCTACGGAAAAATTTAAGCGAAGAAAGGAAAAATTCTGTCGAACTCCTAGAAGATAAAGTCGATTTAAAGGTATTTTGGGGCTAAAATACCCAAATCACCGGTAGTAAAAATCCCGTTATATTATTGAAAAGAAATTGACTCGATATAAATGCAATTGCATTAAATACGTCTTGATTTTGTTATTTTAAACGTCTTTCCATGCAAAGAAGTTCAACCATGTCGTTGCTTTATTCATTCATGAATTGAAAGTAAGCAATCTACATCCCGAAAATCTACTGATTTGCCGTAAAAAATTGCAGAAACTTGATATACCAGGTCGATGCACCCACTCGTTGAATTTACCAACCAATTTTGTGAGTGCAAATGTGTAAGAATCAATATGCTATAGTCATTTTGGGTGCATTTATTTTTCATGAAACAATAATAATTTCAATCCCGAAAAACCATCAATTTTCCGTATAAAATCGAAAAAATCAAAATATGTCAACTCCCCGACGTGAAAATTAGATTCTACGTATGTAAAATGTAAATACTTATGTATCGATATGCTGAACAGAACTATGTGTGGACAGTCAGAAGCCCGCGGCAACATTAATTCAACAGAAAAACTGTAAAAATTAGATAGGATTTTAGCCGCTTTGCCCGCCTCTCCTCGCTACTTACAACAAACCGTTCTTATACTCATCTCAAAATTTTTCTCAGAGCTTTGGGTTATTATCAGCTTCCATTTAAACTCCGGTTCGATGGCCGAATCGGCTGCCAAAAAAGCAAGCCACTGTTGAGGGGTTCTATGAGAAATTCGTGATATTATCGGCTCTCAGGAAATCACCCCATGGCTAAAATTGGTGGTATAAATGTTTAAGTGCTTAAAATAATCGTATTCAAGAAACTAAGGAATTAAACTATGGAGTCAATTTCTTTTTAATAATATAACGAATTTACTACCGGTGATTTAGCTATTATAGCCCCAGAATACTTTTAAAGCGCCTTTGCGTTCCAGAATCTCGACGGAATTTTTTTTTTTTTTTTTTTTGCTTAAACGATTCAAGAAACATTGTAGTTAAAAATATAAAGATTTTTCGATTTGGACGTATGAAAAATGTTTAACTCGTTCAGGCACACCGTGTATTGTATGGAGTACTGCTGTTATTCGACCGTTGTCTTCAGGTCAAAATTCTTACAAAGAAGCCCCTTGCAAGAGGCAAATTTTTTGTAATTTCTCCCAGTTTTTTCAGCGTTAGGTATATAAATGAATTGTTTGTCAAATTTTGAGGTCAATTATATTTAATTGTAATTTATACTTTCTTTTTTTCCCCTTCATTTTATTTTTCGTATCGAGGAGTCGAGGTTTTGTTGATTTCTTCGGATTTCGATTACTGTAACTTCTCTTCTATTCGGCCGATTTTTATGAATGAGGTCTCTTTTTATTTGTGTTTTAACGGAGAGTAAGGAAAAAATTGCTAAATACATGCGAAACAATTTTTTTTGAAAATTGGATGAATCCTAGCGTGACGGTGAAATGGTTAATGAAGCGTGAGTAATTGGGGTACGGGTATCGGCCGCGTTGGGACCCAAGGCCCATTGTTCTTCGTGACGCCGACGCAGTGATCAGGAGCGTGGGGACGAGAGGGCTTAGTGGACTCCTGTATGAGCCACGTTTAGCAAATGGTCTAATGAGTCTCGAGGCTCATCACAGATTGCACTTACCACTATCCTGGTGGCCCCGGCTATCAGAGCAAGGAGTACCAACTTTTGAAAAGGATAACAGTGTTGTGGAGATATGTCAAAGCAACGTTGTGAACGAAACGGAGTGAGTGAAATTCTCATTCAAGGAGTGCCGAACTGGTCAGCCATCCTCGAATCAGTTCGCTTGCTTCCGCTTATATATGCATATTTTAAATCAGCGCGCCCCATTCTAAGATTTTTTTAAAAAAAACCAAGAAACGTAGACTCTTGGTATTCATTAAACGTAGACTCTTGGTATTCATTACACATAAACTAGCGAGCCCCAGAATGAGAAACAAATTTTAATCATTATTATTGACGGATTAGTAAACTTTTTACACGCTTTGGAAAATCTCAGAAGTTCGCGGTAGTCACTTTTCGGTAAGGAACTAGGGGACTCGGTTATTGTATCGAGGGGGGGGTCGAAACGATCGCAAAGGCGGTATACTACGTATACGCGCCAATAGTAAACCGTTCGACGCAATTACTTTTAAAAAACCACTGTCGATCTCATCGACATGAATCGATCGAAAAACAAAAACGTGGACCGATCGAAGCGATTCTATTGAGAACCCTAAGTCGAT